TACTGAATGCTGAAATTCTATGAAACACTCTCAACTTGACAATTTCCTTTCGAACAAAGAAAATCAACATCAGAATTTCGCTTGAAATGAGATAAAATGCTAAAAATATGACTGCATCTTATCTTGAAAATCTCTCTGTGGTTGGTAAAAAATGTTATTGAAGTAAGTTGAAGGGTTTTTTTAAACTCTGGTAATCGAAACTCGTTTGGTGTCTCGAAATGCGAATTGCCATTGCGGGCGATGTGGATTTCTTTATGCGGCAATCGTTTAATGCAGATCGAGGCAGGAATCCACGCCGGTTGCAATGACCCGAGATATTTTTATATCAAGTGCTCTTGGGCCAAAAAATAACTTGGAGTTTCGGACCTTTTGGGCCAATGGACTCTGGCGAAGAGATAGGCTCGGCTCATTTGTTAACGCAAAGCGAAGCATATTGAGCACTTACTCATCACACAGGGAAGTATTTATAACGTTTAAATATTTTTATTTAAAAAATCACAAATTTTTGTGAAATAAAGCTTTTTTGGAGTAAATATTTGAAAAAAATTGATAATGTTGATGTAAAAAATTACTACGGCCCTGTTTGGATAAAAATACTTTTTATGCATCTTTAATTTCGCGTGTATTCCCGAATAAACACAGTTATACACTTTAATTTACAACATTAAACATGCACCTTGTCTACGTGCGTCGCCTTCATTCGTTTTTTTCCTGTGTTTTACTCGTCTGAAACTGAAACTTACTCTTTGCACTCACTTGCACTCGCCGCATAACTCTTGCTTTTTATTTTCGCACGCCGCTTTTCTTTCAAATAAATTACTTGCGATTTTATTGCGCGATGCGACCCTTTACCCTCTTTTGTATCACCTTACTTTATCTCCTCGGCGTATTCTTAATGACCGAAAATTTTAGCGCTATTTATCACCCGATACAAGCATTTTTACAATCAATTTGAGTTGGAGTTTGGTGCGTGAGAGGTGTTTGTGCATGTAAATTTTTTATCGCGGGTCACTTGGGTTACTTTCGGGTGGGAGCCTGATGAGGAAGACAAATGAAGATGCCTTTCTCGCTGCAGCAGTCGTGAGTTGCAGTCGTAAAACGATTCATCGCGGGCATCACGCAATCGCAGCGCACTTTATTGGCCGGATTGTAAAGTCAAAATATTTTTATTGATGTGTCTATTAGTACATTAATTCGTCGTTACTAACATTTACAACTGGCTGGAATCAGGTTTCGGGTTTGATAACAAGTGATAAATGGATCGTAAATTCTTTATAATGTGATAATTAACCTTAGAGAGGTTTTTAGTCGTGCAAACGTTAAAAGTAAAAGTAAAAAAGTTACAAAGCGGAATCTTTAGTGTTTTGACATTAAATTTTGTTTTGGAGGGTAATTTGTTAGAGTTTAATATCAAAGTTAACTTATTAATGGGTATAAATGAGAAGAATTTATTCTAGATTATTAATTTTTAACGAAACTTTAGAAATGTTAAATGGTTTAGAAACTCTGATATAAAAACCAAATAAAAATTTATTTTTACCAGTTTTTTGCATGTTTCAAGACAAATTAAAGCAATTTTTCATATTAAAAATATTTTTAATGATATTGAAAATAATCACCCACTAAATTAGCAAAAAAAGTCATAAACACCTGAGTAGTTTAGAAAATTTGATAAAAAAAAACGAAAATAATTTAATATTTTGGGACATAATTTTCAAATTTATTTAATAACACCACTTTTTTATATGTTCCCACTAAATTATAGGGGTAAAAATATTCTAAACTTATCTTAAACTTTATTTATTTCTTTTACGTTATGTTTCATATAATATCTCCCATAGAAATAAAAAAATATTGATACCTACAATCGATGCGTCTAACTATCTTCAATATTTTATTATCATAATTGAAAAGATACCTCTAGGTGTACTCGTGTACGCACATACGTGGTACTTAACGATCATTTAATTTAAGCATCGCATGCCTCGATCTAACCTCTAAACTCCGAAAACTCTTCGTATTTTCTATCGCCGGACGTGAAATAAAAACAAAACACTAGTACGATACGCCCGACGCCGAGGAAAAGAATATATTTATTGCCTCTGCGCGCATAGATACGAAAGTTTACAGTCGCAGCGATCGCCGATGTAATAAAGCATCCGAATAATAAATAACATTTTTCGGTGCGTCCCAAATTTCGATGTTCGCCGGCCGTAACACGCTTGCACGCACACGTATCACGTATGAGTTGGAGTGTAATTTTCTAAATAAGGAAATAGAGAACTCGCGCATGCGGGCGAGTAAGAAAGAAGAAAGCTGGAAAGAAATTGAATACGTGTATCATATTTTGACAATGCGTGAACAACGAAATGAAAGAAAATACTCGACACTAGATAGAAAAAATGCATCGTACCTTTTAATCTAGTATATAATTTATTTTTATGTTTCTGTCAATGTACAAATTTGTTTTCATGATAGCTTTAATTAATTTTATTTCCCAGTCAACGCTATAAAATTAATTGCTTTTTTGGAGATATATTTCTTGCGCCGCAAGTCAAACATTGTATTTTTACTGCGAAAAAGTAATTACTACTTAATAGGAAGTTCGGTAGAAATGTGGAAGGCGTGAAAACAACGTTAATTTTCATTACCGCAATGCGTGACAGCGTGACGTCGACAGGCTTGTGGAGTGCTTGACGAGGAGGCGTGCAAGAAGACGGATCGCAGGTGAAGGCGCGCGTGGTGGACGTGGACGCGTGCGAATTGAGACCGCAAGGACGTTTGCAATGCGCGCAATGTGCGCTTTTACACGCAAGAATTCCGACGGGAATGTCTGCAGTAAAGACCCATTTGGCCATTCTTGCAAATCGCAAAATGTCAAGACTCACACACTTGGTATTAGCAATAGATTTAGTTATGATTTTAGTTTTTTGAGTAGAAATTTGCATAAAAATTTGGAAATTTTAGAAACCATCGCAAAAAATCAGCGAAATTTTTTCTTTTTGCTAATTTAACTAATTTTTACCAACGAAATTTGGTTATAATTACTATGTACGCTTGTTTTTTTTTTATTGATTAACTGGGTAATTAGTCTGGGTTTCTTTGTTTCGTTGTAAATATTACGATTTTTTTAATCCACCTATATTGGTTGCAATTTATGCAATTTGTAAGGTGCGTGGAATGTTTACCAGGCGCAGGTTGCGCATTATTTATTATTTATTAGCGAATGGTGCTTCTAATGCACTGGTAATGTTTGAATTAGTTCCAGCACGCGTCCTCCTTAGCCAGCGCGCGCAGAAAGCGAATCGCTTTGATTCGCCCGCGATCCGCAATTCGTACGGCCGTAAAATGCGAATCGAACGCTCAAGAACGCACAAGAACGCCCAAAAGTTTAAAAATCACATACCATCAAACAATTAGGCGTAGAATGTAATTTGGGATGTTTAGTATTGTTTTTTATCCGCAAACATGAATATGTTTTGAATTAAATTGATCGTTGTAATTCTATTAATTAAAAGCATGCATTATATAATTTTGAGGTTAGATATATGTTATCAAGAAAAGATGAAAGATTTATTCTAATTTTTAAATTTTAAAAGAAAATTAAAATATTTTTATTAGTTTAAAAGTTATGACAAAAAATGTATTGAAAAACAAGTTTTGAAAAAGTTTTTATTAACTATTTTGAAAACTTGTTTTTTTTCGGTAACCTCAAAATGGTTTCCTCATATTTTAAGGTTAATACTATTCATAGATCAATTTAAACATGTAAATACTTGATTGAATATGATGGAACACCTGTGTGAAGTGATCAAAATATTCAAATCAATCACAGCTTGCACGCGTAATTATCCATTATTTTCGACTTGTCCATCGCGTATCGTTAGTAACACCAAAACTAACATTAACCTCACCTCCGGATATCGAATTACGATCGATTCGGATATTTCTACATACATTCAACAGGTAGACATACGCAAAACACACTCTCTGCACAGCGCGCACATAAGCGCACAAACTCGTTGCTGCAGCTCGAGGGTATGGGTTAAATAAATTCATGTACCTGCCGCGGCCAGTCTTCGATCCGATCGAAGAGTGTGTTTGTTAACATCATAGCTCAATCGCTCAATAATACCAGCCGTTGGAATATAGAATATGTAAATTTAAATTGCCATTCTAACGGTCGCGCTTGTTTGGTCTCCGTGTGTCGGTTTTCTCTTTCGTTTCTTGTTCGATTTCGTGTTCTGACGAATTTCGGCGGCTGCTTGTCTTGCGTTAGTTGTTTTATTAGTAAATATTATAGAAATATTAGAACACATTTTGTGTATACTTCACGTATTTGTGCTGTGGTTTGTGGCTTTCTCCTTTTTTTAGGTTTTGAAGTGTATTTTGTAGTTTTAGTCAAACGAACGAAAAATGTCGCGTTCGTCCTTGGTTGGCCGAAACCGCTCTAATTGCACTCGTTGCGCTAATGCAACGCATTGCAACGCGTCACAATATCATTATCGATTCGTTTTCGTAATAATTCGGTGTGGAATGCGGTTGGTCATGCACACAAATACGGTTTTTCCAACTTTAGACTTTTGTGAATTAAAGATTAAAATATTAACTAATTATATAAAATGTAATACACATGATAAAACTCTGGAATAATACCAAAAATAAATTTGTCAATATTTTAAAACTTGTTCAAAGTCAAGGTAAAACCACAAAAGGCCTCAAAACCTCAAAATTCTTGAGAAATTGTGATGAACTCTCAAGATGAACAAACGTAAAAAATTAAGAATGCGTCATGTGTAATCAGCTTTTCCCACTCTGTGGAGGCGACGTTCGATTGCATGAATCATTGATGTTTTATTCTTGAAGAAGTGCACGAAGAATACGCCACGAATTGATATGCAATGCCTGCGAGGATATGTTCAAAATTTTGACTTGTGTACTCTTCGTTTTTCGTGTGGAATTCTTTCATTCTGTGAATTGTTTTGTTTTTTCTGTTTCAGTTCACAGAATGTCCAAAAATGCACAGAATTTCAAGTGCCATCGAACTGATATCTTATTCGATCATTGCACCGATGATATCATCAAAACACGAAACTCGCAGCCGAAATTTACAAACATTGTCGATGTTGAGTTTAACAACTCAATTGTTTAAAAATTTCGATTGTTCTTCATTCCCTGGATTGTTTACAGGTAGGTGAGTTTATAGTCGCACTAAAAAGGTATTAATTGAATTAAAAACATCACGAAAAATGGGTTCGACCCATGGGTACACCCATTTTTGCGCGCTGGACGTGTCAGCGGGCGTTTGCTGGGTATATTGATGGCATTTTTTGCCGGCCACGATATGCACTCTTCACCCATGTGCGATGGGGCAATCTGCGGTCGATCAATAATAAAGCAAACACAGCCGAATTGTAAAAAAAGTGCATCGATGGGTGTTTGGGCGCCTTTTGTTCCTGTTTAATGGTGCAAACGTGCAGACGCGCGAACGTGAGAACGCCGCCGCACGATTCCAGTGTTGCGGCATCGAGAAGCGTAATTTGTTTGCTCATTTATCTGCATCCAAAGGTTAACTAACATTCGACCATAATTGCACCAACAATGGGTGAAAATGCCAAAAATTACATACTTATAAAAATCATCACCTACAACGCAGCAAAAGCAATTCTATTAGGTTTTTTAGTTAAAAAAATACAAAAAGCAATAAATTATGATTAATTAACGATTATATTCTCTTAATTATAAAGTTCCGTATCGCACGCAGTTAATTTGCGTTAGTAGAGCATATTTTCGAGAAGTTTTCTTCCTAGAACGCCGTCGAATCGCGTGCTGTGCACAAATCTCCGGATGCAGCGTTGCGATGAGCAGCTGCACGCCATTTCTCAACAATTCCGAGAGATTAACATGAAAAATCTGCGCATATTTCTCCACATTTCCGATTTGTGCATTTCTAGGATTATCACTTCGAGCGCTCGACCATTTGATTTGCATTGCAGATGAACCCACAATACGCATTCTACATTCAATATTCCAGCCGATTGCGAAACGCATTGTGCTCGCTTCGAGGCGCGATTGTGAATTGTTTGATTGCCTTATTGCCGCTATTTAAACGCCGAAGAATTCATCTTTTCATAATCGAACACCACGCAAAATATTCCATCTCGTTTGGTATTCATTAATACGAATTACAATAGAAACAAAATACTGATTCTAATTCCAATTCTAATTGTCAATGCAGTGGAGATCTTTCTCTCCTGTCGGAATATGTGTCACGTAGTGCGATTGTTTCAATTTCAATTTGTTGAGATGCGATGAGATGTGTTATTACCGGTTGATTCATCTCGCATAAATTTCGATTAAATGTCATCGATTACTTAAACGCCTGACGAAATGTACGTTCTAAAATCGTTTGCGGATGCGACCGAGAAGACGAAACGACCTTTGCGTTAATTTTTTCATGTGAAACCAGATTCGATTTCGTTTATATTACCGATAAAATTATGTGATGCTTATTTTCGTTTTGCTTTGAATCATGATGATTGGTCGGTTACACATTAAAATTCTTCCGAAAAAATAAGTGGGTCAAGACTAGTGCATCACACTAATTGGATAATTAATATGAAACTGTGTCGCTGGTCTTCGTGCTTCAAATTAACATTGGAATTACTATAATATGGATCAATATTAAAAATTCTAATACTGTAATTTATTATATACAAGGTGTTTTTATTTTAATATTAAATTTAAATTGTTATTTTGGATGTAAAAGAGTCAATTTAAGATGTGACCTAAAGAAAATCGAAAGTACGACACGAGATGCGCCTACTTATTGTACCATTAACATCTTACTGCTACTCATTCCGCGCGTGTGTGTTTGGTGATGCGCAAAAAGTAAGAACAATGTTAGAACAACGACGCGACAAGTTGAAGTTGTTGACTCGAAAAGGAACGTCCGATTGTTTCGCGCTCGCGTTGCCGAAGAAATCGTTAAGTTCGCCCGCTCGCCTCACCTATTAATAAAATTCCTCTCATCCAACACGACATTTAAATGTGAAGGTAGACGCTCTTGCACTTTTCCATGCCTCGGCGCGGCCGCCGCAATCGATGTGACTAATATACCACACTCGATTTCATAACGCGAACGAACCAACCAGCAAATGTAAAATGGTACTTCATTTGCCTTCGACTCGCGTCACGAATGCATGTCTTGGCTGCCTTTGCGAACTCAACAACTCAACGGCATTGCGAAATCGATGAGCTGAAGAAGTCGAGCGCCATGCGGAGGAGAAAAATTTAGAAAATGCAAAAAGAGAATTTTTAGAATTTTTTTAAACACCATGTATAAACTACTTAAGCAAAGATTTAAATTTTTAACTATTTGAATTTTCTATATTTTAATTTGCATTTTAAAACGTTAAAAATTTTAACTTTAAAAATTATTTAAAACTTAAGATACATAAAAAGATTAAATGAAAAACTTACTCTTTTTCACGCATGGTGCGCTTATTTTTGGAATTTCCTTTAATAGTCCTGTATAGCGAAATCATCCTGATGGTTCCTTGAAAATATTTGCACAAATATCCAACCCAGAAAGTGGCAATACACAAAAATGTCAAAATAATCACTTAAATTTTGTCAACACAGTTTTGAAACTTTTAAAACTTTTAATAACTTTTTCAAACTTTTCAAACAAAAAAATTATAAAAATTATTCCGGTTATCACAAAATCAGTACAATATTTTTTTAAAATTATGAAATATTGTACTGTGCACTTGAAATTTTTTCGTTTAATTAGCGAAATTTTTGATTGCGCGTCGAAGTCACACCGCTTCTTTCTCCACTTTGCGCGCGCACACACCGAGCGCGCGTGCGTTGTCGGCAAAAGTGAGCTCTGGGTGTTCTCGCCTTCGCTTCTTCGGCTTCTTCGGTCCGCGGCGCTCCTTCCTATCGACGTCGAAGAACAAGCAACTGTAGCGCGTTCGCTGTGTGTGTGTATGTGCCTGCTTGCCTCCTTCGCGCGGATAAGCATAACTTAAGTAACGTAAGTAACTTGCGTTTAACTCACCTACAATCAACTTGCACTTTGCACGCGCGTACAAACTACACAACGCTCAATTAGTTAATGAGCGGCTTACCAATAAGTCAATTGCAGCCACTGCGGTTGGTATCAATCGGTGAATCTTGTTCTCTGTTATCTCTGTGCACATTTCGTAATGTTTACATTTTTGCTGCTGTTGATTTACTTTGTTTGGTAGTCGATAATTTGCCGTGAATGAGTTTAAGCGACTTTAGGAGGATTGCGTTGACTTAATTCGATTTAATTCGTTTTAATTCAAGTTGGTTTTTAGTTGATTATACTTGTTTGGCGCTATTTGTGTGCGTAAAATCGGAGCAAATATGGCAGAAATTCCAATTAGCGATTATTGCGATAAGTTGCGATATCTTGTGATATGTTGACCACTCGACCACACGCTATAATAACACGAAGAGCTCACGCTGGTCGAAAATTTCACTTTTATTAATTTCGCGTATATTTCACGGGTTTTGAACGCGGCTACACATTTTCATGGATAAATAAATTAGGTTACATATGCAGGTTTATATATAAAGTGCAGTTGTGAAAATAATAAATAAATACATTCATATAAAAAAAATTTCTGTAATTAAATTTTAATTTAATTATTTGTAATAGTTGTAACAACTTCTGTTAATAATTTAATGTCCACACTTGCATGAAACTGATCTGCGATCTGGTCTAGTAACACCGCGACCTTCAAATAGTTTGCATTAATTACGCACTTTTTTCTTGTGTCTCAGCTGCGTCGTGAAGACTGTTTGCTATTAATGCACATGTTAACAGGTTTAATGAGCATTGTGGGTAAAAATATGCCAATGCTCTGCGCACAAATAAGCAATAGGCGAATCGAGTCGCAGGTAAAAATAGGCGAGCGCGTTAACTGTTTCAACTGTTTGCATCGTAGCGCATAATTGCACAGCAAATACAACCTGCACCCGTTTTTATTCCATCACACCGTTAGATTTATGTTAAAGAAAACATTCCAAGATTCTTTAAGCTCTGCGGAATATTGTTGCATCATTATTGTTTACTCTTGGCTGAGATTGAATAATTACAAATTACTAATAATTTTAACCTTAACTTGCGTAAAAGAACGATAAAATGTTGATATTTCAACATTTTTTACGCGCTGTTTGCTGTACGTAAATCTTCAGTATGACATTATTTATATTCTGTGCAGAATGCATTTCACGGTTTTACTCGTTGCGCTGCTGATTTTGCTGCCGAATGCCAAATACCAAGACGTATTGTGCGCAGCTGACATTCAGATCCTTCTTCGTCCTGTCTTCATTTTTATGTTATTTTTTATGCTTCTTACCCAGTTTGTGCACTTTATACTTTTCTTAAACTTTATCAATTTGTACCATTAATATACGCGCCCGTGTCGCATGTCTTGCGTGTCACATCGCACGTTTCTGTACATGTTCTTCAAGTACTGGTGCTTTGACGAGGCTTTTTGCTCGTTTTTCGATTTGCGTCGCTGCTGCATCCTTCTTGCTGATATTACGCCGACACTAATGCTAATATATGCGCGTTTTTCCACATATTCTGCACCGCATTTCGTTGTTAGATCGCTGGAATTGTGGATTGCTGACTTGCAAAGTGGATTTTCCAGGTTTGCGGTGTCACAAAAATGTCGACGACGAATATCGAGTGCGAGAGTGCCTTTTACGGCTAAAAGTAGGCCTTTCAAAACTAATCTATGCGAGTAACGGAAAAAAAATGAGAGAAAAAATATTCATCTTCACCAAATGCCACATATATTATGCGAACTTGCAATATGAAACTTATTTAGATTTATTTTTGCAATAAGCACATGAGAAATGATTTATTTGCTTATGTAATCTTATATTTGTAACTAGTGATTGAAAAATTCCACTCAAATTGTTTTACAAATCAATTGAAAGCTGTGGCGTGCGCAATATTTTAATTTCAGTGTAGATGGAATAGTAAATTAATTATTGTTGGTGTTGATTATACAATCCAAAGGCAAAAAACGTGAGTGGAATGTTTTAATTTTATTTCTCGCGTATAGTGCGAATGAGGTAACAAGTTATCAATCAATTTTGCGTAATTGAGGATGTTTATTAGCGGATTTTGATATATTTATAATTTGTCACATGTTTCCTCCCTCAAAACCCACTGAAAATGTCAAAACACATTTTAAATTTGTTAGGTTACTTAAATTTTCTTTGTGTGGGGAAATCAAAAGTGTTTCTTTGTTCTAATTTAATACAGTCTTCCCGGTACTTTAAGATTTTGCTTGATTTGTTTGTTGGAAACGTCGTTTTTGATCTTTTACTTTGCCTGTAAACTCGCATATCTTTATCTGTATATAAACAACTGTTTTTATCGCAACAACGAGGACACCGCGTGTCGCGCGCACACCGCCACGATACCTCCATGCAGCCCTCACAGACAGTTGTGTCGTCGGTAGATGCGCTTGTGTTTCTCGTGGCCCGCTACGGGTTGCTTGAGATTGAAATTTGGTAAATTGCATATATTTGATTGGGCCTCGCCGTAATTAGTAGTAAACCGGTATAGTAGTTTTCTAATAATTTACGTGAATGGAACCGCAAGCTTTTCGCGTATGTGTGCGTTCAGAAGTTAACCATGGATAGTACTGCACTCTATTTTATTCCTGTAAAGGTACGTCCGAAAATTACCTGATTCAGTTCGAATCAAATTTGAATTAAAATTTCGCTTACGTGTAACCCCTAAACCTATTGCGATAAAAACGCCTCCACGCTTAGCCCATTTTCCCTTAATATTGCCACATTACCAGGTTTCAATCCTGGGTATCGGGGTGTAATTAAATTTCTCCGTTATCTTCTATCTGAAGAAAATTCCATTTTTACAGCTGTTCATTTTTAAACTGAGAAAAATTAATTTGTATGTTACCAACCTCAATAACTTTTCTTTGATATTTTGTCAGATTATTGTTAATTCTATGTTTTTTTTTGTGTGAACCTTATAGATCTTAAATTTTTATTTAAAAATGTGGCCCATTTACTCCTTTTTTTAGTGTAGGTATATTGTCATTTGGTATGCATAGTGGGAAATAAGCAAATTTTCTTTTTGTTACACCATGTATTATAGATTTCCATGCTGTCATCACAAAGTCGTATTTATTTAATGGTTTTCGCTCTAGAACTGTGTATATTCTTTTATATTATACTTGCTTTCTTTTTGTAACACCTTGTATTATAGTTTTTCTTGCTGTGATTCTAAAGTAGTAGTCATTTTATTGTTTCTCTTGTAGAACCTTGCGTTTTTCAATATATTATAGTTGTTATTTTGTAACACTCTGTATATTAGTTTTCCTCTTGTTATTTCAAAAGTGTAGTTTTTTAATAGTTTTTTTAGAACTTTGCATTTTTTATATAATAGTGGTTTTGTTTCTGAAACACCCTGTATATTAGTTTCCCTGATTGTCCGTGGTCGAGTGAAAACGAGCGGCGATTGTAGTGTTGAGAGTTTTTTGTTTGCACTTTAAATTTTCCTTTTATATCACCCCGTGTATTTGTTTCCATTTTCAACCAACTAGTTTAATTATTATAGTTTACTAGTTAACCGGGCAAACGTTGTTTTGCCATATAAATTATTTCTAGTTTCTAGATAAATTTTAGTGTAGACAAAAAGTAACTTACTTATTATAAAAAATAGGGGTTGGTGATAAGAAACCAAAAATTTAGGGTTGTATGTATATTTTAATGCCACATTAAAAAAAATAAAAACAAAAAATTTCGCCCAAAATTTAAAAAAAATTAAGGGTGAACAACCCTTATCACTTAGAGATAGGAAGTTACCGATTCTCAGACCTACTGAATACGCACATAAAAATTTTCTCTGAGCGGGATGAAAAATGATTAAATTACTAAAATGGCTATAAAGAAATAGGGGTTGGTGATAAAAAACTAAAAATTTAGGGTTGTATGTATTTTTTAATTCCACATTATAAAAAAAATAAAAACAAAAGAATTTGTCCAAAAATTTAAAAAAAAGTTAAGGGTGAACAACCCTTATCACTTAGGGGTATGAAAAATAGATGTTAGCCGATTCTCAGACCTACTGAATACGCATATAAAATTTGGTAAAAATCGGTAAAGCCGTTTCGGAGGAGTATGGAAACAAACACTGTGACACGCAAATTTTATATATATAGATTTTACTAATTTACTATTTACTAATTTCATTATTCCGGTAGAACTTTATGAAGTAGTTAGTACTTGCTGGCATGTGCGCGGGTATGCAGGTCGTAAGTCCTGTTTCAATATGGCGGCATGTATTCTGTTTACTTGTAAAATCGAAACTTGTATTAAGTTGTATTCTATTTTTAATAAATAAATAGTATGATATATTGACTTCTTTGATTTGTGTATCCCTTCTATCATTTCAGGAACAGATCCCCAAGAGAGTTCGCTCACTCAGGGGATGATCCCCCCTATAAAAATTGTTAAGGTATCCGGTATGATTTGTGTACTCATTCTTTCATTTCAGGTACAGGTCAGAACTTGTAAGAATATTTTTAAGTGTCACCTCTCTTGAGACGACTTAAAACTTAGAAATATTTGAACAAAACCTTATAAGGATTGGCCTTATAAGGAGTTCCCTCTCTCTGGGGATGATCCCCCACCATAAAAATTGTTGATATGCCTGAGAATCCTGGGGATGAAGCGCAGAGACATCGTAGCTGTAGGATGGGCCGGGAGCAATGGACGCATCGAAGCAGTGGGTGATCGACCAGAGCGCCGGGGGCGCTCTGGGAGATCGACTCGTAGACTGTCTTATAACGACACGTGCCAAAAAATTTAAAAATCCGGCCACCCCTTGTTCGGAGTGGCTCTTTTCCTGCTATCCTCTTCTCTTCCTTCTACTCTTACTCTTCTCCCGCCTCTTCTTCTTCTTCTTCTCCTCTGTTCTGTTTCTCCACTTGCTTTCTTATTTCTCTCATGGCCTTCGCTTGTATTGCAATTTCTCTTATATTTCATTTGAGTTTGCATATGCAACCCAAGTTGCAAGTTGTTATTTTTATATTTGAGAAAAATGCCTTCTTTACCTGCGTATCGATCCGTGCCTACCAGCATGCTAGCAGGTGCACGTACCTACTCGACCACCGAGTGTTTTTATCATTTATATTTGATTTTATTTATATTTCTACTTTATTCAACATTTTAAAAACAACAACACAACATAAGTAACAGTTATGCTGTATAAGCTCCACAGACATAAGATGCCTGATATGCCTCTCTAACTTTGCCGTTTCAATTAAAAAAAAAATCATCAAACCTACCTATCTTTAGTATCACTCAGAATCAAACTTACCTTAAAGCTAAATCTGAAAAGTCAGAATTAACACATGGGAAAAAAAATAACTTAAATTATATTATCCTGATGGAAACATTTATTAACATAAAAACTAAATTGTACCTACAAATTTACAAATAGTTGAATAGAACATAAGATTAAATTGTGTTTTGTCCAAAACAAATAATTGACCATAGAATTGAAATGAAACAACACATTTTAATTATTCATTTGTTCACACAAACTCAAAATTGAATAATGTTTAATCCATCGTTTTCGAAACATGCATTCCACAAACCACGGAAACCGCGTTAAGCACGTGCAATTCTAACCACATGAGCAGTCCACCAGAAACACATCTAGGCGACACAGCGACTGAAACATAACCGTATCACTTTAATATTCCATATACACTTAATCGATGCATAATTGCACAATGACATGCGACACAAATTAAATGCCCTGAGAGCGCACCGATTACAATCGACACCCGACAAAATTGTGACCTCATATACATTACACGGATTGTGTATATGAAACTCAAGCTATTGTGCTCTTACTCCAACTCACATAACTGTGATATTTCTATTTCAATTTCTAGAGCGGACAATATATATTATTACAAACCATTTGCTGTATATTATCGTAGTCTGAATTTTACATCATGTAAATTTTTCTAAATCTCATCATGTGTTCTAACAAATCAAACGAATGTTAATATTTAAAATTTTCGAAAGTATACAACAATGTTTCACCCTTGACCCTTACTTTTACCGCTATTTCTCACACGACGACAAACTCTAATTATTTTTACAAACTCATCATAAAATAAACAAACAAAGAATGAAATGTTAATTCTTAATCACCAAAAACACCAACAAGAAAAAAAGCAAACAAATAAAACACGTACTATGCAGATAATTAGAACACAACATCCACTAAGGCTTAAATAATAATATTTTAAAAATATACTGACCACACTAGCGCTACCTAGGTGTAAAATTTAAAACTAATTGACGATTAAGTACTACAGCGCCATCTAGTTTATGTGGCACAAAGTAAGCACAGTATTGCAGGAAACTGCAAGACAGCTAACAACGTATTACTGTCAAAACAAAACTTAACAATTAAAAAAATTGGTATTCAGGGAAATTACAAAACTAGTTATAAAGCTAATAATAAATTTCCTTACTTACAATATAATCTAAGTAAGGCCACATTTCGTATTCAGTTGCTAGAGCCCTAAAACAAACAATAATCAGTACCATGATACACAAAAATGCTATTTTTACGACTTCCGCGTAAGAAAATCACAAAACCTTGTAATGATTATCAAAATAAGTTGCCATACCTACAATGACTCTCGTGCAAAGGGCCATTCAAATTCTAGAGCCCCAAAACAATCAAATATCTGTACCGCAAAATACAAAAATGTCATTTTTATGACTTCTCCGTGTGAAAATTACAAAAGTAAGTCATGATCATCAAAAAGAATTACAATACTTACAATTTTATACAAAAATTACTCTCCTACAAAGATCCATTCAGTTTTCAGAGCCCTAAAACAAACAAAAATCAGTGCCTTGAAAAACAAAAATGCTATTTTTGTGACCTCTCCGTTTAACATAAATTTATGTTTGAAAATAATAAACAATAGCAATACTTATAATCTGACCTTCCTGCAAGATTGCATTCGGTCACTAGAGCTTTAAAACCAACATAAATCACTGCCAAAACTGCCAATAATTACAATTTGCATAAAATTTACTTTATTTACGTTATCCGTCATATTTAATTAGATTTATAAATATTATCTGATGCCATTTTACAATTTAAACTTATTACAATCCGCAACTGTAACAATAAATTGTTTGTTTACTAATAAACCCGCAAACAGACAATGTCCCCGTTGCAACATTCACACGATACTTATGTTTTACAAAAATACGATTTACAATCTATCCTCGATTCTGTTATCAATAGCAATCGTAGATGGTCGAAAGAACAGCACGGCGAGATGAACCGCACGCTAAAATCACTTGGCTAGACTAAAACAAATCGGAAAACCCGGGCTCGCATGAAGTTGTGGTCTTATTCAACTAGCGCCACCTGGCAAATTTATTCTCAATCTAATTGGACACAATCAAAGTCTAATATTGAAAGGACTTTATCTGGATCACCCAAGAATGTTATAAGCCAATTTTATAACAATAAAAACTTAATTACACCTGCAATAACTTTATACATCGTGTTTTTAATATCCCTGTGTGGTATTTATTTGAATTTTTCGTAGTCACTGGCGTTCTTCATACAAGCAGCAGTACGTCAATGCCATCTGTCAATTCTTGAAACACTGGTTATGTTGCACTGTTTGTGTTTATGTATTTCCTTGCAAAATCCAAATATATTTGATATTCTCAACAAAACCCTTGTGCAAGCTAAATTCTAACTCAATTATAATTAAAATAAAGCATTGAGGAAATGAAGAAGCGAACGGCAATGTCCAATCACCAATAACCATCGTAAAGGTATGCGAAACTAGTTTGTGGTTAACATCAACAACATTTGAAAATAATTCAAATATCAATTTAGTTTTACATTCTATAATTCAATACCAAAGGTTGCATGTGAAATCACGGGACACTGAATCGTGGAGCAAGCAACATGAATTCAACCAGCTTGTATGTAACAACAAATCAAATCATCCTCAAGTCTCAACCTGAGAATCCATCAAGTTGGCAAGACCTTTACAGACTACTGCCATATCTGCGCAATTCATTATGCTGCGTTGTATGCGGCGGGCTGCTTGTAGAACCTGCATCTCCTGCAGGTGGAAAATGCCAACATCACCTGTGTCAGCACTGCACTGGTGGCAAGAGAAAGATCAAACCAGCTTGCATCTGGTGCAAAGACTGTGATACATACAATGAAAACAAACAACTCCGGACGCTGTTGCAATGCTACAAGAAAATGTGTGTCTACCTGTCCAACTCCGGCATTTATACAGCGCTGCTCACAGAGGCGGCAAACGGTGGTATGGAACGCGCTGCCGCCAATCTTATCGGTTTAATCAAAGAAGGCGCAACTTTCTGCGACGCATACGAAAGTAATATTGGACTGAGCAAAGAAACCTACAGCATCCTACCATGCGTGTTCACAAACTCAGCGACGCAAACTTCAGCGGAGAAGAGCATCGTTACAAACAGCTCGAAAAATTCAAATGGTACACCGATGTATTCTGTGATGTTTGCCGGCAGTGGTAATAAAATTACAATAAAACGCAAACAGAAACCGGAAGAACGCGTTGTAGTAAAGAAAGAAGAGAAGTCAGTGTTTAAAAAACCGACGAAATGCGTGACGAAAACGAGAAGAGGCTGTCGCTGTGGTAATGCAACTGCAACACCAGGAAAACTCACCTGTTGTGGGCAACGATGTCCTTGTTATGTCGATAGTAAAGCCTGCGTGGATTGTAAATGCCGTGGATGTCGAAATCCTCATACCTTGGATGGAAACAAAGTAAAAAAACTTATAAATCTGCTAAATTACTAGTACTAAACATATTTTGCAGGTTTTAAACTTACCACATCATATTATCCAACAATATCAAGAAAATAATCAAAATCAACAACTATACCTAGAACCACATCAGCCACAAATGCAAGAAGTGGAGGAACAAGTCTCAGATATGCAACAATTGCATGTGCAACAACTCGAGCAGCCTGTGACCAGCAGTATGCCCAGTACACCAATGTTGCAACATGTTAAAATAGAACTAGATGCAAATCTTACCTTCGAACAACTTAACGAACATTTAAGTCTCAAAGGTATAACATAAAAATTAAAAACTAAACTTATTTTGTTATAATATACTAAAATATTGTTTGTGGCAGTGTTTGAACCATTCTCAGAAGTCCCACCGACACTACCTCACACGTTTCTCATGCACACGAAGCGCGAAGACCTGGAGGATGAAGAAATCACCGTCGACGTCTGACCTCGGCGATAATCACCAAGTGTTTGCTCACGCCGAGCAAAACCCAAGCCAAAGATACATCATAAACATTTCGTAGTGCAGTATTATCACTAACATGACATTATTCACTTCATATTCCATGTCTAACCATCCCGGGGGTAGTTTTGAGTCAATAAGTTAATAATTACTCGTTAGTTACTTTTGTAAATATTTAAGTTTCATCCTACGTTACTTTCTAAGTTGAATATACCAACCAAACACGCAACGGTAACGTTTTTATTTGTAAGTTTAAATTAATTTGCTAGGTAAATTTTGCTAGATGTGATTCCAGTCTGAGTTTAAAAGTACATTAAAGGCCTCGCAGTAGCACACGGCAACTCTATAAATATCACAAAAATGTACAAAATATAGGAATGAACAATCACATTGAATTTCATCACACTTGTTTGTTTGGTTCGAAGCTAGCACACACACGACGAATGCGATTAATTTTGCTGTTGTGTAAACTTCAAGAAAACCTACAATTTATAAACGTTTTTATATAAGAAGTATTGTGTTCATGTTCACTTACCTGTTCTAAACTTGTTTGGCCAATAGAGTAGTCTTCAATTTCCAGTGAGATTTTCGCGTTCTCCATGATGCCGAACATCCGCGACCATGGCATACCGGCGTCCGCAATGTAATACGTTATCATTTCTTGATGCTGTTCGCGTAGTTCAGCGGACGGGAAGTGTTGCTGCACGAATTCAGCGACTCGTGTTACTGAAGCATCTCCGATGAATGATTGTTTACGTATTTTTAGGATTAACGTAAAACCACGCGAGAATTTACTCTTGAGGTGTTGCGTTGATCCGATACATTTGAACTGTCCGTTGACCATGATTGCCAATCGTGTGCACAGCGCTTCACATTCTTCCATACTATGCGTAGTTAATATCAGGCATTTACCTTCGTCACGGATTTTACACAATGTATTCCATAGGTGACGTTTTGTTGCAGGATCCATTCCTGTTGTTGGTTCATCCAGATATATAATAGGCGGGTCTCCGATTAATGCAACAGCAGTGCTTAGCTTCCTTTTGTTTCCACCACTCATCTGGCGGACCTTTTTATCAAGATGTTGATAAAAATCTAGTTCTTTCGCTAAGTTTTCAGCGATAAAATCACATTCAGAGCGTTCAAAGCCTCTCAATAATGAAAATACTCTGATTGTTTCACGACCTGTGAGGTCATCAAACAATGCGTCAAACTGTGGACAGTATCCAATTTGTTTATATACTTCTTTTATGTTGTACTTTAAGTTTAGTCCTTTCACGAAGACATCACCAGATGAGATATCTGTATCACCAGTGATCATTCGGAAAGAACTTGTTTTACCAGCGCCGTTTACGCCTAGTAAACCAAAACATTCATACCGATTTACTCCTAGGCACAATCCTTTCACCGCAAGGAACTTCTTGTAGTATTTAGTCATGTTACGCACTACCAGATTATAATTACTAATCTCATCTAAGGATAACTCTTGTATTCGTTTACGTTCAGCGACAACATCATTATCTTCATCCTCATCATCCGGATCGTATTTCTTTTTTCCTTGCAACGCATAAATCACTTTATCGAACATTTTGAATTCGATCAGAAGTAGAATGATCAAGCATACGATGCCTACCAGCAAAGTAATGATGATATTCCGAAGAATACCAGGTTTAGCCCATGTGAAATAATGTTCAGTTCGTTCTGTGCATTGATGCTGTTGTTTCGAAATAAACTCCCAGCAAAAATCTTCATCGAAACCAGCTTTCACGCAGATTTGCACAGCTTTCCTACATGTAGTATACCGGAGATACTCTAGATTTGTATTACGTATTCCACTGGTAAGTGCATAATGTGGAATAAACATAAATATCCAGTCGAGAATCCTGGCAATGTCTTGCAATTCCAAAGCCTCAAAGTTTAATATTTCAACCACCATAAACGCAAATGTGCCTACAAATATCAAAAGTTATGTTTTATACATAAACAAATGAAATTTAAATAAATATTTACCTAATATTGTTGTGAAGAGTATAACACGTGTAAATCCAGTCGATGGTAACGCATACCAAAACGAGAGTAAGTAGATAATAGGAAACATGCCGAATGCAAAGTATAAAAGAATAACCGTAAGGTTACCGATATCTTGAACGGTGCGATAGCCATCTTCTTGAAAACAAATCAATGTCACAAGCAACGCAAGTATTGTCAACAGGTACGTGAACCAATCCCAAAGATAAGACACCGACCAAAATATGATAATGTTTACACCAGACACAAACTGCAAGTGTTTCACTTTGCAAATTCGCTCTCGGATGTAATAAAGGATGTAAAACGCTGAAATGAATGTCATGCAGTATCCTACATTCACTGCAAGTTGGAAACCCATATTATTGCCTTGTTGCAATAATCTAAACTGTAATATTTGAAGAAAAAGTTAAATATTGTGTTTTTCATAATAAAAAATGGGAAACTTACCGTTGAATTAACAGATAATGGTAGTGGAAAGTTGTTCACCGTAATTTCATACTCCGGATTGATGGATTTAAGTATTGAGTTGTAGATGAAGTTCAAAACCAATGGCGGCGTGTGGTACGGATCGTTGTTAAACCAACCGACAAGTTTGTTTTTGGCGAATTCTCCGGCGATTACGTACGACATTCGAACTTTCCCTGGTTCATCCGCTGTTAGTTTTAATATGTATTTACTAATACTCTCAACTGGTTTAGATTTTAGTCCGCTGTTGGCCAACCAATTGGTTGCTGCTTTATATGTGTCAGTATCTCCATCGCGTTGTACAAGCGTCACAGACTCGTGATAAACTTTAAGTTGGATTGGTAAAGATGGTAGTTCCTTGATTGCTGATTTTTTACCAGATTGAATTGCAAATATCAACAGTAAAATAGGTATTAGTAATTGGACAACAAATAATGGCCAGGAACGAATTGTTGTTAGTGCTCGCTTCATAAACATGGCGCGGATGTGATTCATTCGCAGAGCGCAACCGGAAAGTTGTTTATGTCCCCCAACATCAACTAAATATAAGTTAATTTGTTCGATTATAATTAATTTTAAAGTATAATTTGTACTCACGGCGTGTTTCTGATGGATTTCGTTCAATACCATTCGATGTACCATTTGTAATGGGTTTACCATCACCGTCGCCATCTTTCAAACGTGCTTTCTGCGCGGATAGTGATGTACTGTCAGCTCCAACCCTACAAAATTGAATTAACCACACAAAACAATAATTTATTCCGATTACTTACTTCATAAATACTTCTTCAAGTGTAGTCAAAGAAATTCCATAACTTCCTATTCCTAAATCATCTAAATTACTCTCAATTTGCAACAACATAGGTTCAAATCTAAATGCGTCCTCTTCATTGAGTAGATAAGTCAACTCGGAACCAATATTCGATTCAACATGTGCATGTGGAATGTGTTGCCTTACAGTATCCGTAACTTTACTCACATCGCAACTTGGCAGTTTTTCAATAATTAAATGGTATCCAGCACCATAACGCTTCTTCAAGAAGAAACTCGACCCACAACACTGTAAAACCCCACCAGCCATAATAGCAATTCTATCACCTAATAAATCAGCCTCGTCCATAAAGTGTGTAGTCAACATAACAGTCCTTCCGGTTTTCTGTGATTCCACCAATTGCCATAACGCTCTTCTAGCAGCTGGGTCCATTCCAGCTGTAGGCTCATCCAACATAACAACTTTTGATCCTCCACAAAACGCCACAGCAACAGATAATTTACGTTTCATTCCACCGGAAAGTGTTGCTGATCTTTTATCCCTTTTATCTTCTAATTGCAGAAGTCTGAGATAATGAGTTATTTCGCCTTCTATTTCATTAGCGGGCATGCCTTTCAATCGACTGTAGAAATATATATGCTCAGCAACTGTGAGTTCGTCAAAGAGTATATTATGTTGTGGACAAAGCCCTAAACTCTGTCGCACTTTTCCTATTTGCGTACGCAGGTCATATCCGTTGACAACCGCCGTACCAAAAGACGGATTCTCCATGCCGGTAAGCATTGACATTGTGGTAGTTTTACCAGCACCATTGTGTCCAAGCAGAACTGTGATCTGCCCTTCGTACATTCGTAAAAAAATATTATTCACAGCGCGTTTTTCTTTTTCGTAGATTTTAGTGAGGCCACGAATATCAATTCCAGGTTTCATATCCTTTGGTTCCTCTTCATATCTAGTTGGATCTGAATTACCATCCTCAGGGAGCTGATCTATAGAAATATAAATTTAATTCTGTTTAAGTAACTCGCGCTTTGTATTGTTTTACTTCTAATTTTTCCGTTTTTCTTATACATCCACGAAAATATAAAGTTCCATTTTTTGGCCACTCCATATCTTCCGGGGAAAATGGCTTCCACATAAAGCGCAATCAATAAATAAATAATACTGTCCACAACCAGCATGAGTAAAATATGCGCCATTGCTAGATTATCATCCGGAGTGACCGGACGGAACAAGTTATACCATTGTAATCCTTCCCCGGTGCTTTCAAACATACAGATTAATTGAAAACCATACGCCATTGCTGTATTTGACATCAACGACGCAGATAATTTCGTAGACAGTGCTAATTCTTGATAGTTCTTTCTAAGTATCGTATGCGGTACCAAGAAAAGAAAGAAAAGCACACCTCCAATACCAGCCGCCATGTTGGCTATAACAAAATAATAAAATTAAACAAATATCACACATAAAGTGAAAATTAGCGTACCTTTTGTAAAGAATACACTAATTGCAAAACATAATGTTATTGTAGCAATGGCGTAGAGTACCAAGAATATCAACAACAAAGCAATGCTGCATTTTGGTAGAACAGGGGGAATGCCCTCATCATACCACGCGCTGATCTTAAACAGCGTTACCATAATGATGATTGAGATGAGCATGAAAAGCAGCGACTTAACGAACCATGCCGTCCAATGTAACCAACCGGGGAGTCCCATAATCTTCATCGATTCCTGCCGACATAAAGCACATGTTCATGACCCACGCGTTCTGACTCATACAATGTTCGCAAACAATTCATTTTACGATAATTGCCCAAATTAATAATTCATTCACCGAAAGAGAAACATGACATTGCAGAATAACTATAGAAATAAACCTATTTATATAATATATTGACGCACACGTGTGCAATTAAATCATAATCAACATTGTTATATGAAGAATTCCTAGATAACGCGCGATTTATTTGCCCAACGACAATTAACTACTGTTAACACCGTTAGTTTTCACTTAACTGTTATCGATTCGTCTTAGTTTTTTTTGCATATCGATTGTTTTTCTCGTGAAAGTAAAGGTATTTACCTTCAATTGTTTCTCCTTTTCGGTAGTGATGACCTTGATGATTGAAATGGCCGTGTACTCGAAGGCTAGTACAATAATTAAACCAATCATATCGCGCATCACGAGCATCAACAGATCGTTGATGAATGCGGGATAAGGAAAGCGACGCATGGTAACTTCCGGCTGGCTGGGCGCCAATCCGGCGCCAGATTTCGCCTCCACGATTGCCTGCGAGATGTAACTTTGCAGTGCCAGGAAATTCTCCGCGTAATAATCTACGAAAATATTTAATTAACATTTAGATTAGTCATTTTACTAATATATGTAATTAAAACATACAAGGTTGCGCTGTGGTGTTGGTAAATCTTTCACGTGGACCAGCTTCTTGAATTAAAGGATAAAGTAAATTTGTTCTCCATGTTAACACAGTCACGGGACTAAATGTCGATTGTAATTCAGATGGAAATCTAAAAATAAAAAAAATAAAAACATTAAAATTGAATTTAGTCATATTGTGTAATAATTACACAGGTTAAGTTAGGTTAGGTTGAATTACCTGAGTGTAAAGTCAACTTTCCGAGGAATATCCACCATGTTTGCGTATGAAGCCGGAAATACAATTCCTACTCTCTTCGATGGTGTTGATACCAAATAGTTTTCTAATTCTTGTGCTGTTGCAAATCCTTTCATTATGTTGGTTACGTTTTCACAGTCCGGCCGGCATTTTACTATCATTTCCGTTACATCCTGCATCAGATTGTTGACGCCATTCGATGTATTGGGAGCAAACGCAATTTTATACCGGCTTAATGTATTATTTTCATACGGAGAGAATTCAGGATAATGCACTTCTTGGATTTCTTCACTTTCAACTAATGACCGGACTAAAACCAAGATGGCGCAGAAGAAAACCGGTACCAGAATCTCAAAAAGTGTTTGCACCGGATGTCGTAGCTGTAATTTCCAGTTCTTCCACATTAACAAGCCGAATTTACCGAGTTTACTGTCAGCCATTTTGTCGACTCTAAAAACCACAAATAAAAATTAACTTTTATGTTATAAACATTCAACTAAACTGTTAAACTATTAAAGCAAAGTTGTTGAACTCTGTTGAATGATTATAGGCGCATAAAATGTTTAAAGGGTTGTTCGCCCGTAGCAATAAAATATTCAAAACTTTTCCGAAACATGACTTGATGTTATCCCCACCAGAGCGCGCGCACTGTCCGAGTGTGTGAAAACTCGGTCAATGCGCGGAAAATACTCCCACCGGCTTTGATACTGACCGTGAAAATCTCAGCCGGGAATGCACTTGCCAATCGATACGAATGGACAACAATTGACCACCTGTACACTGAAGTCTCTTACCTGTCTATGGCGGGTGGCACTTGAATTTCGCGAATTTTCCGGATAATTTCGTTTGGTTTTTAGATAATCATACGTCAATCATGTTTGGCAGCGCGTGAATCACTCGCGCGCGCTGATCACAATGCGGTGCGTCGAGCGTCGTAATATAGCAACAAATTCCAGGGGATATGTACACGCGCGAGTCTGAACATAGAACAATTTATAGAACTACGACCACACGACACGAACGCGGCTGCTGGTGTAGTGTTGCTGTTGCTTCACGGCCGCCGAGCGTCGTGTGAATGATTAAAAGGCGCGCGGTTTGGCCGCCCCGCCGCCGCAATTATATACGCGCATCGGACACCGTTAGATCCGCAAACACAAACAAGACAACAAATATGAACGCGCGTGTGCGCGCGGAGAGTTCAAGTTTACGTCCTTCCAGTCGCGCGAACTGAAAGAACTGGAAAATATGATCGAGACGAGACGGCGACAGCATGAGTCGCCACCCGGGGGTTGATTTCCCGATCGATTTACACGCGATGTCGCTAAGGGAAAGTCGTATATATTATTTATTTACTAATGATCCATCTAACGCGTTAATAATTATACGTTAGATGTAGATGTGTGTATATGCATATGTGAAATTGTAAGAATATTCGCATTCGCAATATTTCGTAATGGAACAACTAACGTCATAGTTTATTTCGCTTTTGGAAAATGTAAATTCATTCGAAATGCGATAATACCCAGTGGGTGTGCGAGTCATTGATTCGTGTAAACAATGTAACGTGTGACGCGTTCAATAATTACCATAATTACGGTCAGGAGCATTTCAGGACACGTTTTTATTTTCAATCGAGGTCACGCGATCAGAAAGCGATGAAACATGAACGAGCATAAATATTTGTTGGGTTTTGAATCCTAGATGATTTTTCAGCCGTGAAATCGTTTAAACTGCTGTCAATTTCTTATGTTTTACATTGTTTTGTTAATGTTAATAAAAAATCATGTTGCGCATGCGCGAATTTAATTACCAGTCAGATTGTAAGTCGTTGACAAAACAGGGACAATAAAAGTATAGGGATTTTTTGAGGAAACACAAAAATTAACCGCAACTGATTAAAATTGCATTTGGTTAAAGTTGCAATTTTGTACTAAAATTCCAAGTAATGATAAGTAATGTGGGTGCTAACAGTTGTATCTGATTCTGGCAAAACCCGCGCCTTGCACAAGTTGTCATATGTGCCAAGTCAAAGTGACGCGTTTTTTTTTCGTTACATTTAATTCGTCACTCTACACAAACTTTAGATTACTGCCTTCTTGTGCAAATTTCCGGTTCAAACCGCACTGTCTGGCATGTGAACGTATTTTTAACATTTGGCAAAATATAACGAAATATAACTAATAGCTAAACTACTTTGTATGCCGCTACAAATAGTTTATAAAAAAGAACTCATTATAAATGATGAGAAAATATAGTGTTATTACCTTAAGTAGGTAAATGATAGGTTACATTAGGGTAAATTATATTTATGACCTTTTTTAAAATAATTTACCCCTTGTCACCTTTTACCTTTGGTATTAACGGGTATACGCAGCACGCGACTATCTACGTCGTAGTAACTTACCCCCACCACTTTTTGCGGGTCGTCGCAAGTATAAAAGGCAAACGCAGGAGCTGCAGGTTCCTAAATTCCTCTTTCCTCCTCCCTGCTGACCCTGTGAGGTTATACCAAGTTATTTAAAGGATTTATAGGATGCGTAATGTCGCTTCCAATCACCACTTACTTAATAATATAATATATTTTTTATGATCAACATATAAAAGCACAATTTCATTAAACCTTGTCATGTGCCAAGAGATTTGGTAAATTTTTCATCTATCCCGTCCGTCGCACCATCATTTCATAATTTAACAACCACTTAATTTAGTCACATCGAGTGGATCTCATAATAAACTTGTTTTTGTTACTTTTTTTGGGGGAAACAAGAATTACATCAATTGGTGTACTTGTACTCGCATCGATATTTACCACGTAGATTATGCATTCGTTTGCAAAACTGAACCGTAACAAAAGAACACCATGAAGAACAACGCGACGATACAAATATCTAAGTTATCATTATTACTCTTTTTGTTTTGTGTGTGTGTAATACCTGGATTGTGGTGCAGCCGTCGCTAGTGCGGCAGTCACTTCAGGATGAGGGAAATGTTTGACACGATGCAATCGAATATCGAAAAATATTATGTTTTGTGCGTGGGCGAAGCGTCGGCGCCGGTGGCCGCCAGTTTCGACTTGAGGCTGCGCTGCTTTGTAAAAGTAGCGCGCCCCAGCGACGTGGAGGTGCCCATCTCCAGGTCGCGACTGATTTCTTTCTCCGTGGGTGATCCAAGCGTCAGACTGGAGAGACTCGATGAGAGATTCATGTTGGAGCTGACGCTTAGCATCGACGGGTACTGCTGCATCTCGCCGTTTTCACCCTCGGACTCCTCAATGGGTAAACAGGTCTCAACCATCGCCTCGAGACAATTCACAAACAGCTCGCTGCTCTCCGCCGTGTTGTTGTACTAATTCAAACAATTTACATGAAAATGTTTGACAGTTTTGTACTGTCATATTTTGGTTACCTTGTTGAATGGTCCAGCAAATCTCCACAAGCCTCCAAATCCGCAACTTTGCAGATAGTGCAATTGCTGTTGACTGGTGTCCTCGCATGCGATCATATTCTGGATAATGTTACGTACAGAGCTTAAAATTACTTGGTCATGGCATGATGTCAGTACGTTATTGATTTTCATATCCAACAAGTTGTATCTGAAATCATTTCCCTGCTGGTAATACTAGTTTAGATGACCAAAGAGGATTTATATACATAACCGGAAATACTTTCGGGAAGACAACGGCCCCTTCGGCCAAATACTGATACAAGATGCGTGTTTCCGCCTCGTCCGTGCTGTACTTCACAAGGGTGGCAAGCACAGTCAATACCAATGCTTGTGTGGAAAAGTCCGTCAGCACATCCGGATCCAACAGGATGTTGTTTTCGTTGCTTACTGAAACTCGTGCGCTTCGCGCCTGCAACAGAATAATGCTTAATGCATGTCCGCCATTTTGAACAAATGCTACCAGCTACATTGTCCTCGCATCTAACCACCCTAATAAAACGCATAGGGTTTGCACTACAAGGTGGAGATGGGCTACAATACAATAAGACACGATGCAATATATGGTGCGACAATTTCTGCGGGTGCACCATATGATACAGAAACGAAAGCACACATAGAAAAGGAATCCAAAACAGAAACAAAACCAGAGCGATTACCTTCGTGTCGTCGAGGTGTTTCGACTCTTTGGTCGAGGGCACCGAAAACGAGCGTTGGGTTTTGAAGAGGGCGCGTGCGGTCTGACGGGCGAGCCCCAAACACCCAGAGAAAGCAGGCAAGACAAAAAAAGAGACAAGCAGCAAAGAATTAATCGCGAGTCACCTGTAGTGGGTGCTCGGCGGGCAGCACAGGCCAAAGAAGGGCAAGACGAGACATCATCATCATCATCATGATTGTGACCGAATTTCCAAACAAAGGTGAGAAAAATTTCATTGCACACCATACCAAAACAAATCGAAAACTTGCGATGTATGTATAGAACGTAAATTTGTAGTTGAAGAGACAGACAGAGAAATAGAGACGTAATTTGCACACATTTATGTTGTTGAGTGGATGCGTTGAATATTTGCTGTTTTGTTGCAAGTTGCAAAGTGTTCTTACTTTGGGTACGCTAACGGGCGGGCTCTCTTGCATCGGCACCGAGCTTGACCGCCGACTGCCGTACGTGGTGCGTTCGCCGCCGTTCGCGTGATGGCCGCCGCCGGCCGAATGCGTCAGATCAAGGCTGCGCCATGCTTTATTCGCCGCGCGCTCGACCTGTTTGTGGGATGGACGCAGTCACACTGAATCAGTCATCAAATGCTAAACATACAAGCCATACACAATGTCGGCCACCGAGCGGGGCTTCTTCCAGAGGAGCAAATGGTGCGCGACGCGCCATCGCAAATGTCTCAAGTATTTTATGTTCAAAATGGGGGGCGGGCGGGGGTTAAGAGGGGGAATGAAAGTGTCAGCGAACCAACCTGTGTGTACCGAGCATTAAACATTTAGCGGCCGGCCAGACAGACATATAAGTTCTAACTACCCTTTCGGTCCAATGCACAATTACGAACAATACAAAATCAGAGTGGCAAATATAGTAAACACATCCTCGACACGTTACCTGATGTTGTGCGGCGGTGGGTTTGTGGCGTGCTGTTGCCGCCTGTGCAATCGCTGTCTGATCCAACATGTCCCAAGATTTTTGACGGCGGTTAACATTACCCCCAGCTTGGGTTGCACCTGCACCTGCAGGATTCGCAGTTGAATCAGGCATGAAAGCTTCTTGTACCATCGGATCCATATAGCGTGGTGACGAGTGTTTCATATGGCATCGATTGCGTACCTCTTCAGAAACCCCTACCAATGCTACAAAAACAAATAAAAATAAAACTTTCTACCAAACAAAACAAAATAACATACCCGTCAAATAAGCAATGCTGTCAGGAGTAACTTCAAACTTATCCTTTCGATGAGGCCTGGCAATAATACCCAATAACATAGTAAGAACCCTCACGGTCCGTGATACTGTTGTCGGTGTTGGATGCCGGAAACCTTTTAGTAGGTGTCCAACCAAAGCAAAATGAAAATTCGCCTTGAAGCTAAGTCCCACCGCATGATCCAGTTGCTTAAAGTGCCATTCCAGCTTCTCTCTGGTTTGCATCATGACTTGGTCTAGAGAAGTTTCATCAAACACTCCTTGTGAGTCCAAAGTATGCAAATTCTGTTCAAGTAATGCTAAACCGGAAGCGTACAATGACGCTTCGTCAAGTTGTAGTACCGATGTAGCCACCCAGAACAACGCTTTGTGAATCGGTGATTCCGATCGCAGTAATGGCTGTAATCTGGTCAAACACATAACTAACGCTTCAATTAACACCATATCGTTGAAACTCTCTAGTGCCTTCACGAGAATACGCAGTAATTGCTTCATATCATGATCTGTGACGCTTTTGCTAATACATCCAAATACAATAAGCGCACGCGGCTGTAGCGCTGGATTGAAACAAAATGCGAAACCCTTGGCCAGCGACATCCAACTGTTTAACCAGTCGCATTCAGGGATGTCCCTCATGCAAGCCTCTAGAATTTCCAATAGCGCATCTGTGATGACCTCCAATGAAGTCAGAGATAATCGTTCTCTATCTCCAGATGCACCTGAAAAACTCCTCTCTCCGAACCATCGGTCACTCGGATTGCGGTAACTCGAACGGAAAGCTGTGACAGCAGCAGACTTCACCTTACTGATGCCAAACAACAAATAAAACTTTGGCAGAGAGAATTCATCCAAGCTCAAACGCAACACACGCTGCGTCTCCTCTGAGAATGACGGTTTTGTGCACGTGCATAACGAATGAATGATGTTGATCACCAGGCCATGGGTAGACGCACGCATACTGAGCGACCCCGAGCAGACGAGGAATGTCACGGTGTGAAACAGGTACGGAAGGTGGCGCGCCACATCCAGGCAATTGTTGAACGACAACATGAGCAAGTATCGCGCGAGGATTGCAATATCATCCCACATCATGTGCTGCTCCAACAATTGCGTCGGCGACTGACATGTTTTATCCACAACTCGGCACAGTCGACCAATTACCTTCTTCGCTACCAGTTGTACATTCGCGGATGCAAGCGCAACTGCAGTGTCCGCCATTATTTCCACCATTGGGGAACCCAAACCGGAACTGACTGATTTATGAATGAAATTGTCGAGCACCATATCGATGAGTTCAGGCACGTTACCGATCGAGCCCCAGATCTTCGCCTGGATCGACGGGTACATTTCAACCTCTTGAATTGTGAGCGTTATTAGTTTTTCTAGAATTTGTGCGACTTGTTTTTGGCGTTTGTTCTCGTCTGCTGGCTTGCAAAATCTAAACAAATTTTTTTTAATGATATTTTTGTTTACCATAGACAATCAGGGAAATGTTTAACTTACCTTACTAAATTCGCAAGCCATGGTGTCATGTACTCCAAGCACAAATGCTTCAACTCGATGCTAGAAACGCGAAAACCCTGTATACACTCCTCGAGAAACTCCAGCGTCAAATGCGGTTCATTTGTCGCGAGTGTTTCCGACACCGTTTTGATAAATATCGTATTATTCGAGGGGATGCACAGGCCGGAAGTTTCGAGCAGCTGGCCCTCGATTTTGAGATCAAACGTTGCAGTCAATGCGCACAGCTGATTGTAGGCGGCCGTGCGCAGATTCGGGTCCGAGGAGCCCAAATTTAATAAAGCCATGTTCAGCAAAGTGCCAGGAACATCTTTAGGCCGAATTTTTTGATGCACCGTGACGGTATCCTGCAAAAACTAAACCAAAACGTGTTTATCTTACAAAAAAAAACACCTTTTCTATTATTACTTACTGGCTGACTAAGTTCCCAGCGATTCCTGATGTGGATAACCGCCTGAACGATGCTATCACAATCGTTATGAATGAAACTGAGCGGTCCGCTCTCATTCGCGATAGTCAACGTAAACTGATTATCGTCCACTAAACACACTTCTTCGATCTCCGACGCGTAATACACATCATTCAAAAGAACAGAGTGTGATAAAACTTTGGTTTTCTCAGCCGAGGTGATCTGAATCGCCGTCGGGCCTACCTTAATTGCAACCTTTGTATCTTTGTGCGATAATTTCAGCGCATTGTTAAAGACTTTCAGGTCTTCATCAAGACTCAGCGTAGCGCCTGGGAGTTTCTGCTGGTCAAGTTCGATGAATTCATTTAGGCGGTTCGGCGCATCGATGAAAATCATCTTGCGATTGCCACGCAAGGGAACAAGGATACGATCGTGAAACTTGGTGTACTCACGCACCCAACTGTTGCAGTTGTAAATGTAGGCGGCGTGGATGTTCACATAGGCGACTTCTGGCAGCACGTAGAACCATTTCTGGAGGAACTCGGTGCGGAACCTGTTGTCCGAACATGTGTGTGTGAAATCCACCACGAGCTCAAACGGCGAATGGCAGAAGGGTTTCAGTGTAAGAATCACATGGTAAATTAACAAATCACCATTTGTTTCGCCAATTCTATGAAAAAAGTAACAAGCCATTATAATAAGACGTAAAATGTCACTTTATATGTTTACTTACTTATATCTTCGTGCAATATAATAAAATACTGGATGACCAGCTTTGCTAGTACCAGCCTGATAGAAAATATTCAAAGATTTGATGGATTTAAACTCCTCTTTCTCATGCATGTTGTGTTTCACCATGATTTCCTCAAAGTTGGTCGAGGACATGTCAATTGAACTCCATCGCGCGTAGGATGAAAACAACAAACTGCAAGGAACACTACATTTCATTCTCTAGCTGATATCCTGTGAATATATCATAATGTAACTTACTGTGAATCCACAGGTTTGTGTTCTGGTGGTCCCAAATACGCCAACAGCGTCGCCATCTTGTCGAAAGGTCTTCTTCCGACTGCTTTGTGATCCCGACTACTCGATAAATAATCCCCAATCTTCTCCTGATGATTCCAGAGTAATCTATGCAATGCTAGGACATTAGCGTCGCTGATAAATGACATCGAATGTGCTGTTTGATCCACAGTCTCACAATCCGAAGCGATTTGTATGAAAAATCGGCGGCCATGTTCGAAATGCGCTCGTAGGAAGTCATTAAACGATAGCATATGTTGTTCTTTGCTAAATTCAACATGATTCGCAATGTTTTGGAGTATTTTCGACATTAACATCAATCCACGCTTGACGGCCGGTTGTACTTGCTTCGTTACAATGCCCATTTCCTGAGGTGATACTATTGCAGGGTTTATAAAACGTAGAAATATTACGGTGCCCACCGCTCCAATGTTGTTCTGTGGAAATTGTGGGAACCGCTTGCTCAGGACTTGATAGAGACAATGACACATCGACCGTAACTGCGGAGGGAACTTATCCGCAGAAGATACAATCGTGTCAAACACCACCTGAGTTAAATTGATAAGACTCTGTCGATTCTCCTCGATATCTTCATGCGGTTCCAATCGTGCTGGGTCCACTTCAAAACTGCAGTTTGTGTCATCCAACAACGGGCGAATCAATGGTTCCAAAAGAGTTTGGAGGTAACTAGCACCGTATATTTTGAAACAAAACGCCATAATCTTACTTCCCAGAGAATTACCTCTAAAGAGTGTTTGCATACAGTCTGAAACCTCTACCTCTCGATAAAACATATTCCACAATAGCGGACTTAGTAGATGTTTAGCGTCGAAGAGTGTAACAAAAACACGCGCCAATTCGTCCATTTGCGATGTGGTCACAACATTCGCAAGAGCCATCGCAATAGGCAATTCACCTTTATCTGAGATCATCGTGACTAGTTGTACCAATTGTTCAAATCTATCCGCGAGAACTGTTTCCGCAAGTGTATCAAATTCAGTTCCCTGTTGGAGAATCTTCGTTAGTACCTCCATGAAAGCCGCGCGTGTTTGTAAATCTCGATTGTAGCCTAGATCAATCGAATGCATCAATCCACTATCAATATTAGCAGATAAAAGATTTGACATTGCTTGAATGGTCGCATTACGCAACGTATTCAACTTTCCAGCGTTGATTCTCTGCCGGCTGACATCTTTATCAACATCCGGAGCTTCCGAGCAGTCATTTAACAGATTCATAAATAGAGTGAAATATTTAAGAAAAAGTTGACTTTTTGCTTCCATTAGATCACCACGATCAGATTCCTCAGGTTGTAAGGGTAAACCTCTTAACAGCGCAGCCACAGCTTCCATACACGCTTGATCTAAATCTCTTGTAATAAGAGTGACATCTCCAGAACTAGGCGGTGCGATTTGATGTGAAGTACCCATAACCCAATCAGTCAAATATTCAACCAATTTATTTCGGAACTTCATTTCTTGCCTGAATGCCAAGTCATCGCGACGCTTCATCATCGCCTCCACAAGTTGACACAGTTTTGTTTTGATGTGTATTGCATGCACGGTCATATCAAGATGGCGGACATATCGAACAATCGCAAGCATCATTCCTTCAATGCTTGTAACACCAAGGTGTTCAGCAGGTTGATCGTTTTTAGTGCTATCCAAGATATTCTTCATTATAAAAATGATGTGTTCAATAAATTGAGTATTAACATCGGACACAACCACTTGTCCCTGTTGATCAAAGAACTTATCAACGATTGTTTTGATTTGTTCGAAGAGAATTGGATAGAGGGCAGATGACATTTCATGCCCAACTAGTTCCTTTACGTGTTTCTGAATCTGCGCGCCGAATTTTTCATTACTGCACACCAGTAATCGCAGTAGTAGATCAACAAATTGTGTTACTGGACAATATTGTCTTTGTTCTTGACTGCTACTTGTCAATACACTGCTGGATTTACGACTGTCAGATAAGGAACTCACGGATGATAAAGAACTAATTGTGATAGAAGAACTTGAGTGAGAGGAACCTGTCAAAGTCGGCCGTGATGGCGACTTCCGCTGCAGACAAACACCACCCAGAGCGCATAGAAACCCAGTCATATTCGCCCATTCATTGATTTGTTCCTCCAGCTCATGCTCGGAATTCTGATGAGATGCTCTCCTCTTACCCATGGATCTATGAAACGGTTCCATTTGTCCATCTTCAACCTTCGCCTTCGGATACGAAGCTAGATTCTTCCACATCGAGTTCCAATTCATGAAAGTCTCCTCCCAGGCTGGTTGCACACCATTTACACAATGTTCTATTTTACGTAACAACACCATTATACGTTTCTGAAGTGCAGCGCGTCCGTTCACATGTTCTGGGAAACACATTCTTGACTCACCGGTTGCAGTGGTGAGAACTGTACTCGCCTGTGCTAAATCTTGATAAACATGATAGTTTGGGACCAAGTACGTGACAGTCACCTCGTCTGACCCACAACGTATCTCTGCTTCTTGACACAACAACGCGAAACAACTCATTGCAACCAAGACAGCGTCCATGTCAATACTCCACAGGTACATAAAAAACACAACTTCCAGTTTGATATGCGCCTGTTTACAAATGGCGATCTGACTTCCCAAATTCGCGTATTCTTTGTGTCTTGACAAGAAAGCATTGCGGCATATTAGAATCTCGCGCAGCCATTTTAAAATATCCGTATAGTTCATAATCTGGTGTTGTATCAGTTTCTGTGAGATAGAGAACAAAACCTGCGAGCTTACATCCCAGAAAGTGTTAATAGGCGCTTCAGGATTCCAAACTTCGATTTTTTCTGGATGATGTAACACCAGCAGAGCTTCCATGGCTTCCTGAGCGACGTCTGTCATTGTCGGCTGATGTACCAATGAGACTAATCCGTTGATCAGCTCTAAAGTAGAGCTCTGGATCTCGTGACCAGCCTTACCTTGATTGTTCAACATAAGCATCGGGTCCGCATGTATTAACCGCACCATATAAAGTAGCAAATTCCGATACCCAGGAATCTCTTCAGCGCGGTCTTTGAACTTCGCCTGGGAGTCTTTACCTTTAAGTTGCGTCAATGATTGAATCATGCGCAGAGGTGTGTGCGTTATGTAACCCTGAGCGACTTTGTTTAATGTGTCCGTGAACATGGCGCGTAATTCTGAGGATTTGGTGTAAACGAGATCAATTTTCGGCCACCAGTGCAGCTTTGGTTGAGTTACAATTCTAAAATGACATAATTATAAATATATACTACAAAAAGCAATATAAACGTTACCTATAGAGAGATCTGACTAGAACAAAGTGATAGGTTGATGGTGACGTTAAACTCAAACAAATTTTAATCGGATCGTTGTTGTGAGGCTTGATGCGGAAACAAGAAACGAAACAGTCAATCATCAAATCCATGTCTTGATAGAGATAATTCTGCCCTCTTGAGAATGGTTTCGATGGATTGAATAACAAAGTCTAAAAGATAAATTATTATACCATTATAAATAATAAATTAATTAGTACAAACCTTCAAATCATTTATAACGCTCTGTACTAAAGTAAAAGCCACATGATTCGAATCTAGGATATTAATATAAGTCGAAGCTTTCATGAGTTTTACACAGGTAACAGCCGCGGCTTCGGTGAGTTGTTTACTGGAATTACCATGAGGTACAACTGCGCGTTTCACTGAGTCGATGAATTGTTTCTTTTTATTGTGTCTTGGGGAACATGGCGCTCCACTGTCAGCGTTCACAATTTCCTCTAGGACTTTCTAAATAAATGTATTAATATGTAATGCAAATGATTGCTTATTATTGTAACGTACCGGCGATAAAATTAGGAGCATTATTTGTAGGGGCCACACAGCAGCTCTGCCTTTCTTGTTGTCTGCAAATGTGTCCAAAATATCAAAAAGTTGCTCGCAACACTTGGACAACTCTTCATTGGGGTTTTTCTGTAATTCGGCAAACTCGTATGGGTACGTGTCCATCCAGTTCCAGATTGCTTTCTCCAGAGAGTTCATCAGTACAAGATGCGCGGACTTTTTCAGAAGACGAAACTTTTGTATCGCTTCTAATGCAAAACATTTTAATTGTAATTATAAGTTTTACTTGTTTAAAAATCTTATTTTTACCTGTTAAAAGTCGTGTTAATCTGGTTTGGTCAACATTGATATGCTGTATGAGTTCAATATCACTGTAATCAGGATTCTCATCCGGACAGGAGGCCAACTCTTGCAGTTTGGAGGAAATTCGAGAAAACACCGAGTTAAAGAAGTTGACGCTGAGCGCAAACAGCACCTTACTGGCCAAGACTTTGATGGCGTGAATAGTTGGATTGTCATTAGACATATCTACAAAAGGGGACGAATAATACAGGTAACATAACAAGTTGAACATTGATAGGGAAGAAATATGTAAGGCTACCAACCCAGGAAGGTACAGATCTCCTTTAGCAAGGACTTTAAATTTTGATTCTCCTCCATGGTTAATGTAATACTGTCTTTCGGTTGTATGCTAAAGCATTTCTCGAGTGTCTCGAGCACAATGAGTAAACTGTCGTAGTAGTTTTTCTCGAGCTCTGGCCCGTGCTGCCTGGGTGCGCCGCACGTCCCCATTTGATACTGAAGCAATCACAATTGTGGACAACACAATAGAGATTAGCACAGGATCAAGCAAGTTATTACAAGTAATCATGCATCAATCATCATTTGCTTGATCCCATTAGCACACTAAAGGTTCTTCATTTCAAGACAACACCCCAAAGGGATCATGCAAAGTTCGGTGTGTGTTCCATGGGGACAACCTACCGATTCATGAATGCGTTTTAGGACCTTGACGAAGCCATCCAGAATCAACGCAAACCTGTAGCGCGAGATCTGGATGATGCAGTTCTTGTTGTGTTCTTCATTGACTCTGGAGTGTGAGGTCTGGCCACCTGTCCGACATGGTAGCTGCAAGAGGGAATACATTATCATCAAATGGCAACAAGTTCTCAATGGGTGGACTTCATGAATGAAGAGCGGAAGGCCTTGGGTGAGTGCATGCTATCGATTGGGAGGCGGGCGCGTAAAGACGAACTTCCCGGTGGGAAATTGCCGGCGAGGGCGGCGACCGACAACCCACTCACCTGCTCCTCGAAGCGGACGATGAGGATGTTCGCCCACTCGCCGGGCTTTTGCGTTGCCATCGCGGACCGCTGTGGTGATTTACATTATTATGATTGCGCTCCACTTCGGAGAATGGCTTTTTGACATTTAAGTCGCGCTTCGACCGGAGCTCCCTCGGCTCACTCGTCCCTGTGGCCCATTGACGATTGTCGAAGGCCGTACGAAGCACAACAAACGGAGACGGACCATGGAACAAACCCTACAGACGGTGCCTCATGCTAGTGTCAAGGGGGCGCGTCGACAGTGCATTTTCATCTCCAAAGGGGCCGCTACTGACCCTATTTTAAACAAGAAATAGATTTTAACAACAAAACAAATGCAGAATTAATACTTTACTCATTCTACTTGAGTGGTATAAAGAAACGCACTTAAATACAATATAAATGCAGTTGTTTTATGCAAACTACTTTTATTTTATGACATATGATATTAACAGATACGATTTATTGTAAACAATAACAATTTAACCTTTATCTTTATAATAACAAAGTCTGTATTTATGTCATACTGGTTTTAAAAAGCTTTGCAATGTTTGCTGCAAAAGATGGCACGACCCGCACCTCACGCAACATTTAACTTTACCACGTGATTATCTCTCTCCACTGTAAATGGAACAGCCGGTTCGTCGGCTTGAATTAGACTTCAACTTATCAATCAGTTTAAGTACCAGGCAAGCGTTGCCGGCGTCGTTTGTGGAAGCCACTTTTTGATAAAACTAAACTAGGTAAGTACTCACCTAGTTACATGGCGTATTCGTTGCGTTTCCTGTGTGTTATCGCGTCTGCGTTGTTCGTTTTCCGATTGTAGACATGCTCGCTCACGCCGTGCGCCGTCCACTAACCAACCTACGATTATTTTCTTCTTTGGTTAAAGGCATGGAGCAGCATCAGGTCGTGCCGGATGTCATCCCGACGGCGCCGAAGGAAGTCGCGGAGGTATGCATACACAACACAAGCACAAACAGTCTGAAGTTTAAGTTTTTTCGTTTGTTATTGTTAGGTAACTTATCCGAGCGGCGTGAAAGTCGACCTTGGCAATGAATTAACACCGACGCAAGTGAAAGACGTGCCGAATGTGAAATGGACTGCGGATGCATCCGCCTTCTACACTCTCTGCATGACTGGTAAGAGGAAAACAATCATTTAACAAGATACTTCCGGTCCCAAACACCGGAAATTGTATTACCGGGCACATTTTATACATTGTGTTAGGGTATACCATTAAATTAAATGTTTACAGATCCCGATGCACCAAGCCGTAAGGAACCGACTTATCGCGAATGGCACCACTGGTTGGTAGGCAACATTCCCGGCGGGGACATCTCTAAAGGTGAAACCCTTTCTGCTTATGTAGGATCAGGCCCTCCAGAAGGCACTGGACTTCACCGTTATGTCTTTTTAATCTACAAACAATCCGGCAAGTTGACTTTCGATGAACAACGTCTCACCAACACATCTGGTGACAATCGCGGCTGCTTCGCCATTAAGAAATTCGCCGATAAATACCAATTAGGTGATCCAGTTGCTGGTAATCTTTACCAAGCTCAATGGGATGACTACGTCCCGATTTTATACAAGCAGCTCGGTGCTTAAGCCTTGCTCAATTATTTTTTATCATTCTTTTATATCTATCAGTAATATTTGAGTCGCAATAAACACGCAGTGTTATCGAGACGAATTTATTTTACAAAATATAACCCAAGACGCAAACGCAACTGAATAATACCACATAATAATCAACAACAGATCAAATCAACTATAAGTACATGTATCACAAATGTCTTCTGATATAGTATTAGTTTATGCGGTTATAAATGCACATTATTGCAAGTAATGTAAACTGAACACGCCAAATAACATGTTCCTGTAGTACAGTAATAGTATGTAGTAAAAACGGCTGTGAGAACGCAAATGATTTCTTGCAATTGCAGCGTGAAATATTCGCCATCCTTCCCTCGTTCAACTGACTAGATTGATTTCAATTCTTACATCGATTGTAACATTGGTAACTGTCGGTGAAGGAGTGTCGACGATGTGTTGCAGGCGATAGTAATCTAACATCGGGATGTAGGTACACAACTAATAACAAATTGCATAAAAGTTCGCCAGGACTGTAGCGACGATACAGCCTCAACTAAAACGCAGCGGTATTTCAGCTTTTGTAGGACTAGACTTTCACTTTTTTAGAAAAATTAGTAAAATATTCGTTATTTTCATGTCGAAACGTTAAACTTTTTCTTAGGCTTTCGGGAAAACCTCGTTAGAAAGACTAAAATGAACGCGTTGAACAATTGTAAAACGTGTAAAACAAACTGACTGCATTAGTACCATTCGAAACACGGGGTACGGATCAGATCAGTCAAGAGTTCGCCCCCCAACCTTGTTGAATCACGACATCGAGACATACTTATATCTAGCACTTATTACTTCGTCCATGAGCAATCAATTCCCGTTTTTAGGTTTACTTTCTCCCTGTAATCATAGGACAGTGATGGAGTTTGTTGGAGCAGGTGCGCACGGGGACATTATCTGAGCGTCATGCCCATACAGAGCATGTGGTCACGTCGGTCACCCCAGCCGCCATTTCCTTTACGCAGCTTGGTTTTCTTCATTGGTGTGACGTAGGTTTGCGTTAGATAATCTGGGTAAAGGTGTCTCTTTGCCACCTTTAACACTTTTTGCACTTTGGAGATTACTGCAGTTGATTCACAATTCTTTTTCTTATGATGAACACCACTACAAAAAAATAAAAACAGAATTAGTAAGTGGCAGTAGTATATAAACTTGGTTATGATTATTTTACCATTCTCCAATGTGGAAGACACGTGGTCCACGTACAACCATCGCATGTAATTTCTGCTTGAGACAATTCTGTGACACTTGTTGCAGTGACCAATCCCAATTGTAATCGTCATACTTGCAGAAGTAGTCGGCGCATCCAACGATTTTCATCCACGTGGTGCGGTTGAACGCCATGCCCATGTTGTGTTTGCTGCTCATCCACGGCGTCACTTCGACCTACAAGCCGAGGATGCTCATTACCATTCGACCCGCATTGACCACATTCCCACATGCGGCGTCCTTGCGCGTGACTATTACATTACATTATCACAATTTGCATGCAATCGAAACGAACCAGGTTGCGAGGCGGTATTTAACATGCTCGTAAAATCATAACATGAAAACTAGCAAGATACTGCGGCTAGGAACGTGTTCCATTGAACGCGCTCGTTACTTTTTGTCGATTTACCGTAATACTACATTAAACGAGTAATTCAAAGCACATTAGCAAAGCGATTATTACATCCTGCAAGCGCAAAGGCATTCGAACATATCAGCGAACCGCATGCAAACTGAACTGGGGCGACTTCGAAAATCAAAGCTGCATATCCGTTATTAACGACAAGAACAACAACAAATTGCGCAACGACTAACACAGATTTTATTCGATTTACACGATAAAATGCAAAAAGGAGTACTGATTTTTTTGGCAACGACGAGGGACGAGCAAAAAACAATCTCTTTGTTCTCCATAGTCAAAAGGGGTACCTTTTGTGTGTGCTGATAGAGTGATGGCAGTACTTGAAACGACCACGACGGCTGCACTTGGCCAGCAGCCACGTTTTGCTGCTTCATCGCGCGCATTACTTCCTTCTGCAAAGGAAGCGCAATGCGCGCAATACATGAACAAGATGGTTGGATGTATGTACAAAATGGCGGAAGCGTTGTTCAAGCATCTGAACAACTCATATGATGAACTAATTACGTATTTCGACAACGATTAAAGTTGTTTTCGGCGCGTAAAAATTAATGTACTGTGTGTCACTCTGGTTTACTTCGTAACTTAAGCACGTACAGAGCAAATATGTTGTTTGTTTGTTGGTTAAATTGTTCGTGAAGTGTTACGCACCTTGCCGTAGTAATTGTACGTCTTCAGGTAGGTACCCAATGAGAGAATGTTGCAATGTCTGCAGGAAGTCTGACAAGTTCGTTCCATCAATTTAAGGACATGAATAAAATCCTCGGCGACATAATGATCTTCTTCGAGGAATACCACAAGTCCACTATGGTTATGGGTAACATCCAGTTGGTTAAAAACACGATTCGCCTTCCACCACCAGTGGTGTTTGGTCTGCGTGAATTTCGCTTCCCGATAATGTCCGTAAAGATCAGGATAGAGAGCGTTGTTGCATTTTCTAACTAGTGCTCTGTAAATATAGGTTATGATAGGTTATGTTTATGGATAAATACTAAGTTTATTTACTCTTCTCGTTGAATATCACGTGGACAATCATTGGGATCTTCGCCTGGATACTCATGCGGGTGTGTTTGTATACTGTACGGATAAAAGATCTGTATCACTTTGCAGAAGTCAATGCTCTGCACCAGACTGTTAATCTCTTCGTCGTAGTAATCGTGCGAGAAGACAATCAGAGCTGTGGAAATGTCGCGCGCCTGCGCTAGACTGACGATGAGATGTCTTAAATAAGTGATTCTATCATGTATCTAAAAATATTTTATTATAAGCTATTAAAATGGCGGATTTTTATTAAAAAAAAATTAAAATACCTGGATGACAATGACGACGGAATCATTTTGCAGCGGACCAAATATATCCTCGTTGTAAACCGTCTGCTGGTAATTATACTGGGCGATATTACGTTTTATTTCGCTGAGATTCAACCCGCCGCGAAGAGCGGCCATTGCAGCCAGCGCAGCAGCGCTGCCATTAAGCGCGCCGGTGGAATTGCGCGGACGTGGCGTAAGGAACTTATGAAGCACGGAGGGTACCATACTCAAGATGGCGGCCATCGAATCGTTGTAATCGCCGCCGCCGGCGTCGGAAGTATCGCCCAGGCTGGCGAACATCAGCTGCAGCCAGACGAAGAGGACGACGAACGCCACGATGATCGAGCGTAGCCAAACATTGGATCCGCGACGTCTGCCGCCGAGGAGGGCGCGCCCGCCGCTCATCGTAAGGCATACCAGCTTTTTCACTGCAATCAACATCGAACACACGTGATGATTTGATTATCACTTTGCGTGCGCGCTCACTACGCCGGACAATCATCGAATGTCGCCGGAATTTCACATTTCATTCTTTTTGAGGCGCGTTTGGTACCCCCGTGAGGGTGGGCGTGTGTGAATAATTTACTAAGGGATGAAACTGTGTCATCCGAAGGGATTGAACAACACCTAGTTAATTAAAAACAGTGTTTATCGCAAAATATGCGCAGACATGTTGTAAGTTTTAAAAATAAATGTGTTTATTAAATCGGCAAATAATGACAAAGTTAAGACAGCGACAACGACTGGTGAAATTGCACAGGATGGAATAATAGTTGGCAAACTGCATTGTAATGTACTCGTATTAAGTTGCATAATGCAATTCGTGGGCTGTCCATAACGATAAGCAATACCTGATGCATTGTACGCGTGTGCATCGTCGCGCAACTGAAAAGCGAAAACAATTTAATGCAGTTACGCGACGCCATGCCGCCGATCAAACGTTGATAACGGTATGAAATGCGCAGATAGATGGGTGCATCGCGAGGAAATGCATGCATTACACACGACAAACGCCATTACACTCCATCACGGAACTACAACGTTGAGAGAAAGTTTATGGTTTAATTGTTGGACAAAACAATCGTCCATCAATGATAATTACGCTTCGCTGCTTTTATATGCAATAAAATTATGATTATCAACTTTATCTATATTGGAAGCTGTTGATAATTGTGTAAAAATTCATGCTTATTAATTTTTTACCCAAGCAGATGTAAACTTTTGTTGTTTTTTTTTTTAATTGAAAGATAACGATAAACATGAAAAAATGCATTTTTTTTTTAAATTGCTCAGAATCAATTTAGGTATGTAGCATAAAATGCATTATCAAACAAATTTATGTTCGTTTTTTAATTTATGTAGTATAAATTGTAATAAATTGTAATCAAAATGTTTGTTCTTTAGGTTATTGTTCATATTACGTGAATATACTACCCAATTTACATCAATGTTAAATCAAATTTTAATAAAAATAGCTCAATACTAATTTATATAGCATAAAATTCATAACCAAACAAGTTTATGTTTGCTTTTTAGGTTATATTTCAAATTACGTGAATAAAACATAATTTGGATTAATTTTAAACAAAATTTTAATGGAAAATGGCTGATTATGAATTTATATATCACATAATTCAAAACCTATCAAATCTATGTTTATTTTTATATTATTCTTCATATTAGGTATGTGAATATACAACCCAATTTGCATTAAATTGTAAACAACATTGATTCTATGACCAAAAATCAATAAATCGTGCCTGAAAATGAACAAATTATTAAATATAAAGTTATTTCGTGACTGTTCGTGTCTTTTCAAGCAATTGTGGCATAGAAATTCGCTCAGAATGAACAATTTTCTGAAATACGAGTACAATTGAATAATTGAAGCATAACTGCGCATGAAAATTGAATCACTTACATAATGTAACATAACTATACAGAAGACTAGCATTTTCGTCTTTATTAAGTATTCTTTTATGTCTCAGAAATACCAGTAATATCGGTATTATTAGAATAGGCATGCCGTTGTCAGCAAAAAAAAAAACACCACCATTGCAGTAATAATACAACACAAAGTGTTAATATGTTAATATCCCGCATAATGCAAATAATATACTAGTACATATATTGATTTGTGTATAAATTATTTATATTATACATAAATATTTATTGTCAATATCTAAATTATTACTCAATATATAATAATGTCTTCTTTATTGCGGGTTATGTTGGTAATTGATTTTGCAGTGTAAATAATGCATAACATAAACGTAAGGAAAAAATCTTTTGCTTTAAACATGAAAACACAAATATCGATCCGTTTCATACTCGAATATGAATACACAACTCCGAACTGTGTCGCAGCGCAGCGTTCGAGGATATTATTAGATTATGCGCGTAGTTAAATATAAGTGAACTTGCTTTCTCTGCCGATATTTTTCTTGAACAGTTAGCAGCCGCGAGCGCGCGCGCGTCTCGTTGACAAACAAACATGTAAATTTTCGATTCAATCATTTGTATCTCGCGTACACATCGTCGAGCACGAGTGAACTTTAGCCTTGTCAAAAATTACTTAAGTGCCTTTGTGTCGTTCTAACTTCGGACATTTGATAATGAACTAAATAGGTTTTTTATTAGATGCGTAGATATTTATAAAATAGATTTAAATTATGTTGTTGTTGATGAATTTTGCTTATTTTATAACAAAACAACATGAAAAACATTAAAAAACGCAATTTTTTAAAGAAAAATGGCTTAAAATCAATTTTTATAGCACAAAATACATAACCTATTAAGCATAAGTATAATTTTTAGGTTATATTTTTAAATTACGTGAGTATACTACCCAATTTGCATTAATTTGTAACCTAAATAAATTTTATAAATAAAAATCACTGAAACATATTTAAGTGCTTTTATTAGATGCGCTATTATTCACAAAACCAAATCAAAATTATGTTGTTATTAACTCACGTAATTTTTACGAATATAATGCATGCTGAATTGATGTAAACAGACTGAACAGATGGAAATATTTACGTGAATTCTAGTTCTATATGAACATGATAACGACCCTAATTAAAGTCACAATTATTTGTAATGAATTTACTAGCAAGGACATTTTACATTTAATATGTACGCAAATTACTTAAATATTTAACTCTTCAATATGAAATTTGCCTACGGAATGAATCAGACTTCATGCGGAAGTTATGTCCGTTGATTTATTGATGAAAACCCGGCGCGACGTCCACCGGAGGCACTAAAGGTGAAAAATGAAAGTGTGCGGCTGTCTTGAGACTGTTTGCATTCCACTCAAGGAGTTTACTGCGGCACATTCCACGATTCACGATTGAAATCATGCAGACCAACAAGCAACACACAATTCACGTATACTTTCGATGTTTGTTTATGATCCCAGCAATAAACTTCGATTTCTCTCTTCGCTGCATCGCAAAGTTTTTGATTTTTATTTTATGTTTTTATTTTATGCATCTCAATGATGATGATTTAAGGGCAGGGCACTTAAATTAATTAAAGAGGGTCTAAATCCTCCCACACGTACCTTTTCGTGAATATCGATTGCATTCGTCGCGCCTTCCGGCGTCCGGCCTTCCGTCACACGGCGACGCTCCATTGCGAATGTGATTCTATGATTCGGCGATGTTGTTTATTATTAATGTAATAAAACTAGTTTTTATAGATTCGTTTACGCCGATCGGTGCGCGATTGTCATGTTATCGATGCGCCCGCGGGTAGAGCACTGGAATTCGGCGGTGGCGCCCGGCTGACTGCTGACTTACAGAGGGTTGTTACACGCGAAAACCCCACGCACGTTTGGGTTGCGAGGGTGGATCGAACCGCGACACTCGATTGTTTATGTTATTATTCGCACAGCAGACCGGTGCGGTTGCACAGGCGAGAGCGCGCGATCAGGTGCGCGAGTGCTGGCCGTTCAACGTATGCTCGGCCGTCGCAGCGCGACACAACCGTGCGAGTTGCCCCACTAGTGCGACCGCCGCGACGCCCGCGATCCGCCTTTTACCATTCCAATTCATTTTGGCTTACACTCATGCATTCACGCTATTGGAGTTGAAAATGTTGTCTTCACGACTAATATTTTCCTGCAGCGCCATCTGTAGACCACTTACGATGTCCACTATTTGAGTAGTGTAGTATTACAGTGTTCTTCAAATGAACACCAGAGAGTTACATAGTTGGAGTAGACACCGCTAGATGACTAAATGAATGTCAAACTTGTATTTCAAAACATTTGACAATTATTCAGCCTAAAATGTTTAAATACCGATAATTATCGCATTTAAAATACTTAATGTTAATTGGTAATTATAGTAATTACATCACATGTTGTGTTGTTGTTTGTACATGCTCATAATATACAAAATTTTATTTTTTGGTATAAAAATAAATACATTCATGCTTTTGTTTGTTTCTCGTCAAAATTGCTTTAAAAACTATCTGGTCTACATTATTATTGTACAGTTTTAGCTATTTAACAATATTATACTGGGTTAGAATGTTTGATTGTACTTTAAGTTCTGTTCCTGGATAAAAGTGATTGACACTTTTGTACTGCAGAAATAAATCAATTGTAATACTATCATATAATCACGAGCCTAATGCTTTTGGCCTCACGAGCGCTAATAATAAAAAAATAATACACTTTGGATTGACTAAACTATTGGTTAAGTTTTGTTTGCTGTACTCTGTGTTTCTACGTGGTAAATTGATAAGCAATTCGAAAACAGTGAAAAAAACAACGAAAAACGTAAAAACCTAACACTGCTCAACAGTTTGGTGATAAACCGACAATGCCTGCTTGAACTTTACCCGACATGTCGGCTTGAACCCGTTTTGAACTTACTTTGCATTTTAAAAAGACCCTGCTTGTGAAAAAACAGCGGATTTTTTCAGACGACAGGCGAGTATTCCTGATTGATGGAGCGCAGGAACATAAACGCTAGCAGCAACAGCGTTGAGCCGAGTAAATCACCCAAGGCTGTCAAGTATGGGATTGCTGAATTGTCCGGATCAATCTTAAATCTCCACATGGTGTGTGTAAGAAGGTGGGCGGTGTACAACAGCAACATTAGCTGTATAACACCAACAGTAAGGTATGAAAAGACAAACGCTGCTGATACGGTTGATGTTCCATGATTGTAGATCACATCAGCGACGAAAACAAACACTGTTTGTCCCGGGACGGACATCAGGAGAAGAATGCGCGCCGTCTTCGCTGAATACACTGCAATATATTATAAGAATTATAAAAATCCACCCGTTTTATCACTGGTAATGCAACAGTAAATCACTTACTCATGCAAAGCTTTGCAGATTGTAGAGATTTACAAAGATCTATTTAGATTATAGACTTTTGGACTTAGACTTACCCCCTTTGAATAAAGCTGACCATGGAGGGACAATATGTTTGGTGTGCGGCGGAAAGATGCCCGGCAATGTTGTCTGATGCAACATGGTTGATATTCGACTAGATTGCACCGAGACGAGGTTGCCGCCGATGCCGTTGATGATTGGCTGGAATACTACATAGCCTGGATAGTCCTGCACAGCTTGGTCCAATACAAGTCCACCCATTCTGAAGGAAACAAAGTTAAACATTAAAGACAACATTTTTGAAATCCTTAGTTATAACTTACCCACTGATCAACAACGCTAACAAAACAGGAGTCCATCCAGAGAGTAAAATGTGCCTTGTATAAGTATTTTTCCTCACAATCAAAATCCAGAAGGGTAGGGCTATTCCCAGGTAACATCCCAAGATGGTAAATAACAACCATGAGTAGGTATCATGAATTGTATACAGGAAACTTGCAATTGTTGATAGTAACAAGAGAGATACAATGTCACCGATGCTTGCAGCCAGAGGTGTTGCCAGATTATCCGGATTCATTTTGAGTTTTTGTGTGAGTGTTATCACAGCAATCAAAACAAAATCTAAAGAATAATATAATCATAATTATGTTTATATTGTGTATTAAGTTGCATACCAAGAATAAAACAGGAAACTGTTGCTGTCAAAACACTGGATGCTGCCAGCAGTAAAGCATCATTGAATGAAAACACACCAGTCATAATGGCGGATACACTCACAGCGAAAAGTGATACTAAACATGCGGCAACAATCGCTTGCACCTGAACCAATCCAATATTCCCAATAATCATCTTTATCATCTCTGTTTTAGACTCCATCTTGCCCATGTTTGCTTGCGTGGATAATCTTGAAGCAAGACACATGTCCAGATTCCCTTTAAGACCCAAAATGGACGGCACTAAGATGAATAGTGCCTTGACATTCTTAAACACTTCGTATTCCTCCACGGTGCCCAAAACAAGCCCTGCTCCAATCGTACCCATACCAGCAATCATAAACGGAATGAAGATCTGAATAGTCACCGAGTACCATTTTTCTTTCTTGAGGAACATCTCGGAACTAGCCCGGGAGCTGTTCGTCGCGTTCGTGGAGCATTGATTGGAACTTGGTAGAGATTCAACATTGATAACTAAGAATAATTAGTTATAAAATAATCTGTTGCATAAATTGATGTTTAATTATTACCATCTTCGCCTTGTTTAGTAGCAGCTTCAACAAGACCCAAGATGGTGGATACAGTAAGCTGTTCAGGGCTAATCGAATGATGACTTAGTGTGTCATCAGGCGTCGATGGAAAAGTGCTACACGCCGACAGATCGTCCGAGAGATGATCGCCGGTCGCGTCGTACATCTCGTTGGTCGCCCCTTGGTCGTTGCGATTGTACGCCATGGTCTATCGAGAAACGTTGGGGGGCGATCGCAAAACCTGCACACATGCATAGGGACCCACATTAAAACGAGCGTATTTCTACAATTCTATGCGCTTTCATCCCCGAAAAAAGCATCGCGTATGCAAAAATGCTCAAATTCGCCAACAATGCGCTTAATGGGCATGCATAAAACGCACACGTGCTTTTTGCATGGTCAAAACTCACCGTTTTTACATTGATGCCGGCGAGTGAGGGGCTCGTCCCGTGTCCGTGTGGCCGTTGGCAGGTGGTAGTCGTGCTAGCCCGGGGGACGCTCAAGATCGTGGAAGCTGAAACAGCAGCGCAAGTTCAACATCACACCGATCGGAGAATACGAATGCGACTGCTGCATTGAACTTGAACTTAACGCCTCGTGATGCAATAATGTCCAGTGAGTTCATTCGCATGCGAGTACCACGCGTTTCTCATCCGCAAACAACAAATTTTCGAACCAATCATAGAATTATTATTATTCCGACGTAACTGAGTAATTTCTAGTTGTAATATTTCTAGCATACGAAAACAACTCAAAAGTTTGAAGGCAATAATAAAAATAATGGAAATACAAATTATTCATTAGTTATTTATGTGGCGCACGTTGCGTACTTCACAGTGTGTATATATACTTGACAAAACTTTTGTTCGTAATTTGCATCGACCAATGTAATTTTTTCCCCAGCCACGACCATTTTTTCGTCATGTGTAATGTGTTTTTTTCGTTTTTCATATCGCGCCCGAATCAGTGAAACCTAAAACACACACCAACGGCAAAACGCCATTACGTGTATGTAAAATGATTTTATTCATTTTTTATGTCGGCATTCATGTATTATATAAAATGAAATGGAAGAAAGGGTGGCCGAAAGTTTCACAATCACGATGTCAATAAAATTCACATTTCGGACGTGAATTCCGAGCGATGAAATTAAAGATTGAGACTGATTAAAAGTTTGACGTACACACGCCCTAATTACTCCGCTGCTGTTGCGAGGAGGGGCACAAGTAATATAAAAATAATTGAACGGCACTATTGTTTGTTAACTGTAAATTACATTTTTTATGACGTGCGCGCGCTTTTTACGTAATTTTCTTTACAAAAGCGCAATTATTGCTCGGATTCAACACGATTCGGAATTGTAATCAATGGAATTGATTTCGATTTCTAAATTATAGAAAAAACCATCATGATATGTTTGTTATAAACATCTTGGAAAAACCATTTTATCTAACTGGGATATAAAATGTTAACTACGCGCTGTGTGGTAGATGAGTAAATATTTATCAATTTCCAAAAAAAAGTTTATTGCGCTGAGACATTGAATAACAAAACAATTCAGCTGTGGAATATTACAATCGCTTTGTTTGCATTATTGCATTGTAAGTAGATAGTGCTAAATTTTAAACGGCGCCATTTTGATGGAAATATTGCGAGATTGCGCAAGAACACTAGTGCACTACTGCGCGCGGTTTGAAACTCGGCTAAATTCATGACCTACGCCATGTTTGCGTGTTTCGTTGATTGATTTTCGGCTTCATTGGATATCTATGCAAGTATGCGGTAGAAATCTAGTTGTGCACAGCCGCAGAATAAAAAAATCTGATCTAATACACCTAAATTAACTTAAATCCAATAAAATAAAATTTTGACTTGGATATAAAATAAACTAAAATATAGTAAATCAGAGCAAACTCCATCGAACCTGACTCAGTTGTATAATTACATCCTAACCTTCGACTCGCTTATCTGATAAGACATTCCGATGGAAACGAAAGTGCTGCCTGCGGTCAATGCCATTGCAAAACCGGTGAAATTATAAAATTATCAAGTTGAATTTTTCGAAAAACATTTTTTCACAAAGTAATAATTATTATTATCGGATAATTGTAGTAATTTATATATTTACATGCATTTACAATGTAATAAATTCACTTTTAATCGATGCTTATCGATGTTATCACTCGCATAATCGAATTTGGAGCGAGGTGAGGAAAGCATCAACGTGCTCTCGTGATCATCTATAATATCTACATGAAAAATGGCTCGTGCGCACGACAATCATTATTGTGAGTCAAGTGGTTGCGCAAATGACGCAAATCGAACAAATCGACAAATGCCGCGCTTTTAAAGAGGTTAGGTTTAAGATGTTCACACATAGGCAACCAGCATAGCAACTAAAAAGTCATATTATAACCAAACACGTGTTTAATAATAAAAAATAAATAATTTAATGGTTTTTTGATATAATATCTCAGTAATAGATATTTATAGATTGTTTGCCGATCAATTATTAATTATTTTGATATGAATCTAGTAAAAATCGTCTATAAATAAATATTTTGAAGTTTTTGGTTTAAATCTTTCTGCCTATCAAATGCAAAACTTTTTTATCATTTGAAAACAGATGACGCATGCATAAACAAAGTGCATTCGTCTGGAGCAGCTGAGACAAGCACACAGACACGCGTTGTCAAGTTGTCATCATCTATCTAATAAAATACCCAGCGCAGAGATTAAGATTAAGTAAGCTCACATTACTCGCTAATCTGAATGAAATCGGTGTCTGTCAAGTGTTTCAGCGATTATTTATATGTCTTCTAAGAAAGTTTAATCACCTTTAGAGTAAAATGCATCGAACGCACATTTTTATGCCTTAATATTAAAGTTTAAATATATTTTTGTTTAATTTTTAAGTAAATTGTTGAATTTTATGATAATTTGATCAAAAATAATAACCTTTTCGTATTTTTGAATTGTTATGTCACAAAAATCAACAAAAACACGTGTAATTATATTTTTAATAAACCGTTGCGAGTTGTACGCAAACATTCATCCATTCAGAATAATTTATTACTCGTGGATTCAGCAATCAACGCAAACTGTTTATTTCAGAGTCGAAAAACATTTCGTATTGTTGACAATCGTTCAAAACTATAATTTACAACTATTTCGATTGTCCAAAGCGGAACTGAGCAAAACTAACAAACAATTTGCAAAAATTCGCCATTGGCAAGCATGACATTAATCAAATCTCGAAAAATGTGTAATTGAAGTCTACATGAATATCAACATGTTGCAATTATGCGGTATGAGTGTGCGATTAAAGAGTACATGTGAATAATCCAAATTAAATCCGGACAATATGTCGAATTGCAGCAGTTTGGAGTTTAGATAAAACGGGCGCGCCACTTGAAAGCGCGGAATTTCGTCGCATAGCAATTTTGTAGTTAATAATAAAAGTGCAATTTTATTGCGAGCGAGATTAAAAGTGTCGGCTCGACCGTGTGAAATTGATAAATTCAAAAAAACAATACTTTTCATATTGAATTTTAATGCTTGCTTGCAAAAATATTTATTAATTTATAACCAATAAAATAATTCAAAGTAAAAACCCCAAAATGCAATTATTTTAAGTAAATTTTTAGGTTATGAGTGATATTAGATAGGCAACACTATTTTCACTTAAATAGAATTGACGTAAATAGTAATTTTACACCCTGACACTAAAAAATTCATAAATATATAAATAAATTTACTGATTGCAAATGTAGTGAATAATTACGCACGTGTTTAAGTCTAGCTACCCAATTAATATTAAATATTTGCCTATACGTGCACAGAAACAAAAAAAAACTTTGTAAATGTCGAAAACGTGTGCCGATTTTCTTATTATTATCGTGTTGTGTCGCATACCTTTTTGTCTAAAACACATTTTTTGTTGTTTGTAATCAGTAAACATCGTTCGGCTTTACAATGAGAAATTAGAAAAATAAATTGGTAAACAATATTGATGGTTATTTGCTTATTTGCGAACAATTAATAGTTTTTACTGATAATACCTAGGCGCATAAAAGAAAAATACATTTTATGCAGTTGCGTAAGTATATTCATTGCAGAAGTATTTTTAGCAAACTATTTTAGTTGGCAATTTATTGCTATTTTGTTTTTTTTATGTTCTATTTACTGGAGACTTTATAGAGTGTGATATAGGTCGTTTAAAAGTTATAGTTTTTGGTTAATAACTTGAAAACTAATTAAGTTATTGTAATAATTCTTTTAAAAGTCTATTTAGTACTTAATTCTGAGTTGAATTGTGTTGAAAAATTAGCGATAACTGTTTTTAGTCACAAATTACAGACCAATTTGTATATTGAGTTATAGTTACGTTTACAAAATCAACTTTATTTGTTAATAACTTTGTTTGCGATAATTAAATTTACATTCACTATGCATAGTTTGATGTAAAATTTAATTATGAATTCAGTTTTAAAATGTTTGTTGATATAAGATTAATAGTTTTTGAGTAATTGGTAAAAAACTGAAATTTATCGGACATAAAAATGTGTCACCAAAAATATTAGTTTCTATTTATTTACAAGCAAACTAAACAAATTTTATCGGAAATTTCTCAAGAACCCTATAAACTATTAAATTCTAAATATAATAACATTTTTTATATATTTACTATTTTTAAAACTCACTTTATGCTCCAATTAAAAATAATTTTTATTAGTTTTTAAAATGAACTTTAATAGTTCATAACTTCATAAATAATATGTCAAATAACAAAATTGTTTTTCAGTTGGTTGTAAAATTTATTACGAAATATTTTTCTGAAAAAATTATACTTCCAACGCTATTTATTATTAAGTTATTAATAAATAACTATAGATTGTCGTGCGTGATTAGGTGTCACGGGAAATCATATACGATAACACCAGTTATTAATTAATTACTCGCATACTAAACTAATTTTTATTATTTTATCTTCAAATATCTACAATGTATTAAATACTGAATTAAAATTACATTTTTCAACTAATAAATCATTAGTTTTTAAAAAGTTATGTTAAAATTTATATTAATTAAAATACTTTTTAATAAGCTCAACTTTAATTGTTTATAACTTTTTAAATATTGCGTTAAAAAACAAAATTCTTTCACAATTAGTTTCAGAATTTATTTGTTAATTAATTTTCCAGAAAATTATACGTTTATCATACATTGTTATTGAATAATCAACAAATAACTCAAAGTGTTACACTTCCAAAGGTGCCGCTTTAATAATATTCACCATATTAGCAAATAAAAAGAGTTTTTACGTGTCGAAATACGAATAATTTAAGTTTTTTTAATCACAGAGAGATTACGATTATGACCAGGCATAAATTTAATGAATTTAATTACCCCTCGCGTGATTATCATAATTTATTCATTCTAACGAGATTTTAATTGCGTCCGGGAACAACCCCTTTTTAATTTCAACATTATTATTTTATACTTATTACATTCATAAGGGTAGTTTTATTGATTTTAAACCAAAAACACAAAAAAATTTAAATGTCATAAAATACTCACATGGTATACTTCTGGTGGAATTCTGCCAGGGTTGGTATTTCGCTCACTGGAGCAGACACAAAGTCACCCTCACCCTCTCGTGGAATGTTCGTAGCGTACACCTTTACAGCCCGCACTTTTTACCTGCCGCTCGTATTTCTTTTGTACCGCACAAGTTAGAATACGTAGCAAATGTAACCAGTAAATGAACTCGCGATGCTCCGCGTCTCTCCGATTAATTTATGAAAACACACGCGCGCGACTCGCCGTAGGTACAGAGTAAGGTGCGATTAAAAACCGCGCCGCATTAAATAGGCGACAAGGCGGGCGTGCGAGGTGCACCGCGAGCATCCGACTTCGCTGGTATCACATTTCCGCGCGTGGATGGTACGGTGGCGGCGGCTGCGTTGGGGTTTCAAGGTGAAGGTGATTCCCCACCGGTGTGGTCACGATCCGGACATTCGCGTGAATTTCGTGACTGCACTGACGACCACCTTTAAACTAGCGGACGGTTTACCTCCAGACGTGGGATAAGAAAAACCCCCACTGCTGTGGGAGAATTCAAAATAGAATTCAAAAGAATCATGTGGTGTGAGGTGTGAGAGTAAAGTTATTTTTTTGTACGTGAAGTAAATTTTTAAGAAATTGATTTTGATTTTTGATGAAAATTTATGGAGATTTTTATGTGTTGTGACTAAGTGTGTGGAAATGCTGATACACACGTATTTCACATCAAAAATTTAAATAATTTTCTTAAATCTGACTCATTTATTGTTATGTTAATATTGGCATAATTTAAATTTTGACTATCTCGAATATTTTGCGATTTAATTTGATGCCTAGGCATTAAAACATTTTTGTTAAATTGATTTTTTTGGAGTAAACTTTTGTTTAAATTGATATTTATTAAGTGAATATTGTGAATACGTAAATATATAAATATATTGTGTTCATATTTAAAAAAGTTCGTTGAAATTTATTCCAATTGCTAATATTTTCGGAAATTTTCCGAAAAGTTGAAATATTGTTGTTTCTAATTGGAAATTTACCAAATATTTGGGTTATCAGTTTGGATATAACCTAGATAACAATTCTTTGAAATGTGTTGCACGTTTTAACATAATATTAATTATTATATTGCACTTTTTGTTTACTTTTTAAACTATAGTTCCGGCACTTTTCTGTGACGCCTCTATTTCAGTGGAAAAACTACAGTTATTATTAAATAATTCAAAAACTATTTGCGTTAATATTGAAATTCTTTCAAATTTATATTTGCGATTAAATTATTTCTATTTTGTATCAAAATTGTGTTGATTTGATTATTATTTAAAAAGTTATTAACAATTAAAGTTGAGAAAAAAATATTTTGCACAAATTAATTTATAACTTTTGATAAAATACTATTTATAGCAATGTTTATTTACAATTTTATAAATAATTTAATGCTTAATAGATTTCTAAAAGAATTATTTAAATATCTTTATTAGTTTTAAAGTTATTTACCAAAACCTAAAACTTTTGCCTGTTTTCACCGCGACTATATACCCAACAACTAATAAATGTCAGAAATAAATTTACAAATGAACAAATATATCACTCACATGATTTGACATTGACATTGTGCCATGTATGATAAATACCAAGAAACCCAACCGTCTAAGATAGCAACAAATACAAAGTAAACAAAGTAAAGGAAACATGCAAAATATAATAAAATACAAATTTACAGGTTTACACGATGACGAAACCTTAGAAAAAACAAAACAAAACATTTTGTTCAAGCCATTTGAACAAAAAATTATAAACTAAACGGAACTAGACTACAGTGACTAAACAAATTTAGTAATCTAAAGCATCTAAACTAAAGTACATTGTAAATTTTTTTACTAAAATGCGTTCTGTTAATGTCAGTCGCACATGGCATCCATGAATTAAGCCGCCATCTTAAATTAATGACTCCTCATTCTCATTGTCTCACTACCTCTTCTGGTCGAATTCAAAAATTCACTCGCTACAATAATCATGGCATGTAATACACCAATATTTGCTATTGTCCGATCAGCAGACATTCTAAAGTGTGTAATGAGTCTACACTGAAAAAAAAAATACTAATTACATCTGTTAATTAAAGTTTAATGAGCTTTTGTTTGGTTATTTGCGCGTGGCTCTTCGCGTGAATGTCAAAATACATCCACACGGCACGTAGGACTGATAGCGATAGTCGATGATGAACATGAGCATGTTTGCTCGACGATGGCCTAATAATTACGCACACTAATTACCTGTAAATTAAATTATTTGTCTAGTGTGCGACAGTGCGACATCCGGACGCGGGCATGAGTTCGAGCATGCTCATCATCATCATCATCATCGTTGTCGACGTCGCGATCGATATTCAAGTAATTTTTGGTTTAATTTCATATTTGAACTATGTGTGTTATTATGCCATTTAATTGTTTACATTTACGATGTGGATGCGTGTGTGTTTTGTAAAACAAATACAATGTTGGCGATAAATTATCAATAAAACTCGAGGAATTTCTTGCAACATTCGAATTGACAAATTAATTGATTGTGTTTGTTTAATTATGAATCATTTTATTAAATTTTTATCGGAAATTTATTTCAATTGACCGATTATATGATATTTTATTGGGTTTTGTGAAATTAATGAGTGAAAAGAATGTTTTTTGAGTAAAAATATTTCTAAAATGGGTTTAGGGTTGCCTATAGTCACGGTTTTACAGGGTATGTCAATTATTATTTTATTTTAGAGTAGGCAAACGTAAAAACAAACCTAGTATATGATTTTATACAATATTTTAGTTTATTTTGTGTTTACATGGCTGAAAATAACGTTTTTTACGTCAACATTTTTCAAAGAAGATATAATGGTTGCCTATAGACATTTATTTAATGGTTATGTCAATTATAGTTAAAATATACAGTAGAAAACACTAAAAACAATATTTTTGTATGATTTTACATGACATTTATAAGTATTTTGTATATTAATTAAGTGAAAAGAATGTTCTTTCACTTAAAAGCATTTTAACGTAGTGATAATGGTTGCCTACGGTGATATCTTTGAACGTTACGTCAATTATAGTTTAAATGAACGGTAGGCAACCATAAACACTACAATGTCCTATATCTACATGTAATTCTCAGCAAATAAGGAAATTTTCAATTATTTTCGGCAATCTTAATATAAAACGAGATTGTAGTGAGCATGAAATTAATACAATTGGGTTTTACACGACTGGAATTATATAGTACCGCTATCACTAATATTTATTTGACTTTATAAACCGAACCGAATGACGCAGACACCTCACAAAGGAATATATTTTAGCTTAATTTTAATATTACTTAAGTTTATCGTAATTTACGCTAAGTAAAAGCGTAAATTAAAAAAATAAAATAAAAAGTTATGAAAAAAAATCAATTAATTTTAATTGTTATTATTTCGGTAAGAAAATAAATTAAATTCAATCCATGTGGAGCGCAATAAAAAACCGCCAACCGTACATTGTGCCAGCGTGTGCGAAACTTTTCCAATTTTCCGCACATGACGAAAAACCAGCGCAATTCCGACAGCGGCGACTTCACAACTCCTTCAAGACACAACAAGACGCAATCTTCAATTATTCTTCCGAAACCACCAAATACACCACTTTTACACACATGTATAAACACCGAGAGGACGAAATAACACAGAACAAACTTAAATAAACGATAAACAAAAGTAATTTGTTGCCACATGAACAAATACATCGACGAATCAATCAAACAAGACGACAAAGACAACTGTTAAATTATATTCGTCAGATTCAGTTATTTGTAGAATCTAGTATGATTCGGGAATAAATTAAGACTTTGAATGGTGAAATATCGAGCAAGGGGAGATTTTATTGATGATTCAATGACTCATCCGGTTTAATCAAGTGGAAAGTACACATAGTTTAATTTTATTGCGAATTTTCAAGGTCACGTATGTGAAATAATGTAACATTTGTAACAAGATGTAAAAATTTGCGATTTTTTTGTGTTTGCGCACGGTTGTTATCAAATAATACTCATGTAAAAGTCTGTAAGTACGTAAGTATTATGAACATGCAAAAATTCTACGTAAATTTTTATTTGCAGACACGTGCAAACAATATTTATGTTGAAATTTGTTTAAATAACCAAATAAATGAGTCTAAAATTAAAAAAAAATAAATTTTGATTTTATTTGTGTTTTGGCGTAAAAGAAGCTTTAAACTTAGGTTATGTTTACTTAAATGCAATAAAATGATTACTGCGCATGCGTAGATTACTTAAATGTACTTACTTACCTCCATAGTTTATTTATCTTGAAGCAAACTATATAAAAACACGAATATAAACTGTTGTAGAATGAAAATTCGAGAACCTAAAATAAAATTACTCAATTATCGAGTGAATAAACGTCGGTTGACATTGCATCTTTAGATAATTATTAAAATTATTGCAGTCGCGAGCTGTAATCGTCAAGGAAAAACGTATGCCAAGGTAATGACGAGCAATGTTTATGTGTGTTCATGTCCAATTCAGTTATTACTATTAACTATCAAAAAACGCAACTCATGTTTAGCGTCGTTTCCAGATTCCTGCTTCAATTTCAATCGCAATATAAATGCAGTCAAATGATGTCGATGTGTTGTTTTGTTCGCGTTCGGTTCGTTACACGTCACATATTGTCACATATTGTCGAATGTTTGGCCGAGTGTGACGCCCGCGTGTGTCGGAAGTCGGCTAAGGAAATCAGTTTCATCTGTTTCGCACCTGTTTCACGAAGCGTGCTAACGAAGGTGCTATTTGTGATCCTTCGTGCGCAAAATGTCAAGCAATTAATTGCAGCGGAAAATGGTACAATTTAGCATGTCACAACAAATAACAAAAACAGAAAAATATTATCATTAAGTTAAATAGAGAAAAATGTATAGTGGGTTACCTATCATAACAGCATAACCAAAATTTAGAATAAAGATGTTTTTCAATGTTTTAATGCAAATTGCAACACAAAACAAAAAAAAAACATTTTAGAGTAAAATAAAATGTATAGTTGGTTGCCTACCACAACATCACATAACCAAATAATAAAAATAAATAAAAATTCAGTATTAAAATGATTAATTTTAATGTTTTTGGCAAATCACTACACAAAACAAGCAAAATATTATCTAAAAAAAAAGAAAAATGTATAGTTAATAGCCAATCACCACCTCACATAACCAAATAATAAAAATAAATAAAAATATACGTTTAAAATATTTAATTTTAATGTTTTGTGCAATCACAACACAAACAAACAAAAAATGATCTAAAAGTAAAATAAATGCCTAACGTCATGACACTTAACCAAACACCTGAAATAATTATTTTTTTATTTATTTTATGAATAATAGAACAAAATAAATAATAATTGACGAGATGTGTAATTTTAATGTTTTATTTATTTTTCTTACATGACTAATATAATAATACATAATTATTTGCCACTAAATCGTAGTATGCTTAGCAAATACAATACAATTTTGTTTTCCATCCATCGTGTGGTGTGATCTTCACTTTTCAGTTATTAACCATTACTGCCTTTACGTTTACGGATTTAGTTAAATTTATAATACTCGTACTCACATGTCAAATGTCGGAATATGAAAATGTAAAAATCTGCTCAAATCTGCTTGTATTACATTTTAATTAGCGTAAAATCATGTATAAACAATGTGATTGCATCACCAGCACAAAAACAAATAAGTATCACCCTTGTACAATATTCATTTTTATTATTTATACACTGTTAAACAAAAATATATTATAAATTAGACTAGGAACGACTAGAAGTGTGTTATTTTTCTTGATGCAATCACAAAATTAAAAATAAATGTATCTAAACTGTAACATGATAATATGATAGTTGTGATTTGAGGTTATGTTAACGTGAAATTTAGATAGAAGCAAAATTAGCTAGGATTTTTGTTCCGGTTGGTTTGTTCTCTTGTATAAACATTAATAACGCCCTATTACATACAGCCACATCTCCTCGTTATAATAATAATTTGTTTTTGTAATATTATAGTCATTTTTAATCAATATATAGTCGATATAACAAATTAGTCAATACATGATGTGTTGTATTTTATTTTCTTTGTATCTTTGGAGGTAGTTTGCTTTGAACTGGAATCCCACGACGCCTGATAACACGGTAGGATTTTGAGGTTATGACAAATCCTCTAAAAAATTAACTAATTGTGCCGATATCTAAACCCGCTCGGAGAGGTAACACTGTTTCTTATAAAAGTTTTCAACAATTTGCTTTGCATCTGTATATAAAAGAGGAAGTTTTAGTTTTGAACCTGATTTGTTGTTATTTTGTTGTTTTTTGTTGTTTTACTAATGGCAGTTCGAGATAGATTGATACAACTTACACGTAAGTATACAACAACACATAGACAGAAACGTAAAGCTCAAAAACACTTACTATACTTGTTTGTTTTGCGAAATAACTCGTTTTTTTGTTGTTGTTGTAGTAGTTGTAAACTCTCGTCGGATGGCGCCACCGGCAAAAAATGACGTGTCGCCATTTTTTTGTTCTCCCTAACGCTTACAAACGCATATTGAATAATATGAAAATAGTTATATTTTATCATTGTATTTAAAATGTATGTATAATTTTACTTCTTTCGTCTTTCTCCTCTCATTTCCTTTTCGCTTTTTTCATCATCGTCATTTTTAATTTATTTATATATCTGAGTCTCCAATGTAAATAGATATAATCTCATGTGAAATTCTCTACAAAACATGTCACTATATATAACTTATGTGTCATATATTTTTATCTTCATTTTTATCCTCTCTTAATTTGTTTATATAATGTATGTATATACTAAACATCCCTTACAGACTAATTTTGATTTTGTGCCTCCGATTCTTAAACGTTAAATATAGTAATAGTAATAGTTAGTTTTTAGGTAGTTGTTTTTTCATCTTCTTCATCATCTTCATTACGTTCTTATGTTTTTAATAGTGTGTGTGTGTTGCCTGCGCAGCGGCAGGAACACTGCCATCACAAGATGGCCGCCGGCGTCACAACGCCTGGAACAAATGAATACGCGTGCGTAGCCATGTTGTTTTCATTTCATTTTTGTTATATTTATAGGTATATAAAATCGTTTTTTGTTCTTTAACTAATAGTGATAGATTCTTGCGAGATTCTTAGAGTTATCCTTAGTTAAATTAAATTCAATGAATTTTTTTTAAAGGTTTGAGGTTAGGTGGTGCTTAATATTCGAGCATACGCAATGGTAATCGTTATTTATGTGAATATTCTGTCATCGGAAGGGAATTTAATCTCGACAGTTGTGGATTTACCCCGTTTTTGTGTTTTTGCCCCCAGAATGTGCGTCTGTTTATTTATTTGCTCACTGCGAGAATTTCACCCCTGAATTTAAGCGTAAAAGGGGCACGTGTTCTATTATAATCATCCCCTGTGCAAAATTTTGCTGGAAATTGAAATATTCTCTAATTTAATTTGAATGCAGGTGGTTTGAGATGTTGGCAACGCTGTAAAGACAGAGAAAAATATCGAAAGCGGAAAAATTGTAAGAAGCCGGGGGTGAAACGGTGAAAGAAATGAAAACCGATGAAATCAATAATCTGCGGATTGTGCGATGCGAGATGCGATGGGGTGAGGTCGCGTGCGCACGTTATTTAGGCTCTTTTCAGAAATGTGGAAAAGGTGCCGCGATGCCCCGCCGCCCTTCGGTGTGTGTGTGTGTCATTGACAGTGACAGTGACAGTGCCCTTCGGTTAGTATTATATTATATATGATGAAAAGATGTTTGTCGCGTATGTACGGCGTACCCCTTTTCAGTTTAGAGTTTTTGGGTTGAAAAAGTCCCCTTTTTGCACAAATCTCACCCTTTCTTGTCATAATTACGCAACAGCTGCCTGCGGGTGCGAATTCGTCACGCTGTTCAAAGAGAATTAAAGAATAACATTTTGCACAATTTTGGATTTTCGGTAATCCCCTGCCTAAATTGATCAAATGATGGATAAAATTCCCTTTTATTGGATGTTTGTAGATTTGTATCTAGTTTTTATGATTTTTTTTCTCCAAAATTTTTATTTTTTTACCCGTTTTTCGATATTTATCCAGCTGAATCGAAATTTCTAAGCGCGTGGCAAGGACAGCGCCCCAACTTATTGATATTAATTTTAATTACGTTACGCACCGCTTCCAAAACGATAATAAAACCCGCGCCGACAATAAAAATGAACAACGCGCGCACAAATTCAACACATACATAACATACAAACAGTGTGGCATGGAAAAAGAAGCCGGCGGAGAAAAAAAAAACTCAATAAAAACGCATTTTTCATCTCTGTCTGTGTCCGTATAAGAAAACTGCAAACTCCGGTGTGCGAACTTTTTTTTTTGCCAGCCGCCTCACACGGAAACATAATGCGGACATGTCGTATATACTCAGTGTGAGGGCGCTGCGCGCGCTCCGCCGCCGCGATATAAAATAGAACGTTCGATTTCATAATTGGAAAGCCGGCCTATTTCATTAAGTTTTTCCCGGGGAGAAGCAGCGCGTCAGCGAAGGGAATGTCGCGTCGCGCAGACCGCCCCCACCGCCTCCGCGTGCACCCCCGCGCGCGTCCACGTACTCGCGTCGTAAATTCACTGAAATGTGGATTTGGAAAAATATAGGTTTATCCCATTTTCTTTTATCAAGCTCGCGCGCGCGTCGCCGACGACAACGAAGGGAGAGCCGATGACCACTCACACACACACACCAACACACATAACCTTATATGAGGGGGTGAAATTTGCTAAGACTCCCTCCTAGCGACGCCGACGCCAACGCCGACGCACCAAAACGTAGAAACATTCCCTTCATTACGATTGTTTTACACTCACACACAGACACAATATACATATGTGTTGTTTCATATGTCTATGTGTGAGTATGTTGGGTGGCGGCCGTGCAGGCGTTTTTCCTGATATATAAAATAATGACGATAATATAATAAACGCCACCGTCGCACGGGGACATATCTCATATCGCGGGGCGGCAACGCCGCGTGTAATAACCGCTCTTCCTGCCTCCGCACAGACGCCATCTTCACTTCCACATCCCCTTCTGACTCGCATTTCGTATTTCATTTTCATTCCGACTAATTATATCACATCTGCGACGCAGGAAAAAGCAGCAAAACAAAAAAATAACCAAAACTACGCCATTTTAATAGCGCTTGTATTAATTTAGGTTAGATTTCATTAATCAACAATATTCGAACTTCTGTGGATGTGTGTATGTGTATTCTATGCGTTTTTAATATTCGAAGGGTGCGCAACCCCTCAATTCAGCAAATAAACGAAAATTGACCGATGGTCGCCATGCTATCTTCACAATCTATTTCATTGTAAAAGTATACAACCCACTGTACACATATACACATATTTTATTTATTTTTGTGTTTTTTTCTGCTAAAAATGAGAAAAAATGGTTTTAAAATTTATTTTTACGCTTAATATAAATTTATATTTCAGGGGTGGGGGTTGGCAACCCCCTTTGCATGTCGACTATGCTCGAATATTAAGCGCACGATTTTCATATTTCAATATAAATTCTTTTCGTCTCGACTTTGACGTCGCACGAAAATTCCAGCTTAAATATTTTTTCTACCACCACCCCCTCGCAACCCTTATGTATACATATACATATAATCGATGTAAATAATAAATGCCTCAAGTTATTCATACAAGAAAAACTTAAATACAAAATCTAACAGTCAACGCTTTTTATTTTCTTATTTTTGTTGTTATTAATTGTTATTGTTGTTTTGTTTTGATTTTAAAATGTTTAAATAAGTGTATTTTAATTAATATGAAACCCGTACGTTCCGTTCGACTATTTGTATATTCGAATATTTGTCCTCTTATAACAGTTTAAATATTTTTCATTTTTTTAAGTTTTAGTTTCTTTATAGTTTATCATTTGTTAAAATGTTAATACCGATTCTATAACGTAAAAAAGTTTTGCCCCCGGGCGCGCGATGAAGAAGGCCAGAAGTCGTCGGCGTGCCGGCGGCGGCGGCGCACGGGCGTCCTGGAACATTTTATAATTCTACGAACAACTTACATATTTAACAGGACGGACGGCCCGCGGCGGCGCACGGCGGCGGCGCGACTCGCCTCTCCACACACACGCACTTAATCCGGGGTGTTTTTTGATTTTTCGCTCCTTTACACACTAGTTTTGTTTGTTTTTGTTTGTTTTTTGTTCTTTTAAAGTTTTGAACACTCGACACACTGCTTCGTGTATATAATAGTTTAAAATGAGTGTTCAGGACTATTCAGGACCTGACCCGCTCTGATTCTTTCCAATATTCATTTATTTTATGCTTTTGTGATCGTGTTTCAATTTGAGGTTAAGTTAAAAATAGCTACGATTCGATTCGATTCGGATTTGCATAGCATTTTATTATTTATGGAAGATTTAAACCTGAGATTCATTTGGCTTGTTGTATAATGCACACAGCGAACAGATGCAGATCTTTTTTTTTGTGTTGAAAAATTATTTTTAGGGTAAAAATTTAGGGTGCGCCAGCTGGGCGCTAGCGCATTTTACGTAAAAAGGGAAAGAATCGCATTGTGTAATATGTGTGGACACTCACACATAGAAAGAAAAAAAAGAATCAAGGGAAGCGCGGCACGAGCCGAAATTTGCATTTTATGAAAATAACTTGTTTAACATAATGAACGTCATTGTGCGCGCACGGCTGAAGGGTGGGTGGCGAATGACCACGACGGGCACGCATGAATAAATCAATCCCGAATCGAATCGAATCGCATCGAATTACAATAAATCGATGCAGAATCAGAGATGCAAAAAATGCGGTGTATTCGAAACATATTCTGCGTTGATTTTGTGTTCAGCACCTGGATTTCGCTTGATTTCACTTTTACTTTTAAGTTAAGTAATTCAATAGCAGGTCATTTGCAATTACTGAAGGCACACAGCGTAGTCATATAACTAGTAATTAGCAAAAAGGTAGTCGTTTTTTTTTGTTTAATGTTTAGGTTATGTTATGTTTCTTTGTACTATACAACATAGAAATAAACTCATTGCCATTTATTTTAGGTTAGGCTATTGTATTTTGTGGTTATGTGTTTTGGAAGACGGTCGGGAATGCTTCGCTTGATTCCATTTTTGATTATTTTGGACCCGAACCGAGTTGCTGAATGAAAAAATGATTAGCAACCAATTTTTTGACTTTTAACTCACCAGCTACGCCAATATATCCCGTAATTTTTGTTGGTTTTTGATTTTTTGAGGTTAGTTTTGCATTTTGTGATATATCCTATTAAATCTAATCAGGAACTCGAGACAGGAAAACGGTATTTGTACCGCTGAAGAAAGTCTGATTGTACTCGTTTCAGTTTAAAAAACCCTGAGTTATTTTGCGTTGGATGGGCGCGATTTTTTCCATTTTTTAAACTTCTTCATGTAAGATAAATATTCTAATTCTACGTATGCGGAACGTTAACTGACTCTTGAGCAAGCTACATCTAACAACTCAATAATTATATGCGTGTGTATTTTGTTTAATTCTTTACTTTTTTTTGCTTTATATTCGAGAGATAAAATAGGAACTTCATAAACATCACCTAAAGCTTCGTTTTTCATTTTTCTTCATTTACTTATTCTCATCAGAATTTTTTTATCTTTCAACACACGCCAGTGCTTTGTTTTTTTTTATAGTTCGAATCGTCAATTACAAAACTCGTTTTTGCGTTTTTAGTTTTTAATGTTTTCATCATCGTTTAAGTGAAAATCAACAGACTATATAAAATTTCACTCAGTCTTTCCGGTATTTGCATAAAAATATGTGCTCATATGGGTATTTTTTTTTTGTTCGTCGTCCGCGTTTTGTTTATCTTCTTTTGCAAATATAGGAATACGCTTATATTAATTAGATTTATATTAATTTAATAAAGTTTAAATTAAAATAATAATCACAGGTGTAGCTATCGCCGTTTTTTTTTAATTTTTAATTTTCCCCCGTTTAGTGTTCTCAATGTTCTCTTAAAAAAATATGTTCTTGACTTTTTTACGCTCTGACTAGACGCGCGCTTATTAAGCTGGTGTGAGAGTGAACGTCGCTGTAATCGGCGACGATAGTTTACTCGACACCGGTAGATACACAATAGACGGCACAGCGAGCACATTCGTCGTCTCTTCGAGTAAAAATGGCTGCATAACGTATTGACACGCAGACGCGGTAGCGTTTTCATCGTCGTGCTGCGGTAACGCGTATGTGGCAGGTAGCTGTGACTTACGCGCCATCTCTTTGAGATCTTTCGCATTCGCCGCGTCAATAGACTGTTCGTTGCCTTGCTCAGGCAGTTTACGCTTAACAGATACTTTCTTACTTGTTTTACTCGGCGTGTCCTCGGCGTCATCCGCACACTCGGATGGTTCCTTGGAGGCATCACCCACTGATTGAATATCGTTGCTTCCATTAAAACCATTGAAGAACGGCGGCAGTGGTAGGAACGGATGCTGTGTAAACACATGATGTTGCAGTTGCTCCGGCTGGGCGAACGACTGCATGCACACTGGACATTTCAACACGCCTGCTTCAAGGTTGGTGCTTGTTGGGTTGTCTGCATTCTGGGCGTGCGAGCGTTCATGCACGAAGAGGAACGGCAGCACGGGTGTTGTAAACGGACAATATGAACAGTGATAAGTCTTGCCGGTGTCTGCGTCTGCGCCAAAAATTGAAGACAAGACATTCTGCATCTTTGCTTGTTGTTGTTGTTGAATCAAAACCTCAGCGTTTTGATTGTTGGGTATTTTTATTGTAGGACTGACTCTTTCGTTACTTTTACTTGAACTTTTCTGTTGTCCAATGGATTGTTGTAGTTGTTGTTCAAGTTCAGCCCACTTTTCAGCACCCACCTGACCATGGTCACTGAGTAAATGCGCTTTCAACCATTTTGTGCTTCTGAATCTTCTGTTACACAATGGACAAACTTCATTAAAGTGAGAAAAGTAACGATGACTTAAATCAGCCAAATCAGTAGGTTTCAACGAAGGATCTTCTATGTTAGAAGATGGCGGGGCCATTGTGGCTGGTGGTGTAGCCCCAGCATCTTCAAACCTCTTCGGTTGCATCAAATTAGAACCATACTCAACAATCCCATGCGTGTTATGTTTATGCACACGTAGAAAATATTTACTGCACAGTTCTTTATTACAGATGTCACAGATGACGCCACCAATCTGTGCGCCATTTTCTATTTCAATACCATGCATGCGTTGCATGTGGGTCTTCATGAAATACTTATTACACAACTCCTTGTTGCAAATCTCACAATAACTGCTGGTAGGAGTGAGATTCATGGAACTCCTACGTTCTGGTCCACCTGGAGTTGATGGTAGTCCACTTGGTGTATTCAAACCAGACCTTGGTGTTTTTTCCGGTGTAGTAAACCCATTGTATTCCTCTTTGACTTCTGTAAGTGGCACCTGACTGGTTTTATGTGCTTCGTAGAGATGTTTCTTCATATCTTCGAAATTCGGGAAGTCTTTCCCACATAAATCACACATGGTGTTGTTGTTAAGGTTAGAATTGAGGTTAGAGTTGGCATCTGCTTCAGGAGTCTTCTCATTCTCACTGGGATCATCTAAAAGAAGACCGTGCTCAGTCATCATGTGAGCGTGAAGATAGTATCTGTTTTCGAAGTCTTTCCCACAGGTGGCGCAAGTGCTACAAGTGCTAGCAACTTTCGAAACATCTAAATCATTCAGTTGCAGAATCATAGTCTGTAGTTTTTGTAAATCCTCAGAAATACTATCAGCTGAAGACGAAGCAGCTGAATTTGCAGGTTTTTCTTCAGAAATCTTTTTTGTTTCGTTATTAGTGTTTAAAAACAGTTGTGGTGGATCAGGTAACTTTGAATGCACACTAACATTATGCAGTTGAAACAAACTAGCGTTCTGGAACTTGATTCCACAGGTCTCACAACTGATGTCTGACGGTGAAGATGTTTTACGATCTGAACTATTGGAGCTTTGTTCCCCCATGATGAGATTCAATGGACTTGTCTGTGTGTATGGATTAGTACCTTCTGATTTCACTTGGTCTCGATCATCTGGTATGAAGATCCCATGGCGTTTCATTTTGTGTGTACGCAAGAAATACTTGTTGCAGTATTCTTTACAACAGATCTCACAAAATGCTTTCGGGTTCATTACGCCAATACGTCTAAGTCGGGCGGAGAGATCTTGGAAAGATTCTCGTGGTATTTGTGGTTGGGCACCGGTCGATGGTTGTTGACCAGGCGATAGCTTAACGGGCGAGGTATAAAACGGTTCCTGCTCAGAGGTGCGTGGTTCGCGATCATATTCGCTCTTCAGCGAGGTGTTTGAGGTAGTTTCGTTTTGGATAATGCGCGGACTCGTCGATTCATCCTGTTGGTTATCAGCATCCGCATTCGTAGGTATAGTACCGCTGTCGGTTGATGGTAGTTCTTGTTCTGAGGTCTCGAATGGTTTGGTCTTGCCAAACATCTTGCCAAAAGGGCCGGTAAACATGTCGTAGCTTTTCTCCATTTTAACAGCCAGGTCTAGGCTGGTAGGCAACCCAGGTGGCATCTTCATATGGTTCACATAGGAGGGGATATTGACGGAAGGAATTGAACTGTTGGAACTGCTAGTTGGGTTATTGGAATCCGGAGGTGGGTCAGTGTAGATCCCGTGTTTGTTGGCTTTATGCGTCTTCAGGAAATACTTGTTGCAGAACTCCTTGTTGCACAACTCGCAATACGCATCCGGGTTGAAGATCCGAATTGGTTGGCGTGGTGGCATCGCATCTGGCTGGGCAGCAAATGGTGGTAATCCCATGAACAATGAATTAGCCGCACCTGGAAACCCTAACAACCCAGGATTCATCCAATCTTTACTTCCGGGTAAATCCGGCAACCATGGTGGTAATTCCTGTTTCATTTCCATGCCGGGATTACCACCAGAGGTGAGTTGTCCACCGGCTTGTGAATCACTATCGGATGCATTATCGGTTTCCGGCGGCGGCGAATCCGCTGGTTCTTGTTTACACATGTGTTCGCTGGCGAGATGCGCCCGCAGTTGATCGGCGGCGGCGAATAGCAGTTGGCAGACGGGACATTGTAGTGGCGTTTCTGACGGCGAGGACTCGCGATCGGGGGACGGCGGCTTACCTTCTGCGGCGGGCGGGGAGTCGGTGGCGGAGATGCGCACGGGCGTCGCCTGCTTGCGGCGCTTCTTGCACGTGTCGGCGGGCGGCGTGGAGAGGCAGCGCTTTGGCGGGCGCGGCGGCTCGAAGTCGCCCGCTGCTGCGGCGGCGGCGGCGGTGGCCGTGTCGCTGAAGCCGCCGTGTATGTTGGGACCTGAACTGGAGGGCAACGTGACCGATGTCATCATCTCGTTGTGTAGGCGACATGCAACACTACCATAGGTCCCTTTAACACACAACAAAACACAAAAAATCACAAACTCACATTTTTACATTAAAAAAAAAATTTACCAAAAATAAAAAATTAAATATTAGGCACTATATAAACTTTCGCGACACGTAACAAATCACAACGCGCATCGTGAGCATCCCTCGCGCGTCAGGGTGCTGAAGCGTTTTGATAGCGCACAAATTCCAACCCTCGAGGTCACCCACCAACTACAACTCCAACCCCCCACCTATTAAAAACAGTACCTCGGTGTTCGCATCCGCAAAAAATGATATTTTCCGCATTTACGTTTACCTACGCCAAAACCCCACAAATTGAAATAGCATTATCTTATCATCACACGGAAATATTTATATATTTCATCATATGTAAAATGTAATAATTTTATTCACGATAAAACTGATTAAATTCAACCTAAAAGAGTGTGTTGATTGGTTCGGCGTGATGATAATAATAACCAACTGATCAGAGCATATGTCGGCGTTAGTGGGTGGCTGAAATTCAGTTTGTCAATATTTAAATTCGAATTGGAGCGCGTACGACAAGCGCAAATAAGATATGAGTGCACTGGCGATATGAAATTAAAAAGGCTATAGTTGGAAATTTATTGATTTTGCGATAAAGATTTTCACGAAACACCTGTGTTTGCTTTAAAATAAAAATTCGCCTCGCAAAGTTTCCGGCTTTGAAAAGAAAAAAATAAAACTTTTCGACACGCAACGTTAGAGAATAGAAGTTTGGTTATTACATCCATAGTTTAAAACATATAAAAATCGGAAAGATATTTTATGTGTGTTGGTGTGAGTGTGTTTGAGTGAATTGTGCGTGAATCGAGGGAAACGGCGAGCCGAAAAAATGTGTGTGGATTCTTGGAAGCGAAGGGAAATTATTGATCATCAGATAAAGGCAACAGCACAGAGACCTATCAGAATAACATAATGACGAATGGAAACATAACGGACAGCGCGAATGAGGCGCGCATGTGTGTTGTGTGTGCAAAGGGGGGCGTCAGGGGGTGGCGGTGGGCAAGCCGCGGCGCGTCGCGCGCGCGACGAGGGCGAAACGCGTATCGTGGATCAATAGTTCCACCCACGCGGTCCGGCGGAGCGCGCCGGCCAGCGGTCAAAACGCGCACCCTAAAATACATAAGACGCACACGGACACTACGCACGACACGCCTTACAACCACCACCCCCACGCCAACTCTACAATACGCGAGGAAGCGAAGAAACGCGGAGAAAAACGGAAACCGAAGAAAAATGTATTTTAAGATTCGGCCATACTTTCACCCTCACAAACAAACAAAACACACATACAGAAAAAATTTCAGAACAAAAAGAAAAAAATTAATAATAATTTAATACAATATTAATTATAAGATATTATTTTTTATAATTTTGTTTTTGTTTTGTTGTGTTCAAGTGAAAATCAAGTGAATTTTAATGAAAACTGTAGCAATGTGTGGATTATTAGCATTTCACTTTCGCTATCGTTTTAAAATTGTTCGACCGGCGCGCCACAAACACGCCACGAATACATTAAGCGTAATTCTGGCCCGCAACCCCACTTTTCATTTCATTTGCGACGCGTGTTCAACGTGTGGGTGAGAAATTGAAGCTTTGCATCGACGAAAAACACAAAAAAAGCAAGTAAAAAAATGCGTCGCACAATTAATTTAATGAAACCTTCAAAAATCCACACTTTTCTAATCATATTTAATTAAAAACGTCTATTTTTAATTAAAATTTATTATTATCACTTACAGTTTTATCATAAAAATATATTAAAAATGATTTTTATTTAATTTTTCACTTTTTACACTTAAATTTGTTATTTTTTCACTGTTTTCTTTTATATTAACATGTTTTAGGGGTTATTTCACTTGTTTATCACGTTTTTATTAATTTATTTTTAGTTGTTGATTATTATAAATAATATCTATTGGAATATGTGATAATAATGTGTAGTTTTTGCTACTTACAAGGACCAACGCCGCTCAGAGAAGGTTTTATGAAACGTACATCGCGGTGGTTGTTTGGTGGTGGTTTGGTGGTCTGTGTGTGCGGCTGGTGAGCACCTAACGACACTAGCGCGGCCTGGCTACTGATAATTTAGGGGCAGCGTCGCGGCGCGCGCGGCCCGCCGGTGCGCAGCTCCATCAAAATTAGATGACAAAATCCGCCATTTGTACGGAGAGCGGCGGCGCGCGCGGAGCCCGCGATTTACAACGCACTTTGTTATTATATTTTTTTTATTATATATATATATATATCTATATATGCGCCGCCTCCCGCTTGCCGCCAACGCCGCCAGCGCGCAGTTTCCTTCTCAGCCATTCTCTCCACCATGGAAGTTAGTGTTTTCTTGTTTTCTCTCGCGTAATGATTTTTTCAGCGGGCATTTTTCGGACGTTTCTTTTATTAATTTAATTGCGTTTTTTTTTCTCGTCTTTTTCATGTTTTATTTTTATTTCTACAGGCGACAGAATAAAATTTTGTATTCCACGACGTATTTTCACACATAAATTTATTGATTTCACTTCATTTCGTGTGATATTTGTCTACGTTTGTATGTTTAATGATTATCCGACCCTCGATTTGTAATTACGATTAAAATTCAATGCGCAAATCATGCCCGAGAATAATTAATGAAGCCAAACCAACACTCACCCTCACCAAAAATGTTTAAATGTTTAATTCGAGCCGCATTCCCGACGTTTTTTGATTAAATATTTTGTTTGACGTGATTTCTGATTTCTCAAGTGAATAAATGATTGATTTTTACTTTTTTTTACCTGCACGTAAATCAATCAATTTTTAATTCGATAAACACACTGCTTCCCACCGACAAATCACGCCACTAAATCATTAACTAAATAAATCTTTTCTCTCTGTGTGTGCTAAGCAAAAGTTTCGATGCGCCAGTTAAAGTTGAAAAGTTCACATTTAAAGCGATTGATTAAAAATCAAATAAAACGAATTTAATAGAATCGAGAAAAATAAAAAGCGGAACGTGTGCGCAAAAAGCATCTTCTGATATGCGGAATCGCAGAAAATAGATTAACACTCATTATCAAATTGCAAATTTTATTAATTGACGCTTTTTATTTCCAAGGTCAGGCGTCGTCGAGCGCGATTTATCGCCGCTTGCAGTCGGGATAATCTTGCATTGTTTACACATTTTCCAATCGTTACACAATTCTACCACGACTCGCATTTATTATACGCGAATTTATCAATATTATTACTATCTAGAAAAACACGTAATGGTTTAATAAAATTCCCAATTGCTAATCATGCAATCGTGTATTGAACACGTATTATTGTTCGGATTGTGGTCGAGAATTGGATTAATTTAGTTAGCGCTAATTTGCGGCGCTTACTTTGTTGCGTCTGGCGTGTTATCGATTTGTTGCGTTATCACCGGCATCTTAAACATCACTTCCTCCAACCGGCTTTCACTCAGATGATTTTAGACTTGACTAAAGTTTTATTCTTTTGAATTTGGGCACGTCGCGCCATCTGCACACAAAAATCTGAACTCAGGTTGCGCGCTAGTGGAAACTGTTGCAGAGCGACTGTAATTTGAAAGTAGGGAGCTATATTATCTCTACAGTTGAATTATTTTGAAGTTTTGTTATTCAAAGCACGTAATATAGTTTAATTAGTATATTGGTAGTGTAATTAATTAGTATTAGTAAAATTAATAAGTATTTTTTAATAAAAATAACAATTTTTAACAAAAAATTAAGTTTTTTCTTTAAAAGTTCAATTTTTTCTCGTAGATGTCGCTAGGAGTGCCAAAACTGTTGAAATAACCTTCGAATCCATCCAGTTATTAATTTCCCTTAACAGAAATTGACATGGGAAATAAACACGAAGTGTAAGTCGTCTGAATACTTAGAGTTTTGTGGCTTGCATCCCGATCGTTGGCGAACATCGTAAAATCCGTTTTGGTAAGTGCTTATGCATAAAAACGCCGTAAAATATCCAATTTTGCGGTGGGGATGCACGCGCGCTTCTTATTTTTTATTTTGCGCTCATAAATATCAACATTATAGAGCGATGCAATCGATCGCGCGATGTTTTACGCGCTATTTGGTGGCGAAAACGAAAAGAGCGACAAGTTTCCGGCCTGTCCGACACGTTGGAATATCATTCGCGTAACATGTTTGCGCGTCGTGTAGCCATCTCGTTGACATGACGCGCATACTCATTCATCTAAACTGCTCGGCGCTCGTCTAATATTTTGTTTATTAATTGTCACACATTTAATGCAAAACGCGCAAACTGCAGTTCTAGCAATAGGATATATTACATGTTTCAACTGGCGTGATTAATGAGCAGTCGTCATGGTCGGTAATGAGAAAATTAAATATTTGACAAGCGGATATAGTGTCACAATCATATGCTCGCCATTTTGTTTTTTATGCTTTCATTTCGTGAGATTTAGTTGTATCTGTGTTGGAAAACATTGTTCTGGTATTATTTTGCGCTTAGAAAAAACGTAGGATGAATAAACGCACATCAAACTAATTAATATTAATTATGCAAATGTTTGTGACGTTTTCACGCAAAAACTACTTAACCAATTTCGATAATTTTTGGTATAGAGATAGTTCTGACCTTGGAAAATAAAATAGACTACTTTTTACCGCAAAAATTTAATTGGAAGGGCGCAAAATAAGGGTGTAAATTAAAAATTATTCAAATGATTAAAAATGATTAACGTGAAACCTGTTTTCTATTTTGTTTCTATTTTCTTTATGTTGTTGCATTTTGTGTGATTTAATTGTATGTTTGTTTTAAAACATTGTTTCCGTATTATTTTGCGCTGATAATCCTTTTAACAAAAAGCGTAGGGCGAATAAGCGAACCTTGAATTACATTAGGCAGTCTTTTTACATATTTCTTCGAAGGGAAAAATTCCCGACAATGGAGAGGAGAAAAACGCCACGCGCGATGCGAGACGGCGAAAATGATGATTTGACTCGAGGCGACTTCGCCGACGACGTTTCCGACGATTTCCATAAAACAGGAATTCACTTTCACTTTATTAATTTACAAAAACGCATATTTATTCCTTTTGTGCGGCCAAATGGAAGAAGCAAGATAGCAACACATCTCTCACGTCGCATGTCGAACCTGTTCATCAAAAAACATCTCAAAACACACAGAAAACGAAATAAAATCATTTTATATTATTTATAACATCACGCCGCCATTTTGCAAGTGTTTTCGGAGTCACAATCGCTGGTATGCATTCATTGCAGCCCCGGGAATGTGAGAAATTATGGAAATAGCAACAGTTTAATAATTAAATACACACTATCAAGCGTTTAACTCGTAGTATAAATTATCGTAATGTAATTTAACTCGGGCGATAAATTTCCGGCGCGGCGCAGAGGCGGCAGAGGCGGTCATAGCATTCCGGCGAATCCGTTCTTCTGCTGTTCATCCAACGTCGCCAAATTCTCCTCGATGAGCTGCTCGACGTTGATGGCGTTCAATTCTTCTTGCACGCGCATCTTGATGGGCGACTCCAGCGCGTCCATGATCTGATAACGCAAAATATTCGGCAGGACATTCACAGCCGCCTCCACAACATAATCCAGTGTTCCTGCACCGTTGCAACGCACTTGAATATTACCCAATTCCAGCTGGATATCTTCAAGTTCCGGTGAATTGCGTGTGTCTAACGATTGACTAACCACGACTTGCACCTGGAAATCAACATAACCTAATTTATAGTGAAATGTTTTGAAGAATTCTATTTAGAGTTTTGCAGTGTTGTAATGGCATTGTTATTTGTTTTCGCTTGCGGTTATCCATTTGGGGACGCGAACACAAAAAGCATCGAAAGAATCGCGCGCTGTGTGAAAGATCGTTGCGTAGTGCGGTCACGCCGCCAACTTTTCAAATTCAACTAGACGAAAAGAAAACCGAATGATTATTCAGCGCGGAGGTGGGTTATTTTAACTTTTCGTCTTTTACCGTGCGCCCAGAGCGAAGAAAATGCTCGATATGCATTTGCACAGTGCTGGATCAACCACAAATACATAAATTTGGAATATAACCTCAAAAAATTTAACCGAAAAACATTTTTTAAATTTTTAGGTTAAAAATTTTAATTTTTTTTTGTAAATTTGTTTTTCTACGAGTCCGGCTCTCAAATTCTATTAGAAACTTGCATAGATCGAAAAACTATTGTTTCTTCTTGTTCCCAGCGCGTTGGCGTAAAAGTTTGGAAAAATATTACAGTTTTGGTTACAAATTACAGATAGTTTTCCACCTTAAAATTACCGCAGCCCGAGCGTTTTGCATGAGATTAGCGTGGCTGGTGGTTCGAAAAGAAAGTGGAAAACAAGTCGAGCTCACTTGAACTTTGACGGTGTCGGAGCGCCAAGTGCGCGCGTGTTCCCTACCGCCGCCCCCCAACTGCCGCCCCTCTCGCCAATATAAATTACAATTATACGAGGCCATAAAAGTGCTCCAACACGACGAAAAATTATCACTGGTCGACGCGCATTCGCACTGCAGTGAATAATGAACTCACGATGAAATAAAATAAAAGGCGAGATTAACTACTTTACTTCTATATGAATTTCTTTTTGCGTTGCTTTGGCGGACGAGTGGCGATTTGTTGGGGAATCGATGCGCAGATATGACACGCCGTCGGAGTGACAGCTCGAGTATTGATCATTTTGTGTTATGGAAAAGGCAATTTTAGATTTTAGTGTTAATCTACTTTTACTACTTTTCGGGTGCTCGAAGACGCGTCGTGCTGTGCTGTGCACGTTCTCGTTAGGAACGGTGCGAGTATGAAAGGCGGCTGCATCATGCCGCCACCGGTGTCACTTTATTGGGCTGTGACATGTCACAACATTGGCGAACAAAAAACTACAAAATTGTATTACTCACTACTACCAATTCAGCTAAAGCAGTATATCATACTAACTAATATTATAAATTCGTATGTTTGGGTCACTTTAACACAAAAACCACTCAACCGATTTTGATAAAATTTGGTATATAAATACTTCTAACCATGGAAAATAATATAGACTACTTTCTATGCCAAAAAAATTAATTTTAAAAGCCGAAAATAAGTGTTTAAAGATTAAATAGTTATTTTATCATACTTTAAGTTAAATAATTCTAACATAGGTGATGTAACTAAACTTACCTTAAGATATTCCACAGTAAATACCAACAATCCTGCCCTAGACAACATCCCAGCTCCTAAAGATATCTCCCAAGCACTACTCCCTTCCAATTTCTGTGTTCCCACACCAATATCAACAGTAACTGTATTATTCCTAACTCCAAAAGTGATATTACCCACTCTATGAATCGATGACAAACCAGTTATCCACGTATTTGTCATTTGTACACTCAATAACCCAGCAGTTTTATTGTAATCGTTAATTTTATACGGATCATAATTCATCGTCCGAATCTTTTTCCTAACCTCAATCAAGATCTGATCTAATGGTGAAATTGAATTAGTGAAATTCTGTGGAATCTTATGCACTTGCTCATTCATATCTTTTCGTAGATTAGTATTCGCTTCCTTCAAAACGAAGGGTTTAATCGAATCGAAAACAAATGTTCCCACAGAGTTGATAATCCCTTGGAACATACTAGCAAACATTCCAAGACCTTCAAAATTCATGTCTATATGTTTAAAAGTGATGTCCATTTTCATTTCTTGGGCTTCTAGTTGTCCATTCTGTTCGACTTCCAAGCGGGATATGGCCTGGACGAAGACGTTTTTTAACTTTACAGTGAATGGGCCATTGTAGCGGGATAACCATGTGCTGAGGGTGTAGTTGCCGGTGACGATTAGGCTCTCGATGGTCAAGGCCGCTTCACATTGCATTGCTTGCAGGTCGACGTTGATGTGATGTATGCGGAACTTTGAGAGACCGTTGAGGAGCACGTTCTGCATGTTCATCTTACCGATGGTGAAAGAGTGGCTTAGGGGTGGGATACTCATCGGGTCAGGGATGGGTGCCACGGGGAGACCTATGGGGTCTTTTTGTTTGTAGTGTTTTAGGATGGAGCGGACATAGTCGCTGATTTTCATTTCGGTTTTAGCGATTGCTGTTTTTTCTTCTTGGGTTGGTTTTGTTTGTGAAAGGGAGGTGATTTCAGGTGGAATTGCTAAAAAAATATAAAATTAAGGTTATTAAAATGGTATTAGATAGAAATTTATAATTTTTGGATTTGTTTTTGCCGTGAAAAGACGAATATTTAGTAAAATGTTGGAATTTTTGAAGAAAAAAAATTTCTACTCCGTTAATTTGTGTTAGTTGATATTATATAGGCAACACAATGTACTCTATTCTTTTGACAGCCTATTTACTTAATTTATATAAATTTTAAATTCATTAAATTTTATTTTATAAAATTTTTTGGCGATATTTATTGATTAGAAGAAGAAAAATCATTTGAAACCAGTGAATTTATTAAAATATTGAATTTTTTCTATAAAACAAAGTTAAAATAAAAGTGTTTTCTATTAGGTAATGTTATTTCATATTACATAGGCAACCAAATATACTCTCTTCTTTTGACATGAATTTTAACCTTATTAAAACTCATTTTGTTTCAATTCCAGACAATAATTATCAATTAACTACTAAAAAGTCTTTAAAAACAAATAATTTCAAATATATTTTTCTAAATTTTTCAAAAACAATCCACCTGTATTCTCCAAAATGTCTATTTTAACTTACCATGTTGTACATCCTCTGCAACGACGCACACGAACCCAAACACAACGAGACAATGAACAATAACCGTCAATTTATTCATCCTGCTCGCGATTAATCCACAACCATTAAGTATGACGACTTCACCGTCTTGTTTTCGTTCTTGTCACACAGCCCACACACACAAAACCTAGCCTTGCACACACCAGAAACAACCAAGTAAACCAACTACGTACCAACTACAACTGAAACTGAAGCGGATAGACGGATATAACGTCGAGCTTAGTGAGTAACTCAGCGAATGTGAATGAAAAGAGTGTCAAAGTTCAAAGACGGATGGAATATCTTATCAACTACCACACATACACATCCACAGACACATTCATTACCTATATAAATGTATACGAAGCGTATGCGCACGATGAGTGAGTGACACACGACTAATTCCATGAATTATTGAATCAACCCTTAAATAATCCCATTGTGTACCTACTCGTACGCTTTATGCCCACAGCACACACACACCGCATGGAGTATAAAAGGGATAGGAATATATTACATGTAACTAAACACATCAATTTAATGTTAATAATATTTTAATGCGCAATAACAACGGTCTTGTCACACACATTTATGACTATTGCCACATTGCCACAGAAACTCTTACATTTTAAAAATGGCATCGGTAAATAAAAACTAATTAATCCTAGGGTCTAAATATTGATCTTTATCTTATCGAAATTTGCTAGTAATCGTAATTATCGTATGAGTTTGTTTGTTTAGCATAAATTAGTTTTGAACGCATTGTATAGCACCGGGGTTATTGATAGACTATCATAGACTATCATAGAAAACAAACATTATGTGCGGACGGTACATATTAATCAATTAATATGTTATTCAATTCGCTACTGGCGCGAATTCAATGGGATGTAAATTTGTTAAGTGTCACGTTGTACTACGTAGTTGGATATTGAATTAGTGCGCGAACTTTGAATGCGAAATAAGAATTTTTGCATAATACAATTTTTTGTGTATTTTGAAATGTTCACTGGGTGTGTATGTATTATTATTGGTGGATTTTCATCGGGATGTTGGCCCCTGACTGATTTGTATTGTGCGGCGAGTGATTAGTGAGTGGATCGAGCGCGTTTTAGACGGGTTTTAGTAAATATGCGGCTGGTTCAATGGCAGAGCTGCCGAGCTTCACTATCGAGCGCCCCGCTAACGAATGGCACTTTAATTCAGTCGATGGCGGGCTTATCGTCCAGCCACGGCCGGAATATCGGCAGCGTTGAGGGATAATGCGTGCCGGCCTTGTATGCCGCCGCGACGTTATCCTCGGAAGCGCGCAGTGGATACGTCGCCATCATGATCGGCAACTGCAGTTTTACCTCTTTCTCGAAACTCTTCGGCTCGATGATAAACTGCAAGCAATCAAGCAAATTACTCCACTAGTATCACACGTACTATGTGATGAAATTCTAAAGAAGACTAGATGTGTCACTGTGATATCAATTCGGTGATTTGTTTTTGTTTCGTGTCTGATTGAAATTGAAATTTCAGCGCGCAATCTGTATAGTACGCGTTGTTTGCGTAAATGTTTAATGCGACGTGGATGGTGGCGCCACCTACATTGCCGCGCGCGTGATTTACGCGATAATTAAACCGTTGCCTCGACGGGACGCGACGCCCGCGTGTGATTTATAATTTTTTTTTTCGGTAATAATAAAATCTCGGAATTTGTGCGCCCCGGCAATTTGCACAAAATGTTTAATTAACATTTTTACGCGCTCTTACCTATACTTTGCTGTTGGGGAGGAAAGAATAAAAAGAAAAGGGACTTACGTATACATCATACTGGATTTTAATAAGATGACATCCTCGAAGATTGGTTGGTGGTAGTGGTGGGACATAGAGTTGTTCGTTTATCCACTCATCTCGCTCGCCAGGGCGGATTTTACCACGTGATAAGGCGGCTAATTCACGGCGTTCGGATTGTACTACTTTACCACGTGCCATATAGGTGATGGTTTCTGTTAGTGCGGCCCTGGTGCATTTTACTGTCACTCGACTACGATTAACAACACTTGCAGAAACACCTAAAAGATTAATTTGATTCTTTTGTGTTTAATAAATCAGAAATCGTGATTAAAGTATTTTAGTCACGGGTTTGGCTATTTGTGTATAAAATATCACTTTTGTGTCTCAAAATCGCAAAAAAATTGATTATTTTGTGTTTAATAAATTAAAAACCGTGAATAAAGTACTTTAGTCACGGCTTTGGCCGTTTGTGTATAAGGTACCATTTTTGTGTCTCAATACCGCAAAAAAATGGTTATTTTGTGTTTAATAAGTTCAAAATCGTGATTAAAGTACTTTGGTCACGGCTTTGGCCGTTTGTGTAAAATGTACCATTTGTAAGTCTCAAAACTAAAAAAAGTGGTTATTTTCTGTTCAATAAATACAAAATTTTGATTAAAGTAATTTAGGCACGGCTTTGGCCATCCGTGATTAAAGTACCACTTTTGGTGTCTCTAAACAACAAAAAAAAACTGGGATTTTAAAGTCAAAAGTATAAAAATTTATTTACCTATACTTTCTCCAGGTACATAACCTCCACGATCCAAAGTCACCTTGCAGATGACAGGCCCGGATCCAACGCAAGCCACGCCGAATTTATGCTCGACTTCACAGCGGAATGCTTGCTGATCGAAAACATTATTGTTCTAAAGATTAGAAACAGAAAAGCAGAAACAAATCGTGCGTAAGCGATAGGTGCATGCCATGCGAGATCTAAATGAAAACAGAATAACATAACCTCCACATAACCACCACGTGCACATAACCACAATGTTGTGCTAACGAGTGTTAACACAAATGTAAGACAATACAAGTAAATTACTAAAAACACAAATAAAATCATTTTTAATCATATCTTACTGCTAAAATCGACGGTTCCAGGTTAAGATCAATTGGATTCATCACAATGAATACTTGTTGGTTTTTATGTGTGAGACCATTGGGTTCCCGAAGGGCTGTTTTGCAGTAATACTGGACCCAACCGTGTTTTCCCAGGAAAGTTGATGGTAATCCAAGTGGTAAACCCAGTTTAAATGGAAAACTGTGGATACCCGGTGAGAGTACTGATGGGCCTTGACCTGGAAATTAAATCAGTTGCGCATGCGCATTTTAAAAATAATTTTTTGTTCGTTTTTTGTTTATGTATGTTTACGTAATAGCAGGAGGGTCGAAAATAAATGGATTATCATAAATCCGTCATTAGAAGCGCGTCGCGGGCGGTGCGATTGTCAGACACTAAGCCGCGCGAAACGAGTCGATTAATCCGCCGCCGCAGGCCCGGAGGCGGTGTGTCGGGAGCGGGCGCGTTGGCTGTCGTTACGGTTATTAATTAATAACCGCAATTTGCACCCTTTTAGCGTCTGTTTGCGTAATTAACGCTACCTTTTCCGCGAAGAATCTGTATCATGCCGCCCCTCTGCTTTTATACTAAGAATTCTTATTCTTATCAGCGGTGTATACAAAACATTTAATTCCTGCGAAATAAATTGAATAATTTTTCACGAGCCCACCAAAAATCCCAACTTTCTTAAAGTCGTACATTTACAACAGAGAAAAACTTTGGTGGTGGGGGCGGCAAAGGGTGAGAAAAGACCGGAGAGCAAGCCGAGCGTAATTTTAATTATATAAAACACTAGCGGAACGGTTACTTTAATTTATTTTTAATGTGCGCTGCGTGGAAGACGAACGCGCGTCAACCCCACGAGCCCGGGGGCGGCGTGACGGCGTTTACATCACATTTCGCGCCAACGGACGCCCGGGCGACGAAAGCGAAGATCATTTGATGCTTGCGCTACAATGGGCGCGCTACCAGTTTGTTATCGTCGCCTGCGGTTTGGGGGGACCCGCCCCCACCACCCACGACCACCCCCGCGGGGTAAATTAATGCAATATTAAGTTTGTATTGTGCGGTCGACGAACGCGAGCGGCGCACTTAATGTTCGCTGCATGTTTCGACTCTATTATTGCACCAGCATATTTTCAACCCGCCGCCGCCGCCGCCACAGCGACAAAAAGATGCACCCAGCTGCTAATTTCCTTTAAGTTTTGTGTAAACTATTGTATCACACAGGAAAAACATGAAAGAAATTAATATAACAAACAAAAAGAGCGAAAAACAAAAAATTTACTTTTTAAGTTGTTACAGACAACAGCAGCGGCACTAAGGGTGGAAGGAAACATTATTAGGTCGTTTTGGCAAGTGTCACGTGTGCGCTGGCCAGTTGTCGCCTTGTGTGTTGATAAAAATGTCCGACGAAACTTTTGCACAAGTTAATAAAGCGAGAAAGATGCGGTTGGTGTTCGGTTTGCCAGCGCGCAGAGGATAATAGTACAACACAGCCAAGGACGACAGGCTGGGGGTGGTTGTAAGTGCGGTTTGTGACCATCTGTTGTCCGTACATACCAGGTTCGCCGAGGAGTCGCATGCGAAAGTCGATGTAGTTTTCCCGGTCGTAGACCCGCTCCTGTCGTGGTGTCCGCACACGAACTACTCCTTCGCCTACGACGTGGAAATGCAATCCTTAAACACAAAAAAAAACGGAAAATGGTTAAAAATGTTTTTATGTTGATAATCCTACGGCGGCAATATATCCGCTTTGTGATCCGTGTTTGATTAGTACTTGTTTGAGAGTTGAACTGACCGCAAAGCGAGTGAAACGCGCCGGGAAATCGCCGGGAATGATTTTCACAGAAGAGGAAAAAAACACACGCGCGCGCTGGTAATGAAAAGCTGGATATTCACGAGTCGGGATTCACGAGGAAGTCGAAAGTTCAAAGCTGACGGCGTGGTTTCCGCGAGACGCGGAATCAAATTAAATTTCACTGATGTTTTTACTCATTAGTGCATTTCGCTGGTGGCGGAAAGATTTTTCGCTGTTAATTTGCGCGGCGCATTGACATGTCCGGCGAGGTTTTAATGCCCAATGTTAATGTTTTAATGTTATTGCTAGTTATCCTCAGGGCACATTTTTAATATCAATTTTCGTGCGAGCATTAATTGCGCCGGTCGGGGAAAAAGTCGGCTAATAGCGCCCCGGCCATGGCAGATATTAGATTAACCTTGGCTTTTCCGGCCGGAGCGCTCAAGTCGACGGTTCGACGTTTTTAATATAAAATAACTAAAACCTTTCGAGCGCGCTTGCCTTCCAGCCCAGAAACAAGCCGGGATGAAATAACAAATAACTTGATGAATTTCGAATCAATTTTGGCGAATTTCTGGAATCTCACGTTTCAGTCAAAAACAATTTTGATGTTACATTACGAAAAATATCGCAGATATAAAAATAAAAAGATTTTTTGGGTTTGAAATTTAAAAAATATATTTTAATCATTGAAATACTAATTTTTGGAAAGAAAATTGCTTTTAAAGTGTGAAAAACGTCGAAAATTAAAGTTTTACTAACTAAAAATACATTCTAACCTCAAATTGAAGCTTACTTGCTCATAAAATATTAGAAAATTACACAAAACAATAAGAATTAGCACAGTTTTGTTAGAATTCTTGTTCGATGTGTTGCCTACCTCACAGATTTTAACTTGTTAAGTAATAAAAATGAAAACCTGAAAAATTAACAATAAAAAATTGTTAATTTAGTATTATTAAGTTAAAAATTAATTTTGGCAAATTATACGAATCCTACGTTTCAGCTAAAAACAATTTTGATGTTATATTACCAAAGAAAATCGTAAAAAACGCGAAAATATATTTTTTTTGCTTGAAATTTATAAAATGTATTTCAATCATTAGTGATGATATCTGAATGTGATTTATCAATACTGATTGTTTCTCGCAAGAAAGAAATCGGCCCTTTTTTGAGTATTGTCTTGTTTCGCCGCTTTGTGTCGCGTTATGAATCGCTGAAGAAGGTCGCAAAGGCGGCTTATAAATATTAATATCAGTGATTTTCATATTTCACAACGACGTTTTCTCAGTTCCACATTTTTTCTTTTTGCTCTAAATTTACATCTGGAAAAACTCAATGAATATCTTATGTATTTTTAAGCGTGTTTTCTATTGATTAAATTAAACTCAGGTGGAAATCAATGCCGGCGGGACAATAGTGAGTAGAGTGAGCACAAAGTGAATGCGTTTAGTATTTATTATCATAAAGTTATTATCGGGCCATCGTGCACCTCGTTCGGGCGGAATGAGTTCGCATTAAAATCACAACGCCCGGGTCGGTGGAAATGCACCGGCGGGTGGCGGTGCATTATTACAGGGGTGAATTTCCCAATTGGCGTTTGCGATCTATCGCCGAGGCGTGCGGAGTCGGGCGTCGTTGCCGCCGTCGGGGTACGATGGTGACACAATGGCCGGTCGAACTTCCCGAGACGAGCGGCGGGCGTGCTCGCTTCCGATCGGTAGTAATGTCGAGTGTACAAATTCGCTTTATTCACTCACTGAATTAGTCGCTGGAAAACCATCGAAACTTGATATTCAGCACTCGACATACTAACAACACGTGCGGGGAGTTAGTATATAAAGTCAAAATGAGTAAATTGTAATTATAAATGAGCAAAAATGTAAAATTATTTTAAAATGTGTTCTATGTGTTGCCTATAGTAAATGTTGTTGAAATTTTTAATTTTTGGGAGGAAAATTGTTAATTAAAGTAGAAAAACAGTCAAAAATTATAGTTTTAATAAGTAGAAATAAATTTAGCTTCAAATTAAAGCTTTCTGGGTCTTAAAATGTTAAAAAATTAGTCAAAACATTAGGAGTAACTGAGCTTTAGTTAGTATTGCTGTATGATGTGATGCCTAAGTCACGCGTGTCAACCTCTTATGAAATAATGTGTCCTTGGTGAATATTTATAATTTTATGAATGAAAAACTGTTGATTACGTGTTATCAAGTAAAACTAATGGAGAAAGAAGCACAAATTCCTAGTAAGCAATTAAATATTCAAGTTTTAACTACATTTTCACCTCAAATTTCACATTTTAACGAAAAAAAAACAAAAAAAAAATAAGTTTTTACACAAAAAAAAACATGAAATCATTCTCAAAATTACTTAAATTCCTCATGAAACAAAACCCAATGTTACTACTTCGTTCCCATAGCAGTATCTATGCCACCGTTGGTTTTTTTTATGCGATCGATGCGATTGACACTCTTTGATACGAAGAAATCAATCTTTTTCGCGTACAGATTATGCGAAACGGCGTGACGGAACGTGCGCGCGCGCCCGACACAAGAAGACACGCGACACATTGAATACAAAGTGCGAAGTGTGAAGCGGCGATGCGATGATGTCACACAAGCAGCGAGCGCGCAAAAAAAAAGCGCGCGCGGCGGCAGCAGCAGCATCACGACGAAAACGAGAAAAAGGGATGCGAGCGAGCGGCGCGTGCCGTCACAATCACAAATCGCCTGCATTGATATCGCCTCTCGAGCGCGTCCGCCAGTGCCATACGGCATTGTGATGGGATCGCCATAGAGACAGACATTTTTCGCATTCCTCGCGAAAATAACTTGCATCCCGGCATAATCCTGTGCTTTTCACGAATTTATCTGATGATATTCACGCGGAACAATTGAGTAATACCAGTTTATTTAATATAGAATTAAATTTTTTTATTTTTAAAAATTTTCAGTTAAATTTTTAAATTAAACAAAAAGTTTGTTTGATTTTACATCGGAAATCTGTTTGTATTGTACAGTTATTCTATTCCATTCCATGAATATCATTTATTTGTTCTCATCTACGAGTAACAGATACACGCGAACTGTGTTGCGTTAAAGATAAACATTTTAATGGCTATAATTACACTCACAATGCTATCGGACTGAATTTATCTGCGCGAAACAATGCGGACGTCGGCGGCGCCGTCGTGAAGAAGCGGTAGCAGTCAAACAGCCGCCAACTTCGAACAAACGGTTTGCTGTGTTTCAGTTATTCAAACAACTTTGTGAAAATAGTTATATTTTCTAGGTTATATCACAATACAATACAATTTTAATAATTCTTATATAGATGGCGCTGTTTTTGATGTAGAAATCTGTCGTATACACCTATAACCCACATAACCACAAAAACTAATTTTGACAAGTGATTAATTTTCGGAATTTTTAATTAAAACATATTTTTAAGCAATTAAATCGTCGATCAATACATATTCGTCCATGTGTGCGCATTGTGTGATTAATGACATATTAATTAGTTTATACGAATGACCCAATTGTTTTTCATTTATCTGTTTTTTGTCGCGCCGGGCGTATTTTATAATTTTACGATAATCGTCGCTATTTCCTCAACTAGTCCGTCGATTCCTTTCGCACCACATGGGTCCGGCCAATAATCGAGATTAAATGGTTCGTGGATATCGTATTGGTATTGTTTTCTCGTCAAGTAGTCGGCGGAAAATATGCAACCAAATGCGCACAGAGTAAGTATGCCATTCGAATAGCTATTATCGTTATATACGCTGTGCAATGCCAGAGCAAAGGGTGCAAGATTAATAATGGCAAAATGTTTGGCATCGTCTTTTTTGTTTGTGGACTTTTCTACCCCTTTTCTTTTACAAAAAGAAGGAGTAGAAGGTTAAAGGCGTGCAATTTGTCGCCTCGGTTTGTTTGCACGAATGAATTAAAGCGTACGCGCGCGGAATTTCCGATCGCTACAAGAAAATTTGTGTTCTTTTCAAGATTTTTCTCGGAAAATTTTTTATTTTGATTGAATTTAGTTAATTGCAGTTTTGAGCGATAAATGCATCTAAATTTCTGGTTAACAATGTGCTTTGCGCGAAATTTCCGGTTTGGGAAAAGTGTGGAATTCGAAAAGGTGTCTAGGGACGGAAAAACGGCGCGCTACTTATCAATGGGAGATGAAAGCTGCGCCGCCGCTGCGCGCACTGATCGAATTCGACAGCAATTAAGTAAATTTGCCTTCGACGCGGGCCGTGGCCGTTTCAAACGTGGCTGAAATGCAAAAAACTAGACTCGTGCCTTTTTTTTTGGCGCAATGATGAAAAGTCTAAACAGAGCGTGCTGCGACGAGCAACGATGCAATCGAGCACCGCGCATCCAAAGCGCCAACATTGCAACATTTTTATTTATATCACACATACAGTATGTTCAAAAATAACCAAAAATTAAAAATATTAAATTAACTAACAAAAACGGCAAGAATTTTCATCTAAAAAACAAAATTCTAAAATTTTTTTTCAGAAAATTTTGAAAAAAATGTATCTAAATGATATATATGATCCTATATGACATAAACATAACCTAATTTTTATACTATCCAAGAAAATATGACGTGTTTCGATGTAATTTTATGATTTTTGATAAAATTTTAATTTTTTGAGTTTGAACACATTGTATATTAACCTAACATGTAGATGTTTTTATTGAAACGTGTCGTGTTGTCGACGGGTACGGGGGGTTGCCTGTAGACACACATAACACTCACACTCTCACAAAGCGCGCTCGCGAGAATTATGTAACGTCAATAAATGTCGCGACTCAAAAATTGGCCCCATTTGTTATTGCGTCGACTGATCGCACACACGCATGCACACAGCGCGCACTCACGTTTGCACAAGCAGACGACGTTTTGTTTGTCGCATTTTTTCCAATAAGCTCCTCTCTGGCGCGCTGGCTGCATTTATGCGCGCAACACGCGACGTAATTGATGGCCGCACGCGGCATCACTTTGGCATTTCCTCGGCTTTTCCGCACCAGCCCACTGTCTCCGGGGCTAATATTTTAATTGATGTGTATTTAGAAAGAGGCTTATGAAAATGTGCGCGCACCGCACAACTTCCCAACAACTTTTCCTCTGTGTTTAATCCTTTTTCACTCAAAAATAATGTTTGCATGCAAAAAAATTATTCGTAAATATGAATATTTTACTTTAGCCACGACAGTGTATAAAATTATGCTTCACGTTTTTTTTTATTTGCAGGAATTGGTAGACGTACGAGTATTATTCCACTATGAGGCCAAGCCGGTGCGTATTTTTTAAAGCCCCTTAAAATGCACATTTTCGTTTCAATTACCTTTCGGTATGTTTGAACTTATTACATATTTTTAACCGCTCGTGCAGCGCGCCACGCTCGCAAGTGGAGAAAGAAGCATGATATAAAACCCACTTTCAATTCGAGCGCGCGCGCAGAGAACGAAACGATGTGAATTTAACGTACGTCTTGTTATACTTTATACGCCTTTTAACATACGAGCAAGTCTTGCCACTTTTTACACGAACGTATTTGCAATTTGTCTTGAAACAAAAATTCTAACCTCTAAATCCATTAAAATCTTTATGTTTTGTTTATTAGTTAAAATTTTCACCGATAGATGGCCAAACACAAACATAAGAGAACAATTCTAACCTCTAAATTCATTAAAATATTTATTTTTTGGTTATTAGTTAAAATTTTCACCGATAGATGGCCAAATACATACATAAAACAACAATTCTAACCTCTAAATACATTAAAATCTTTATGTTTTGGTTATTAGTTAAAATTTTCACCGATAGATGGCCAAATACATACATAAAACAACAATTCTAACCTCTAAATACATTAAAATCTTTATGTTTTGGTTATTAGTTAAAATTTTCACCGATAGATGGCCAAATACATACATAAAACCACAATTCTAACCACTAAATTCATTAAAATCTTCATGTTATGTTTATTAGTTAATTTTTTCACCCATAGATGGCCAAACACATACATAAAACAACAATTTTAACCTCTAATTTCATTAAAATCTTCATGTTTTGTTTATTAGTTAAAATTTTCATCGATAGATGGCCAAATACATACATAAAACAACAATTCTAACCTCTAAATTCATTAATATCTTCATGTTTTGTTTATTACTTAAATATTTCGTCGATAGATGGCCAAACACTCACACATGTTAAATATATTTATATGTGTAATGTGGGTTGCGTGCATTCGGAAATTAATTTTCCTTGAACTTTGATTCCCGTTGATTTTTACGATGCAAAGCGAAAAAATTGCTTTTAAGGGATTTTAATAATCTTTGCATATCGAATGGGGGGGTGGTGAATATGTGAATCCACATATAACGAGTGCAGTTTGTGGAATGAGGGGGAGTTGATATGAAATTGGAATCTGTTTGCGTTTCTGGTCTTTCTCTGAACTCTCTCGAGGGAAAGCGACATTTAAACGTACAAACACGTAATATAAATAAACACGACCTGAGAGCGCGTGCATCATATTAAAAAACAAATATGAGCGAGATTGGCATGAAACGCGGCGAGCCGGGAAAAAAATGCAGCGGTCAGCGGACGTCCGGATTAATCGATGACGGATTAACTGGAGCAGTCAGTGGTTGCCTCTTCTGCTTCCGCTCTCCAAGGACCTACTTGCGGATTGGATCTATTCGCATATATGTTACACTATACCATGTTCATTACGCCATCAATCCGGGTATAAACATGTGTCAATTGGTCAGAATCAATCAAATCACAATCAGTGACAACATAGCCTAATAAATATTTCTATCAAAGTTTCACTACAACACCATCTATAGGGGAATATATAAAATAAAAATAGTTTTAACTTGACCAGAGTATATTTCTGTCGGCTAGGGATTTTAACGAGATATGAATGTTTAAAAATTGAACTTTTTCTCTCTTCGCTTGTATCCATTATTAGCTCATGTGTATACGGGCCTTCTCTCTTCTCGAAATTAATAAGTTGATTTTTTTAAATAAATTCAGCCGTGCTCGGAGCACACGAAAAATGTAATATTGTCGGGCGGGCGCTCTTCCGGCTTCTCACACGAGAAGCAATTGCATTGTTCCGTGTTTAGCGGCCGGTTATTGTGTTCAGTTGCGCCCGTGGAGGCGGCGTGCCGCATCATTCATATCGCATTAAAATTTATGCGAATTATTGTGCGGGATGTGCGCGTCGGCGAGCACGAATGCAAAACGTCTGCGTTTTTACGTTCGGCGCTTCGAACAATGCAATTATTTATTTTGGATTTATTGTTAATAAAACACAATATTATGCAAATTCAATGCAGAATCAAAATTTTTGGCTTTTTTCCAATTCAACTGATTTAATTTTTATTTTTATTTTTAACCGATTTAATTCGCGTTACTTTCAAGTATTACATCATAACAACACCAAAAATAAAAAGAATCAAAAGAGAAACTTTCTTAAATTCTTAAACAGATAAATTTACTCACGTGGTGAATTGTAAGTGGGTATTTATGCCGTCTAAACACACCTCACGCCTATACCTCAACAGGTGATTATATTTTATTCATTCGCAGCGAATTTACGAAGCGACGAAGCCTTTAGTTTCCGTGTATGCACAACAGTGTAATTTGTTTGTAAATGTTTAAATTCGCATTAAGTCCACACAAAACACAAAATTTCGAGTTCATCGTAGTTTGATGATTCTAATGCGCATGACCTTGTGATTTAAGATATTCATGCTCACTGAACACACCAACATAAAAACATTCCGTATTAATTTGCGTAGGAATCAAAAATTTATTATTGAAATAATTGCATGATATTATAATAATTATTTATTTATATTATTCATTGTTGTTTGTTTTTAAACGAAACAATGGATAATGAATAGAAAAAAGTAAGTGAATAAGTGATTATTTAGTTAATTTGTCAATTATCAATGGAATTTTAATGAGTGGCATCACTTTCATCGGAATAAAACCAAAGCGTCCTGTTTGAAAGCGAAATATTGTGGAACAAGAAGGTTGAGTCGGGGAGTGGGCGTTCGATTTGGTCCGCGACCGTATATACAAAGGTTTTCAAAAGCAGTAATGCAATTTCGCATGGAAATGTTGCGACATTCACAGCGTCACACAGAGGCAGGCACTGGTCTTGTGCCCTCCGCAGCTCCTCGCAGCAAAGATATTACACAATCGCACGAACGAGTTCTCCATCCAAGTCATACACACAGTCAGACACCCGTGTCTGTTGTGTCCCCGGCGCGTTAGTCTTGTTACTCATTTTCTTATTCGGTCGTTTATCACCTACAAAGCCCTCTGGAAAAAGTCGCGCCTTGTGCCGATTGTGTGATAAACAGCTGCTATGGACTACGACTAACGAATGCTCGAGGAATAATGTTGGGTTAGTTTGTGTAACACTCAGTGTGGCGAGCTAAGAAACGCCGCAGTACTGACTGAGATGCAAGTCGCTGGAATAAGAAGTTCGCTCATCAAATATTCTCACCGAGTGCGGGCGTGTCATCCTGCAGTTCGATGAGCACGCGACCGGAGAGGAACTGCCCGGGAAAGTACAGCAGCGACGTATTGTCGAAGAGAATTAAAAACTTCAATAACTTGCGCGGCATTTTCTCGTTGTCTCGTGCGCTGTTTTCGTGGTTAATGCATGCACATGATGGAATTTACACACAAACACCACAAATAAAAACACACAACACACAAAAAACAATTTTTTTAAAAATATTTTTACTTAAAGTCTTAAGTAATAAATTCATGCGCAGTGTAGCGTCGCGGTGTACTGCGCGCAGGTAATGCCTACTGAACTAACTGACTTTACGGTTCGAGGTGATGACCATATAGAGAACTGCTTTGTGAGTCGGAGCCGAGTGGAGTCGAGGCTAGTCGTGATCACTTTCCCTCTCCGGCATTCTCGACCTTAACAAACCACCGGCTTTTTATTCGTTATTCGAGGTGAGTTTATAAACACACCTGGTTTACCGCTTGGCTTGACTTAAGTCAAAACTATATGCAACTTGCAATACATCTAGATTTATGTGTATTGTATAAATTTATGTAAACTTACAAAACTGTTCTAATTAAAGAAAACTTTATCTGTCCAACGGAAATTTATATGCAAAATTATTCGATAGATTTTGCGTCTTCGATCTGGAAATTCGCCGCGGCAAGCTATAAAAATGCAATAATTAAATAAGTTTGACAAGTTGTACACCAGTCTTATAAAACCTTAACCCCTTCGATGTCGTAAATTTTATTTTTACGTTTATTGTTGCAAAAATGTCAAAAAATGTAAACTTAAATTACAAACTGTAAATGTTGGTGTAATCACATAACTGTTGTGTTGTTTATTGTTTGTCTTGGTTGTGTGATGCTCAGATGTTCGCGACCGCAAGACCAATTGTTTCCGGCATTACACACAACGCCCGTATCTACTTGCGGGCCACCTTCAGCGCACGCATCAGCTGGCATTCGTTTGATGAAAGTTTGTTTCCCGTTTCCCGAGTATAATTGCCACGTTACAAACGATTGTGTCTATATATGCATGAAAGCGTACGTATCGCATAAACCGGTGCAGACTGACGTTAATAAATCGGATAATGGTGATATTAGTCAAGTGGTGCACGCGGGATTGGGTCACGGCCCATTTCGGGGGCGGCCTATGAAGGAGCGTGACGGATGACGAAGCGAGACCGTTGCGGTCGGCCCCACGGAGTGCCACCTGATCGACTTGAGGGTTTGATCGAGTATTGGTTTGCGTCGATTGAGTGGTGTCGATGTTTGTGCCTTTGGCCCTCTATCACAGCGTGTTTTCGATCATTTTTGACCCCAATGGAAATTCAAACTTGTCAATTTTACCGGCGAGGGTTTTAATTTTGCTTCTTTTTTTTTGTTGGTTAATCTTAAGTGTATAAGTATGTACGGGGGGACGGCTCATAACTAAAAATAATTACTTTGCAGGGGTCGTAATTATTTTCTGGAAAAAGCTATAAATTGCGTTATTTTCAGGACACAGACGCCGGCGTAGACTAGAATGACACCACCTCCAAAACGGCGGCGCGTGTGTCGAATAATAATGACATGGAAAGAAATAAAGCAAAAAATGAAGAAAACTAGCTTTAGTAGACTGTTTAGTGTTTAGTTTGATGTGAAAATTATAAAAATTATGATTTTTTAAGTGAAACTTGATTTTTTGGGCTTAAAACATTTTCTGTAATATAAAAATAAATCACAAAATATGTTAGAAAGCGCATAACTCAACAACGCCTCGACCAATTTGGCCAATTCTTTTTTTAAATGTTTGTTGTAGTCCAAGGATGGTTTTTACGACTAGAAAAATTTGAATAATTGCCGGGAAAACCTTAAAAACTACCCTTTTCCATAGGATAAAAGTTGACATTGAGATTCAATCATAGTTATAGTTAAATAGTTGAATCCGAGATGGCGCGCTGAAGTGCATTATTAGCAATTCTTTATATAATTAATTTGTTTAAAATAAAATTGCGAATCTTATTGATAGAATTGACACATACTATGTCTAGAACAAGAGAGTAAGATCAAATTACATTTTTCTTAAACACTTCTGGAACATTGTCGGGGACAAAAAATCAACACTAACGTCAATTTTTTATTGGTTTCTGCTAGAAATAGTAACAAATGTCGCTTTTTCTAATTTTTACTTAATATTGACGTCATTAACAACGTATTTTGGCGCGAATTTCAAAATTTTCAAACTAAAATTTCATATTAAACTAAAAATCCCAGAATTTTATTAAAAATATCTTACTCAACCTAAAGAATATATATTTCTACACCTTATACCATGTTTTTTTGCATACGAGTCTTGTACTGTGTGATATAAAACACCGCATAATACATCCCTTTGATTATGCGGCTTGATTGCACCAGACTGCAACCGTGAAAAAGCACAAAGCGGAAACACATGATAAAAGACCGGACGTGTTAATGATAATGATGACACAATGATGAAAACACTACTATACACGTACTGTACGTGCATCACATTAGAAAACACTATAAAACGTTTGAAAACCTAATAAAATCCAGAATTACCTCAAGTAATTATATTGTATAGTGAATGTCCTGGCTTCCAGAGGGCTGATCCTGGCATTTAAAGGTCACATCAATATTTCATAATGTTGCACACAAGAAGAACAACCTTGTCGCTGGTAGTCGCCCGGTGGTGGAAGGTGGAAGGATTAATAGGGTGGCGATTACATTATGCTAATGGCCGGTGGGTTCTGAAAGCTTTCGGAAGAATGTCATACGCGTCGAAATGCCGCGGCAATTAGTGTGCCATACCGCAGAATAAACACAATATAAAAAATAAAATAATATGATGTAATTTAAAGTGATTGTGTGTCGACGCAGCGGCGCCTCCACCAAAAATTTTTGCTCTGCTTGTTCGTCGGGTGAGCAATGTGTCGCATCGAGCGACTACGTGTCGAGGCATCTTCAGGACCTGCTGCCCGCTGCCCTGCGACTGTAAGTCACGATTTCCATTAGTGGATGTATACACACAGCGCGTGCAGCGTACACACGATCGTGCCGTCGCATTCGATCACTTTTTCACCCGGCAAGCGTTTCATTTTGGTGTTGGCGCGCAAGAAAATTCACGTGTTTATATTTCTGATGGTCATATCCAGCGGTGACATCCTGCTGCCATCATGAAATGAAGTTCTGGAGTTTAACTTTGCGAAATATGCACGTATGATTACAGTGCGCTCGGGTTTTACTGTCCAACTGCGCGCGCAGAAATAAAATTCTCTTTTAAAGAGCGTCGCAAAATTGTTATTTTCATATTTTTATCTCTCAAAAAATTCACTGAAACGAAAAAAAATCAATTTTTTTATTTAAAAATTGTTTTCAATCTTTGCGCTGCTTTTGTCTCGTCGATAACTTTTTTCCTGCTGGCAGACTGGTGATCGTAAAATATAACCGTATTTCTTCTTTATATGATTACAGCCCTGCGGCGGCGGCTATAAAGGGGACTCGCTTACAAATTTATTTATAAGCGCCTCACATTCACACATGTGTAACCCTTGAGTAGGGTAGTGTACTCCTACCACGCCTAACACTTCCTTGCGCCGTGGTGGAAAGGATTAAACATTGGCTGGCGCCGCGCGATAGAGAGCTGGACTTATATCATGGCGCACGCGGGCGGCAATCGTCTTTGATTGTTATTTGAGCGGTCCACCCTTTCTGGATACCATCCCCAAGAAGGTGAAGGTATGTGTGGGATGCACGCGTAGGGTATGAGGGGACAGCACGACTCATTAGAGAGCTCTCATGACTCTTACATGAAGTAACTTGTCGCTTGAACCCGGCGCCTTCACCAAACATCGTCAGTCGGCAATATTCCGTCTATTCATCACCAGGGCGTTAAGCACAAGGTGTGTTGCTTCATTTTAACATTCATTACACATACCAGTAGGTAAGTATATTTACAAAAGTAAAATTTAGCAAAAAAAACGAATTATTATATTGGTGTAATTTTGTTGTCGTCGGCAAATCGGAAAGCTCACCTGAAACATCGAAAAGGTTGAACTGTGTAGTATCTTCAAGGCAGATAAGTAGCTTTTAAGATGTGCGATGCTCTGTCGAGGAAAGAAATCAAAGCGAAATCGTTCTGCATAGCGTTCGTCGTTTTCTTTTGCTCGCGATGTGCACATGGTAAACGCGTGTGCGGGCGTTTAGCGCAAACGTTCCGAAGACACGCTCGCCATCGGCGTAACCATCGGAAAAGGAAGCGGAAAGCCCGAAAGCTGCTCTCGGCCTTGCGCGCCGTGCACACGCGGGCCTGTGCGTATAATGAAACCGTAACCACGACTTATAACTTTGTTTTCCGTGTGGCCGGAGCGAAAACACACTCGGCGTATGGGCGCGCGCTCTTGATGAAATTGCATTCCTGTGCAGATTTCCGTGAGGCGCCCCGTTCTCTCGCACAGCACATACACAGCGCAACAGTTTCGCCCGCTTGCGTGTGCGGTGTGGTGGTAGTGCGCGCGGGTGAGAGCGGAGGCGTGGTACGGGCGCATCGTGCCCGGCGCCTCCACTCACTTCGGGTCTCGGTAGTCTCGAGTCCCGTTCCGGAGCGTCGAGCGTCGCGCGCGCTTTCAGTGCTGGTGCGCGTCTCCTCGCGACGAGTGAAACTGTGCGCCGTGTGCCGAGTTGGGACTGTCAGTGCGATACGTGCGCCCGGCGCCTCCGCTGTATCTCAACGCGGGACGGAAGGTATGCGTATGCTCACAATCCAGCTACTGAAACTAACACGAAACTATACCGAACACAATTATACGATAATTGTAACAAGCAACAACTGTTAATGTTTGCAAGCGCTCTGCGCTCGGAAAACTTTTCACTAACTTTTCCACTTTAAAACCGTGCGTCGACAACACCTACATTATCTTTTACTTTTACTTATAAACGAACAAAGTAAATAACTATATATTTTTTAAGTTTAGTTTTTAACTGGTTAAAAATGTATTTTGTATTTTGTAAGACATTTTTAATTAACGCACAAAGCATTCAGAATTAAAATTGCTGCTATTCTATTATTTATAATCGTTTATAATTTACATTCCTTGGCAGGAGTTGTACGCACACGCAGAAAAAACACTCCTGAAGGGCCGAGACCTGTCCAATTTATTAAATACACATTACCGTTGATTGTTTCCATGGAAAGCAAACATGATGTTAATTATTTCGATGTCAGGTGAGCCACAAAAACGAACCATCCTGCGTGCGTCGGAAATATTTTCGGGTTGATGTGTAAAAGTACCAAAAAACAAAAAAAAAATATTTTCTTTACCCTGCATCACAAAACAACTCAAAACCTCAAAAATTTTACTTTAGATTTTATCACAATTAAATTTATTTTATAAACGGCGATAAAAAACAGTCGCGTTTGGTTTATTTCATTGTCTAACGCCCTTAGGACAAAACGCGACACGCTCGTGCACCGTCGACATGGTTATCATAATCGTTGATTTGTGTTGACGTGATAAGCGAGACTTACGCTCACGGTGTTCGCACCTTGGGCGCGCTGATAAAGTAGCGTGTCGATGATGACCCACCGCAATCGACGTGTTCATACCGTTCGGCATAAATATAAATACACAATGCTGGGCCGGAAAAGCGCTTTCGGACCCTCCGTGTTGGAAGGCAATGCCATCAACAGCTACGGCGTAGGAATACGAAACCCGCACGTTGCAAGTTTTTTCTTTCCTTCGGAAAAGCGGTGCTTTCGCATACGATACGATACGGTGCGACGTGCCGTGGCACAAGTGTGCGCCAGTTTAGTAAATACTCCTGCCAAGGGATGTACGACGTGCACAGTAAAACATCGTGATAGTAAAACACGATGGACTAAGCAGCAAACTTTGTTCCTCTACCTGTGTGTTTTTTTTTTATGTTTTTAGCGAGATTTTACGATTTATTTTTTTATTTTACAAAAAAAGATTTGGCAATCAATTTTGTTGGAAATTTTTTGACGTGTTTAAATTATGTTAGTGTAATCATGAAATATGCGTAATTACACGACTTTAAGCGAAAAAATTTGCAATCGACAATCGTTGCAACGGTTTAGTCGGCGAGCGCGCGCCGCCGGCGGGCGTAAATCAACATTTTTATAGTCACGGATGGCTTTTATTAAAAGCCATTAGTTGCGAAGTTTCGGCATGCCACCGCATCGCGGAGCGTCGCGACGCTTAACACTGCGCGGGACTTTTGCACTCGCGTGCGCGTCAAGCGGCCCGTTACGCGACACTACACATAATATCATATTATCATCTTATTTTATTATATATTTTGTGTTGTATATATTTAAATTTTAAATTCGGTGTGGGTGGCGATTTATGTTATTGATTTATACTTTTTCGATTTAGTTTTATTGCCCAATTGCAATACGGAATATCTCATCGGGTTGTGTGCGCCGATGGCCCCGCTTGTCGGACATTAATTTCCCGTCCGGCGTCCGTCTTCGCCTTCCGGCCGTAGAGTGGATAAACACATGCGGCTCGCCTGGCGCAATTTGCATGCAATCTGACGGCAATCTTACTTAACTGTCGATATTGAAACGGACGGCTATCCATCACCTGTCGGCGCATGCCGTTCATCTCAAGCCATGGGTATTTGGCTTCCAAAAACGCTAAATCTTCACTTTGATGCAAAATTCAATGTAATTTAATTTTATTTCATGATTACGCGTTTAATAATATACTTTTTCAATATTCACTAGTAAAACGCTAATTTCCACGGTTTTTAGACACAAAAAGTAATATTTTAAACATAAACGGCCAAAATCGTGATTAAAGTACTTTAGTCACGGGGTAATTATTTATCCAATTGATATTTATTATACTATTTCTATCACTTTGAATAATCAACTAGTTTGTTAACATTTTCCAAAGTGTTTGTATCCGTACACAAGTCTTGTTGTTATTCAAGTTAAACTGTAGTTGTTTCTTGAAACTCGCTCGGTACTCGGTTAGAATCAGCTGTGGCTGTTATAAACTGCCGCACGAGTAGCACGCGGTTTTCCTAAGTGATATTCCATTGCGTCCGACATCTGGACACCGCCAGCGAATTTTTCCGGACTTTTCTTTAAAAACAAACCGAACCATGCGCACCAGATGCACAAAACACGCTTATTTCTTCCTCGAACGAAATTATGTTATTATATCAAGATGCAGCCATTAATTTGGACACTTTGAAATAATTTATACTTCCGGTTTGACCTTTGAGTGGAATTTCAACAAATGAAATGAAATTATATATTTGAGCAAGGACATTCCACACGTGTGCGATTTTGACACGGCTTATTGTATTATTTTTGGGTTAGCGTTGTGATTTCAAGAGGGTACGAATGGTGCGTTGTTTCAGGACGGAGCAATTGCGCATATATCGTGATGTATTATTGTGTAAACTCGACTCGGCGACGCGGCGCGCGAACAATCGAGAGAGGAAAGCAGCCGTTTCATTAATCACCGATGATATTAATTCCGGACATTCATCAGGGCTTTCCGCTCTTTACCCAGGCTGTAACAATCTAAAGGTTTCAAATCTACAATACAAATTTTAATTTTTGTGTAAATTTCCTTAAAAATTAACTAAATTCGGGTTTAATCACAAATTATCCGGAAAACAGTTTGAATGGCGTCGGCATCGGACAGTATCCGAATGCTTTTCTATCTATTGGTTGACGATATCCGGTTTAGGAGTATTTATCCGGTTGGATGAATCGGTGCTGTTTGCTAACAGCTTTCCATAGCCTTCCAAACCGTCCACTTTAGTTGAGTTTACTCGGTCCAGTCGAGTCAGTTTTTGGAATGGGTAATCGTGTACTCCATAATTCTCTAATGACCATACCAATTCGCCAACGATCGTGTGTTTTGCGCTTTGCACCCAACACTGCACAAGTGCACTTTTCGACCGAGTGGCATACGAGCGCGGATTTATGGTCGATCGGCTTGTGCGGCTTAATGACAGAATGATTGACCGCATTGACGGCGGCGCGCCGCTGCCGCTGACAACTGCCGTCGCGACCGCGACGTCCCGCGCGTGTTAATGAAGAGTGTTTTTTCTCTTCCGATGAGAACCCAGAGTCAACGACCGCCGGCGTTATTGCCACTGACAGCAATCATCTCCTCTGGTTCTGGTCCTTGTACAAACCCCTTACTCTTTCTATTCTACTAAGAATGGATGGAAGAGATGGTGGATGATGGGAGGTCGTTTATAAACGGCGAAGGTCAATTAGATTTGCATGTCGACGCTAGGCGGCTATCCGAGGGGAAAAAGACGACTTTCATGATGCATGATCTGACTATCTTATAGGGTCCTTCTTGAATGTACGAACGGCGCATGTAAATATCGGCCGCTAATTATTCTTCGCGGGACCAGGCGGCGGCGCACGTATCGACAGACACAGCCGCGTCCTGTTTTTATTAACGTGCCCCAGCGACTCCAGTCACACCTTCTCCATGTTCGGCATTCCCCGCACGCCGGCGTCGGCGAAATTACGAATGGATGCCATTTAATTACATTGTCTCGCTCGACGACTAGGCGACGGCGAGCCGGGTTGTAAAAGTAACGGACCTGCCGCTCGGCGCGCGCGCTCGGGGGTGGCTAAACGAGCCGAGATATCGTTCCGGGAGCGGGTGCGATCCGTAATCAGACTGATTTAGGAAGTCGTCGCGCAGTATTAATAAAGGATACGAGCGCCAAACGAGCGCCATTTCCCCGCTCGCTACAAGAATTTCAGCGGGGCGGGAATGTGGAGGGTACGTGAGGAATTTAAAAAAATTTTAAACAAAAAAAAGTGAAAATTTTGAAAATACGATAAAAATGTGTTTAGTATGCGGATAAATGTCTTGTAGAATCAATCGGAAGATTTACTATTAGTGGCCCACTATCGTTTTGTCTATTTCCGGTCCTCGCTAGGGGTGTAATCCGTTTGCAACTGTCGCAGATTTATTATGAAAGTTGGAATTGCGCGAGCATGCATTATTTCGTTCCCTCTCTGCGAAAGACTTGAGTTATTGGTCTAAAAATCCAAAATCTATCGGAATTGAAAGATTCCCTGAGACATTCCTATTTTATTCTTTTTTTCTTCTTATTTTTGTCTGAAGATGTCCTTACTGCCATTCTTACTTACAGGCTGGAAGCTAGTAAGAACATGACATGTTTGCTGTAAACGTTTTGTTGCTTTTTGCCGTATTTTTTGTGTTTTTTAAGTGATAGAATTAGGCCGTCGCAGAGGCGCACACGCAATGCGGGGCCGGCTTGGCAGGATTACGCTGGTGGGCGCGTGGATCGCGGATTGAAGTGATATATCAGTCTTATAAAGCGTTTCGTTAAGCCGGAAACCGACTGTATCTCAAGCTTCCCGACCGCAGATATGTACTATACTATGGCGGCAAGGATTAACTCACCAATTTTTAGGCCTTTCTTCTTCAGCCACTTACAAATTTGCGGGCTCTCGGGCGTTTAAGTTTTATATTCGCAACAAGATGGTTTTGATTTCATGCGCTTCCGGCGGTACCTGCGAGGTCATAACCTAAACGGTTTAATTAAACTCACGCCTGATTTATCCGCGCAGTCATTGCGGACTCGCGTCGCATAAAGCGTTTTTATTAAAATGAAAATTGCCGCTCGTTTTTCGCGCGCGTGCCGGACGCAACCTTCCGAGGGGTAAATTGGCGCTTTCCGGTTATAGGACATGATTCACGCAAGGA